TGAGTGGACCAATCAGAGCCATCCATGTCGAGTGTACGAGCCATGATGGCCATCGACCTTGCGTCCGGTCCATCGAAACGAACGCACGAGAGCATGTGAGTGAAAGGAAAGGTGGTCCTTGAGATTTAGTTCTGGACATTCGATGGAGCATTCGACCACAAAGATAGGGACCTCCGCGCGCTCGCTACCCGAGTGTGGTCCGCAATCCTCTTGTTTAGTACAAGAAGCTTGTTAAAATGCTAGTGCAGTATGTCTCCGTCCGACACATTTACATGAAGAATGGTGAAAACGCATCGTCGACACTGTCCTGACCACCTTTGCACATCGACATTGTCCTCTAGCGAAAAGTAGCGACGTCATGGGTTTCAAACGCAATATGGTCTCCCGTTCGTTGGCGATGCATGGGAGCGAGGCCCATGCACGGCCATCGTCCATTTGGGCTCGTTGAGGGCATCCTGCGCTGGAACCGGTCGATGAAAGACGTACAACCATGGGCAAAAACACAAAGGTCGACCACGAGCAATTCAAGTTGGAAGGCTGTCGTGCATCCAATCGCTTCCAGTCGCATTCTCCGCTCTTCACCCTTCCCGCCGGACCAGGTCCGATGTCAAGTGACGGTGGCACTCGTCTTGGCTCCAACTCGTCCAAGAATTCCCCGTTGGCGTGTGATATACCGCCAAACGACTGCACCAATCCGACCAATCAGCGTCGAGACGGACAGTATGTCCGCACTACATTCCGCCGTGCCTAGTCACTTTTCCACTTCGCTGGCCAAGCGCCGCCACAGCCAGCGATGGCGGACCAGGACATTGAGAGAGCACTGCGGCCAGAGGCAGCCACCTCCTCGACGCGAGCACAGCCCTCCACAGTCGAGCACAGGACGGCACGGGTCTGGTCTGTATGCATGAGCATTGTTCACGGAGCCAGGCACTGCCTGTCAACGTTGATGTTCGTCGTCCGGTACGTTCTCGTTCCAGTCAGCGGCGTTGCCGTGTTCGTCATTGTGAGTCTCCTTCTCGTGGGGTACTACGTGCTCTACGTCGTGTTGTTGGTTGTCCCGAACGTGGCAGTGTCGTTTGCGATTGCGTTTGTCATTCCGTTCGTCAACCCCAAGGCGCCGTCCCCGATCGATTGGGAACACCAGTGGACGTTTTTCACGTTGATGGCCAAGATGGACTTTGCCGAAGCCGAGTTTTATTTGACCAACAACGTCAAGTCGAAAGAGTTGGTGGCGGCCGTGAAGGCTCGACGCACCGCCAGAGGACCACGCGACAAAGCCAAGGCCGACCACGGGATCGACAAGTGCCTGCACTCGATGGTGACGACCCAAATCACGACCGTTCAAGCCCTGATTGCTGGAGGCAACGATTTCATCGAAACTCGCGACCAGGCGACATTGAGTTCTGTGCTTGGCGCCACGATCCTGTTCGTGTCGTACGTGGCGTACGTGAGCACGAAAGACTTTGTCTTGGGCGACATTACGTCCAAGGTCCACGACGCACTCGCGATCCTGTTGCCGTGGCTCTTGGTGGAAGAAATCGGCGTCGGGCTCTCGTTTGTCCTGCTCCAGTTCAAACACCTGTCGTACAAGCTCAACTCGGTGCCGAGCGTGTTGAGTTGCACGAACGAACGACGGAAACGAGCCCACTCGAAGTCTAGCATGTTTTCGATGCCCCCCACCATCAAGGCGTATGCTACCTCCCCCGCAGTCCGACCTCCCACCCACCCAGAACGCCGCTCTCATCGATTCGGCTCGGCTGCAAATGTGACGCGCGATGTTCGACTCAACAAAGACGCGTTTCGGTATCACGTCAACGTGCAGGGCTTGAGCGTCGGGGTGGGAGCGACAAACCTGATGGACGTGGCGACGTCCATCACGTCGCTGTGGACGCTTCTGTTCCTGGGCCAAGGGTACATTGTCGACACAGTCACGTCGATGAATACACACGACCAAGTGTGGGTGACCAGAGTGTACTGGTACTGCGTGGTCGCGTCGGGTCTCGTCATTGCGTTCTGCTACACGCCATTCTTCTTCCGTCCGACTGCCGAGCAAAGGGAAGAATTCGAGTCCGTGTCGGCAAGCTGTGAAGCGTCATTGACGCTCGAACGCTTGTGCAAGGTTCAAAACCACCTCCTCGACGTTGTGCACACCAACACCCAAGACGAGAGCTGCTCGAACGACGTGGCAGATGGCGCTACCGACGCCCTCGCGTCCCAATCTTGGCACGAAATCACCCGCCGGTTGCGCGAACTGGCCCTGATCAACATGGACACGGTCGACATTGTGTCGTTCGCGTTGTACGTGGTGGCACTGAGCACGTACGATTTTGAAGCGGGCACTGTCCGCGATATTCCCGTGAATGAAGACTCGCCCTGGGGAAATGCTGGCCACAGCAGCGACAATGCACGATTGAAAACGGTCGACGTGTTAATTGACGACCTGGCCACGCAACAGGTCAAAACGTCTGTCCCGCACACGAACCTGGCCGCCATGGATTTCGCCGGGCCGATTTGGTCTTCGTATTTGGACTCTCCGATGGAGCACATGCCCCCCGTCGACGGCAACGTGCCCGTCACGAATGATGTGTTTCCGTCCATCTTGCTGCGCATTCCGAACGAGCGATGGCGGCATGGCCACGGCCACATTAGTTTGAGCGACATACCCGTCATGGGCATGAGCTCGCTCGGCGCGGTGCTCGCCGAACGGAAACGGACCCACATGAAAGATATTTACGACAACCCGCTCGTTCAAGAAAAACGCATTTACGTAGCTCCAAGGCAAGGCGACTTGATGTGCATCGGCCTCGAAATCAAGATCATGGCGCATTACGTCGTCAGCATCTACCTCGTGGCGAGCCATGGCGTCACCTTTGGTCGTGGCCCCGTGTACGTTGCTTTCGGAGAGCTCCAGTGTGATGTTGCGCTCGTTCTGACCGACGGGGTAGCACCCAACCTTCCGCTAGCTACGACGTTCTATGAAGTAGCGCGGGCGGACCGCATGCGGGCATTCCATGACTGTGTCCTGGACATTCCGTCTCCGTCGACTTCGTATGCTCACACTGGTGAGGAATAGGGCGTTCGAGGGAGCTACGGGGCAATGGTTGGCCAAAGTAATCTCTTTACCGACGAAATCCATCGGATCGCATGCCTGCTCGCCAGTGTACTTTCAAGTAGTACGTATTGTACGTGGAAGATCCTTTGTTTTGAGCAACATCTCAACATGCTTGGGCCATTCCTGGCTTCCTGTGCGAACCTACTCCATTTCGCGAAGTATATGTCTTGACATTGCCAACTCGGCACCACAATCACGTCATCTAGTGACATGGCTAGTGCCCTGTAGTGGTCACCAGTCCTGCCGAGCAGGTGAATCCCATGACAATCACACGTCTACGTATCGCGGGCGCGCCATCCACACGTCTTTTGACCTGAAGCAGTCCACGACGTGGCACTGAACGACCAAGGGTGGATCCTTGGACATTCAGCCACGCTTCTGCGAGAAACCCGCTTCAACTCGCTCGCAATGGGCGACCGACTACGCGGAATACACCAAATTGACGGGGTACCATAGAGCGCAGGAGCTGTAGAGCTAGTTGCTCGCTTGAGCCCACAAGAGGACGTTGTACCCACAGAAACGTTGAGGTCAAGAAAGAGTTTGCGGGCAAGGGAACTCGACAGGGGAATGGGGAACGCGTTGTCGTGGCAGTGCGACGTGGGCGGAGCGACACAAAACACTAGCTATCGACATCGATGGACTGACGCGAGGAATTGAAACCGCATCCAGGACAAGTCGGCGCACAGCAGAAGATCGTGCCGATGCGTCGTTGAAACGCCTTGCCCAGGTCAAAGTTGTCGACTACTTTGCTCAGATAGTGCGACACCAGACTTGGAGCACGATCAGGACGCAGAACTCTTCAAAATACAACTCTATGACCTGACGCGTCGGCTCGTCCGGACATGCCTCCGAGTCCCCAATCTTGGACGTGACCCCGAGCATCACGACGTCCACAGAGTCAGAGCTACCGCCCACACAAACGTTGCCACGTTCGGCTAAAAACAACTCCTGTCTTTGTGAGGTTTCGACATGGGCCACCATGCTCCGTCAAGCAACGAGTTACGATGACCTTCAAAACGTGAGGATGTTGGCACCTCGGTTGAGACGCGAGTGGGAGGGGAATCCTATCTTGAGTTTCATCATGACGTAGGAAGCGTCATTGACAGTGACTGCGATGACTTTGCGAGGTGGAGGCTGCGTGAAATGTAGGGCAACCGACAACTCGCCCAAGTCGAGGGCTAAACATTCCACAGCACGCGAGACACTGAAGTTGGACGAGACGTTCTGAGCTACACTGGATGATCAACAGCGCGTTCTTGCGTACCATTCACAAACTGGACGGGCTTCAAGCAAGGTACATGCTCCATTCAACAATACAACCGCGAGCTGCGCTTCCTGGCAAGGCAAGCTTTGTCTCGTTGGCAGCTGTCACATTGGGCGCCTCGCACCCGTTTGTCGTCACTATCACAAGATGGACCGTATGACGGAACTGTACCGAATGCTGCACCCAACGCTTTGAATCGTGCTGAGATGCTTGAAGCACCCAATGGCATCCAAACTCAACCACATGGACCGCCGCTTTGCCAGGATGACAGGCCACCGCCTTGCAGCGGCAGGGACGTTGCGCACGACGGGGCCACAGTTAGATGCCAATCATACTAGCCCCCCGGAGCGAGCCCAATATGGGCCAGCTTGCAGCAACAATTCATGCCGCCGATAACTCGCAAGCCGAGCGACATCACCAAACGATGACGAGCGAACTGACCCACACCAAGTACACCGCCGAGTAGGGAAGCGATACGGCTCGAACTCGCAGCAGGGCATGCACTCGAGCACGTCGGGCCAACAGGATCAAGGGAAAACTTCAGCATCGAATCATCAACTCCCCACCAAGTAAAACGTTAGGACAACCCATGTAGGTGCCAATACCGCCAAAACAACTCAATCTAGACATCCTTGATGACGTCGCAAGGACGAGCCCTCACCGTGAACATGAGGAAGCCCAACATGCGCGTCGGTAACCTGCAATAGCCACAATGTTGTCGCCAGTCTGTATTCTATTCCGCCGGACGTGACGCAGAGCTGCGTCGCACTCGACAGCTCGTGAACTTCCACCGCGTTGAACAACTGCTCGAGGATGTAGAGTTACGCTGCAGTCGCGGTCAGGATCATTTCCATCGGGTTACGGTTTTGAATGACCAGACGGGTCGGTTGCGCTTGTATGCGACGAGGTCTATGGGCGCCCAGCTTCCAAGGCACGAAGGACTTGCGAACCGATCCGTGTGAGGCTGCATCGTTAATTGACTGTGTTGTATTGCACGAGCGACGACAGTATCGAAGTCGGGAGATCCTGGTGTCTCGAGGCTCGCATGCTGCCCCGAAGTTCCAGTCAACTTGGCGTCCAGGTTAAAGTTACAGCATTTCGTCGCCTGTCGCTTGGTTACGTGGACATTGCGTGAAAGCGTCGTCCACGCTGTGGTTGCCAACAAGACGTTTTTCAAGTAGAAGGATCGCTGTTGGTGCGGTCGGGAGCATCGACACTGTCCCTTTCACTAGCTATCGGCACCAATCGTCCGGCGGTTTTGACGGACTCGAGTGAACGCTTCTTCTTTTTGGACTGCGTGGACGCGTTCGTATGGGTGGTTTGCGCCTTACTCTCGCCAACCAAGAGTTTGTCTAGCGCGTGGATCATCGCGTATTGGGTCACAAACTGCGCCCACCCGGCGCCCATCGGGTGCCGTTGGAATCGAGGCAGCGTTTCCTGGATAAGTCGGTCGCGCACATGCTTCAACAAGGGGTCGTAGAACTTGTTGTCGTACTCGCCAACGCTGGAATCGTTGACAGCGTACTTGTGGTTGGCTTGAAAGACCATGTCATAGCGTTTCAGGACATCCGACGGAACACTGTTTGCAAGCGAGAGCGGCGCGCGCGGCGCAATGTGCATCGCGTAAATGTCCGCGGCGGACAAGTGTGTCGGTGTCATCAGACGAAAGTCCGCCAAGTGTTTCCACGCGACCACGCACTCATACATGAACTCAGACTTGGCAAACGTCGAAAAGTCCCGAAACCCGTCGTTCGTTTGCAAATACGCATCCAGGATGCCAACGGTTCCTGCCACGTGCGCTCGAACCGGCAGTGACTTGGCCAGGTACGACTCCCACAACGGATGGACGATGTGTATCCCGATAAACGCATGGCCGAGCGCCACGTTGACCAGCACGTCCACATGCCACTTCGCCAACGTGTCGTTGTCGTAGTGTACGACCAAGATCGGGACGTAAATTGTATACGCTATACCAACGCACTTCAGTGTCCCGTCGTCGACGTAGTCAGGAGGCGTCGTACCCAAGAGAAAGACCCGCCCACTTCGTTGAAACGCAAGCCGAAGGCCAAAGTTCTCGACGACTGTCCGCACAAGGACCGCCAGAATCAACGTCACGACCACCATGGCGCCGAACTCCCCGTACAAGATAAACGTCACGTTGTCCACGACGCGAGTCGGACAAACGGACAAGTCGCACGGGTTGTAGTCTGGTGCGTACAGCACGACGAACAGCGGCAAGTTGGCGACGGCGTGCATGAAGACTCGCGGTGCGGAAGTCCATCCGTGGTGCAGAAACGTTCGCATGAGCATCATGTTGGTCTCATTCACACGCTTGCGATTGGAATGCGCCACCATGAGCTCCGTGAGTTTGAATGTCACGACCACCTAAACGCGGCAACGCACCACCGCATGAGAACAGGCGTCGATGCCAACCGACAACGATGACGGGGGCTTACGCGTAGCTCGGCCAAAAAGTACCCCAGGAGCGCCATTTGCAGGGGAACTCTACGGGCGAGCGGCCACGTCAAGCCATGGAAACGAATGGGACGTACCCGAACGACAGGTATCGAGTCGCACAGGGAATGCTGTCGACAAACAGCGCCCCTGCACAACGGGCACAACAATAGAGAAAGATCCAAATGGCGGTGACGGCCATCTCGATGGGGTTTCGATACCGGATCGCGGGGTTACGTCGGTGGCGTAGATAGAGACCAATCACGATGGGGATGTACAAGCCAGAAACGAAGACCATGTACAGCACGACGCGGATAATACCGTCGGGGGGCGTTGCGATCGCGGTGGTTGCTTCGTCCGTCCCGAGCGCCAAAGAACAATTGACTTCCCTGACGGACCTCATCCACGACGGCCGACTCGTTTCAATTTGCGACGTTGTGATGTGTGAAACTGTTAACCCCCCGGGGAAGGTTATGCGAAGGCATATTTCATGGAGACACGACAAGATGGAGGCAAGTTCATCCTACGACTCGCCCGTCATTCCTTGCCGGCTGCACGAACGGCTTGCCCCGTGTACCCCCCAACCATCACGAATTGTACGGCATTTGAATTCCATCGACGTACAGGAGCCACCGTAGGCGACCATCCTATCCACACCCATCTTGGAGGAAGTGGTATGGTACGTCTCATGCGCCTGTTCACTTTGGTGTAAAGGAGTCTTGTGGATGCCCACCGCAACCCCTGCATCCCCCACGTCCTTCTCCCGGCAGCATGGCGTCGGCGGTGGAAGCGGTTGTATTTCACAAACGACTTTGAATGACACGTGAATGTTTGGTTCATCTTATGCTCCATGTGAGCTCCTTCGTTGCATCGCGTCCTGTCCGACAATCACAAGTGGGCATGTATATTCAAGAGGACACACGACTGGACCGCGTTCATGGCTCGCTCTCGTCGACGTCCCACGGCATGTCGTCTTGGCTGGCGGTCACGACGCTGTCACGTCGGCTCTCGATGACCGACAGGCGATTCTTCTTGGGTTGGATCATCTTGGCGACGGGAAGATTGTCTGTTCCTTCAGATTGAAGCATCAACTCGAGTACGCTTTCCGTGTGGTGCCTTATCACGAACGTGGTCCATCCTGCACCAAGTTCGTGCCTTTGGAAGCGAGGCAGCAGGTTCGTCACCATGACAGTGACCACTGCGTCGAGCAGGACATCGTAGTAGTGACAGTTGAGCGACACCGCGGTCGAGCTGACGGCGTACTTGCCGTTGGCTTCGCACGCCGTGGTATATCGTGTCCGTACGCTATTTGGCACAATCCCTTCCAGGGAAAACGGCGCGCACGGGGCAAGGTGCTGGCGGTAGATTTCGTCCACATCGAGGCTTCCAGGAGCTTGCGTTCGAAAGTCGACCAGAGTTTTCCACGCTACCACGCACTCGAACGCAAACTCCGACTTGGAAAACGTCGCAAACGCCGTGTACCCCTTGGCCGTGCGCAAGTACGCATCCAGGATGGCCATGGTGCCGTGGAATGTCTCGTTGGTCGGGGACCGACGGCTTCGACAGGAGTGAATGAGCGGGTACACGATGTGGATGCAAATGACGGCGTGGGACATGAGGACCGCGAGTAAATTGTCGACCGAGTACTCGACAACCACGAGCGCGTCGGGAAACACAACGAGAAAGAGCACGTCCACGATGGCCACTAGAAGTTGGCCAGTCAAATGTACAAGCAACGACAAGGGGGAAAACGTACACAGGATCAGGACGCGATTGCTAATCTGGAAGGACCTCCGTAGTCCGTAATTGTCGACGACTTTGCTCAATTTGAACGAGAGCAGGACCGACAACCCCGTCGACAAGACGAGCTGGACAGTGTGCAGCGTCGAGACGCGATTCACGAGGTCATCCGAGCACGTGGATGCACCGCCCGTGCTATAGTCCTCGACGTACAGGATGATGAACAAAGGACACCCCCACACAAGATACAGCCCGACGCGATGCTTGGAAAATGCCCCGCTTCGTACAAACTGTCGCAGCCAGTGGACTTTCCTGGACGGTTGCGTCTGCGAACTGTCTTCGACCATGGCCACCATCATTTCGGTCATGTGGAATGTCAGCACTACCTACTCGCCACAACGTCGTCACGATATGGGTTGCACGATGGTTTTGGATGTTGTACATGGAGCTGGGTCAAGATGTAGCCCAACAGGGCGCATTCGGTGGGCAACCTACGCCACCGACGTCAACGACAGCGATGGATTTTGTCGAGGATTACCCCATCATCAAGTAGCGCGTGGTGCATGAAATCTCGTCGTTGAACAACAGACGCAAACACCGCGCCAGGCCATTCAAGTATGCCGCAAACGTCGTGACAGCCATTTCGACGGGGTTTCGGTACCGCAGGAGCGGGCTGTCGCGTTTGCAGTAGTACGCGAATATGGCGATCGGTGCGTACGAGCTCATGACCAGCGCAACTTGGACGAGCACGCGAATCGAGTCGTATTTGGGGGGCCCCCGGTCGTTTATCAGAGAAGAGTTGACCGGGCCGTGTGTTGAATTCATCGAGACGTGACCTCGGCTGCGGTGGGCACGTCGTTTGGGTACTATATTTAGACTACAACTCGGACTCCAAACCACGTTGATAAGCCCACTCGATGCCACTTCTCGACAGTCGTCTAGCCTTTCGCGTGTGCTCTCCTTTCCCAACCCGTTGGGTTTTAGTTGAGATCGTAGTTGTGTCGAGTGTTGAATGAATTCGAAGCGCAGTCGTCCTCCTTTTGTCGTGCACGACAATTTTCTGCAAGTAGAGCATGCCTCCCACTGATTGCACATGAGCATGCCATGAATTCACGGCCATCGACGATGCCTCGTCTCCTCGACAATTTTCCGCACATTGAGAATGTTTCCCTGTGATATGCACATGTGCTTGCAAGGACGGCAGGTCAACGACGTTGTCAAGAATGCCGGACATCCATTGCGTTAACGCGCTTGGCGTTGTGTTCCTGCGGCTTGTCATCGTCGCCGAGGGTATCACCCCCCACCGACGAACGTAGCATGCTCTCTCGTCGACTTTCAATCGGCCCAAGACGTCCCGACGAACGAAGCAACTCGCCTTTGATCGTCGGCATCGTTCGATTCGGCTGCAGGAAAGGCTCGCATTGGTCTCGGTTGAGCATCTTGTCCAGCGCCATTTGCGTGTTGTACTTGGACACAAAGTCTCCCCAGTTGGCGCCGAGCGCATGTTGCTGGAACCGCGGCAGCGTTTCCACGACGATTTTGTCCATGATCGCGTCGAGCAGGACATCAAAGTAGTTGACGTCGCGAACCATTTCTTCCGGCGCAATGCTGTACTTGCTGTTCGCTTCAAACGCGAGTACGTACCGCTTGAGGATGGATGGCGAGATGTCCTTCTCGAGCGACAACGGCGCCGCGGGGGCAATGTGCAGCTCGTATATTTCAAATGCCGAGAGGTGGTCGGGCGACTCGATGCGGTAATCCACGAGCGTTTTCCACGCCAAGACGCATTCCAGGCGAAACTCGGACTTGGCAAACGTTGAAAACGCCTTGAACCCTTCCGGCGTGTGCAAATACGCGTCGAGGATCCCCGTTGTGCCTTTGAAAGCAGCGCCGTCAACGTCGTGGTCGGGCATCATGTATGCTTCTCGCAGCGGCAGCACGATGTGGATCCAAATGAACGTGTGCGCAATGAGGATGTCCATGAAGAGGTCGAGTCGGTAGCTCAGCACAACGTCCGTGTCGAAGAAAAACGCCAGGATCGGAAAGTAGATGCAAAACCCTGCCCATGACATCAACGTCCGTGAGGCATCGCCCACGTCGTTCTCAAAAACGAGGCAGCGACGTACAGAGAAACAAAATGCGACCGCTTGCTTGAAACGACCGACGCAAGCCAAAGTTGTCGACGACTTTGCTCATCTTGAACGACAGCACCATGGACGCAACGACAATGACGAGGAATTCGGTCGCAAACAGCGTCGTCACTTTGTGGTTCAACCTAGACGGACACTGTTCCCCGTTGTACGAACTGTAGTCGTTGCTGTACAGGATGATCACGAGCGGCGTATTCCATAGGATGTGGATCAAGATGCGGTACACCGAGAGGAGCCCGCGGCGAAGCAGCGAGTGCAAGTGCGACAGATTATGGCGATTTACTTTCCGCCTCTCCGCGTGGGCGACCATGAGCTCCGTCAAGTTGAACGTGAGCACGACCTATTTCCATCGGTCAGTTGTGGCTACAACTCCATGGCGGTCTGCAGGTCGGGGTGTATGGTGCGTACCCTTAGTTCAGCTAGCAAGTACCCCATCAGTCCCAGCTGCAGAGGAATCCTACGTGGCACATGACTCACAACGAACGAAAGACGTCCACCATCTACCAGGGCCGTCGTACCCAAACGAGAGGAGCCGAAACGTGCACGAGAACTTGTCGACAAAGAGCGACCCCATGCACCGGGCAAAGCCGTACGCGAACGCTGCCGTGGCGGTGAACGTCATTTCGACAGGGTTTCGGTATCGAATCGCGGGCTTGTGGCGGTTGCAATAGTACAAGAGAATCGCAAACGGGAGGTAAAAACTGAGTCCAAGAATCGCCACGATGATCGTGCGGACGATGCCGTCTGGTGGTAGGAGTAATCGCTCGATGGCTCCGCTTGGGACAGTCGGCACCGCCGTGTCGTTTGCGCCGTTGCCCATCTCGCGCGCCTCACACAACACCAATTGGCTCCGCAGCGACGCGACTATAATTGGCACCATCGACGACTCGAATCGCTTCTAACAATAGGCGCCGGACGTGGCTTGTCTCCAGGACGATCGATTGTGCGTGCTCTTAGCGTTCGCATCTAGCCCATGCGGCTGCCGAATATGATTAGACCCCCGATTGTCGACAATGGAAATGTGCATTCGAAGCGATCAAGCTAGTGACATGTTCAAGGTGTTGACCACACTCATCTGTACTACCCAGATCTGGGAGCGGGTGCAGTCGCTTGTCTATCATCGCAGTCGCTTGTGTATCATCCCTGTCATCGAGTTCGCGCCCGCGAGAGACGAACGCAAGTCTTCCGTTTCAATCGGCCCGTGCTTGGCTTGATTGCCTCATTCTTGATCGTCGACGTTGGAGTGATGCGTCGGTGGCCAGGCGAGTCCTCCGTTGGGATCAGCGCTGTATACGACAACTAACTTGAACCAGCCCACGCCGAGAGCGTGCCGTTGGAATCGGGGGAGAGTTTCATGGAGGATCTTATCCACGATGGCGCCCAAGAGCACATCAAAGTACTGGTACTGTGCCCACCGCGGCCCCTCGTCAGGGTTCGCGCTGCTCTTGGTGCTTCCCTCCAACGCGACAACATGTCGCTTCAGTGGTGTCCCCTTGACGGTGTTGTCCAGCGGGAATGGGGCTGTCGGGGAAAGGAACTGATTGTAGATCTCGATGGACGCGAGGTGTCCAGGAACTTGGGATCGATAATCCACGAGGGCTCGCCAGCCCAAGACACATTCCACAATGAACTCCGACTTGGCAAATGTTGTAAACGCCTCAAACTCTTCGCATGTTTCAAAGTACGCGTTCAGGACCGCCCGCTGTCCCTCGTAGCATGTTGGAATTCCGAGGCTCCAACCGAAGCAACACACGGAGTGGAAGCACGATGTGGATATAATTGAGTGCATGGGCAACCACGACGTTGATGACAACGTCGACTCGATAGTCGATTACTGCCAGCGTGTTGAAGAGAAATACCAATACTGGACAATACACCAGCAGCACTAGGACGACTTGCCAGCGGGTTGACAAGATGAACAAAGCAAGTGTTCGTACAGCACGACAACACGCGTCCGCTATCGATCGCCGAAGGCCTAAGTTGTCGACCACTTTGCTCATCTTGAACGACAGCGCGACGGACGCTGAAAGCATGAGCGCAAACAACGCCATGGACCAGTTGATCATCCACGACAGGATCGCTGGTGGGCAGTTTGTGGCCGGTGTACGCACTCAGGTCGTGGGACGACAGCTCAACCATCAGCGGGGATATCCAAAGCACATGGAGGACAAAGAGACCGAACTTGTGGTGCCGACTTCGCAGGTATCCTTGGATCCATCGCATTCGTGTGGAGTTTCCACGTTAGAGCGTGGGCCACCCCGCGAAACGTTAACCTGTTCCCAGGATGAAGATATTTCGTAGCTGGTAGCTATCGCTGTCCCCCATTACCCCCTTGCTGAAGTTGACATTTGGTACACTTGAGCCCTGTACACTATGGCTCTCCAAGTGTAAGTTCGCATTCGTGGCAGGAGCAGCAGTACATAGGTCTATCCTGGACCCTACGCCACCACCATTTGAAAGCGAACGTAGTGACGTACAGTGGGTGTCAGAAGTCATCATACGATTGATATTCTCGACTTGTAGGCGCTACAGCTCTAACCTTTCTAGCTTTTACCTCAACGCAGATGTTCATAGTCGCAAGGACACCATTGATATATCAATTCGTTGAGGCTACAGGTCCTTGACATGCATACTTGGCATGATATGATGATTAGAACCACTTTGACCCCCAAATCTACAGCCAAAAGTCATCATACGAATAACAAAAATTCCCATGATATCAAGTGTTCATTCAAGTTTAGTACTTCGTGGCACCACCTTTGTTTGCAATGACCATATTCAAGCGCTTTGGCATGCTCAAAATGAGCTTTTGAACGTACTCGACTGGAACATTGTCCCAAATTTCCTGGACTCGGTTTCGCAGTGCATCAACCGATGAAGGAGGGTTACTACGAATCCTACGCTTAACGTACTCCCATACATGTTCAATGGGATTGAGATCAGGGCTTTGAGGAGGGTGGTCGATCTTCTCGAAAGCGTTTTCATCGAAAAACGCCTCCACTTTCTTGGCCGTGTGGATGGGGGCATTATCTTGCTGAAAAATAAAGTTGATCGGAAGGTCGAGCAAAATAAAATCCTCGGGCAATTTTTCCTTGAGCAAGTCAAGATAGACGGTCGAGTTAACCTTTCCTTGAAGATGGACCAAAGAACCCGTGCCATTCCATCCCATAGACCCCCATACCATAATGTTAGAACGACCACTTTTGAAAGTGGGAACAAGGCACTCATCCTTGAACTCTTCCCCTGGCCGACGCCACACATACACTCGACCATTCGATCCAGACAGGTTGAAAGGACTCTCGTCAGTCCAAAGAACTCGTTTCCAGTCCTCCACCGTCTTGTTTTTGTGCTTTAGTGCATAGGCCAAACGCTTGGCCTTGTTCGCCTTGGACAAAAATGGTTTCCGACGGGCTGCACGGCCCTTCAGACCCTTCTCTTGTATGCGGCGACGAATTGTAGAGGCAGAAACATCCTTGTCGTGGAAAACTTGAAACGTTTCCACCAAGGATTCGGCACTGAGGCGACGATTTTTTTGCACAGCACGCACGACAATGCGGTCCTCACTGGGTGTCGTGGCCCTTGGTCGGCCTGAACGCGGCCTAATGGCCGTTGTACCAGTCGTTTTGAAAGCATTTACGATGCTTTGAACCGTGGCCTTGGACATGTCCAGCTTTTTGGCAATTTTGCCAAGCGAAACGCCTTGCGAAAAGTTGGAAACCACAAGATCACGAAGAGCTTGTGGATGTTGTTGCTTGGGCGGAGGTGGTGGGTCTCCCGGGGCGTGCAGTCTCCCGGGGCGTGCAGTTGCATGGAATCGTCCACAAGGGTACTAACTTGATGGGAAAAGAAGTTGTGACGATTTGTTCTGTTATCGGATGCCTAATGCACTCTTGGCGCCAAAATTCTTGAAATCGTATGTCGACTTTTGACATGGATAATTGGGGGCCTTGAACGTCCAATCAATCTTTTGAACCCAAAATTGAGCCAATAGGATTGTGATTTCATGCTGACGAAGACCTCTAATAGGTGACTCTCATGCATGGCAAAATCTTTGACTGAGATTACAAATTTGACAACATAATGGAGTGTTCAAGGAAAATATTTTCTTCGTATGATGACTTTTGACACCCACTGTACAACTGCAGCCGGTTAGCAAGTTGCTCGCAAGTAGCATCACTGCGTTTCATGGATGCGATCTACTGCTACGCTTTCGCTAGTGCCGAAGGGTGGCGGGTATTCGCTGTGCGCCGTCACGTTGTCTTGTAGTGCGTCGTCGTCTCTTACCGACGTCCGCATCCCTTCCGTCATAATGACGGCGAGGCGACCCGTGGATCGGCTGATCGCAGCACTCTTGATCGTGGGCATAGTTTGGCTTTGTTTTGCTTGGCCGATCGTGTCGTCTAGTACTTTGTCGAGCGCGTGTTGGGTGTGATGCCTTCGGAGAAAGTCAAACCATCCCGCCCCGAGCGGATGTCGCTGAAACCGGGGCAACATTTCGATCAAGATCTTGTTCACAATCGCGTCGAGGAGGACATCAAAGTATTGCGCCCCTTGCTCGCCGTCGTCAGGGTGGATGCTGTACTTGTTGTTGCACTCGAATGCAATCGCGTACCGCTTCAAGATCGTGCCCTTTACAACGTTGTCGAGTGGAAACGGCGCCGATGGCGCGATGAACTGGTTGTAAATGTCGAGTGCCGACATGTGACCTGGCATCTCGTTGCGGTAATCCACGAGCGCGCGCCACGCAATCACGCTTTCGATCATAAAGTCACTCTTGGCAAAGGCCGACATCGCTTGGAATCCGTTTGGCGTGTGCAGGAATGCGTCCAGGACCCGCGCAGTCCCGTTGAACATGGACGACGTGGCAGCAGTTCGCGACGCTCGAAAAAAGTCGCTGACCGGCCGCACAATGTGAATCCAGAGCAGCGTGTGGACAATGGCCACATTGATGGTCAAGTCTAGATGGTACGTGTACACAACTTCTGCCGGCACGAAGACCAAGATCGGAAAATACACGAAAAAATCTACCGACAGCGCAACGTCAACGACGCGGTCGACCAAGAGCGAGCGGCGCACGTACACACGACTAACGCACGGTTCCCTGTCTGGAACGCTTGCCGCAGGCCAAAATTGTCAACGACTTTGCTGATTTGAAACGACAGCGCGACAGACGCGGCGATCATAAACGCAAACGATGCCAAGTACCAATGGCGGACGGACGCCAGGAGCTGTGCGGGACAGTCGCCGCCCGCATACACAGTGTAGTTGTCGCCAAACACAATCAGGATCGGCGGGATATTCCACGCAATGTGGAGCACGATGCGCTCGATCCAAATGTATCGCGGTCGAAGGAACACTTGCAGCCAGTGCAGTGCGCGTTGCTTGGTCAAGGGTTTGGTACTTGCATGGTTGACCATAAACTCGGTCAAGTGGAATGCAAGCACGACCTAGAGGCACCACGTTCGGGTGGCAAAGTCACCGTGGATTCGTACGTGTCGCTCGGTCAAGACGTAGCCCACGAGAGCTATCTGCAACGGAATCCTACCAAGCGCATGCGGTCGGGACGGTCTTGTCATGGAAGGACGTACCCAAACGAGAGCAGCCCAAACGTGCACGAGATGTCGTCGATAAAGATCGTACCAACGAACCGCGCAAGGCTGTTGAGATATGCGGCCATCGCCACGAATGCCATCTCGCTCGGGTTGCGGTACTTGATGCTGGAGCTGTGTCGATTCGCGTAGTACACTGCAACGACAACAGGCGCGTAGAAACTCAACGACATGGTCGTGATCAGGAGCATCTTCCCAACTCCCGTCGGACCGTGCAGCACAGCCATAGCCGTGGCATTCCCTGGCGCCACCATCACGAAAGACAGCACAAGATGCGCTATAAATACCAGCCCACGCACAAACGAGAGACCTGATCACCCAAGGACAGGCCAGACGTCGTTGGGTGCCGGTCTTCATGGATGGATGTGGTGATGGACGTGCGATCTCAACGCACACACCACCCCGACGAAATGCAAATCAGTTCGAACAACCATCAGTCATGGCGTGCTGTAAATGTGCGATGCGCTGTGCACACGACGTGGGGGATCAAAGCATGGCCCGGACTGGACGCAGCGCCTCGTTGGTCAATGGCATATGGCCCGTCAGCTGACGCACGTCGGTGCGTGAATCGGATCGTGGCAAATCTCCGTGTGATGCGAGCGACGCGTCGAGATGCACTAAATTGAAAGGATAAACTACTTACTGGAGCAACTCGTTGGGCTCCTTCTGGTTCGGGTTGAACAACTTCTTGAGGGGCTGCCAGCACTTGTAATAGTCCTTTTCGTTCTGGGGGCAGTGGAGCGCATAGTCCGTGAGCTTGATCAAGTACGACGACTCGAACATGAACGCGAGGCCGCCATCAAAGTACTGCGGCTTCAGGTCGGCGTTCGACGCGCTTTCAAACGTGGATGCGTCGGGGCCGTGGGCGCTGTCGCAACTGTGCAACGACGCTCCGCCCGGGACGAACCCGTCCTTCTTGGCATCGTACACACCGTACACCATGCCCATGAATTCCGTCATGCAGTTGCGATGGTAGTACGGGGGACGGAATGTTTTTTCTTGCACCATCCAACGCGGAGGAAAGATGACAAAGTCGGCGACGGCGCAGCCCGCTTCGTCGGTCTGGCACGTCAACACCGTATAGATGGAAGGGTCGGGGTGGTCGTAGTTGACAGAGTTGATCGTGCAGAACAAGTCGAGATTGTACTTGTACGGGACGTAGTTCCCATGCCAAGCGACAACGTCAAAAGGCGAGTGGTTCATGTGGGCTGAGAACAGTTTGCCGCCAAACTTGCCGATCACGGTGAAGTCGACATCACGGTCTTCGTACCATGCGACGGGGTGCTCAAAGTCGCGGGGGTTGGCAAGGCCGTTTGCGCCAATCGGCCCCAAGTCGGGTAAGATAAAGTGGCGGTTGTACACTTCCAACACGTACCCACGAGAAGGTTCGTCGAGGTCGATCGAGAAGCGAATGCCGCGCTGGATCACGACAATTTCACGGGGCTTGACGTGCAGTTTGCCAAACTCAGTTGTGATTTTCAACGCTCCAACTTGCGGCACGATAAGGAAATCGCCGTCCGAGTTGTAGAACGCCGTGTCTTTCATCGACGCGTTGGCAGCATACATGTGGATGGCGAGACCCGCCTTCATCGTGGGTTCACCGGCACCGCCCATGGTGTGGAGACCTTGGATAAAGTTGACCTTTTCCGACGCCTTGGGCAACGCCATGGGTTGCCAGCGCAATTGTTGGGGCGTGATGTGTTGGTTGGCAAAATCGTTCACGATGTGCTTGGCAGGGATTTCCTTGTACTGGTCGTGGACCACGGGAGGCAAGATGCGGTACAACCAGCTGCGCTGGTTTGACTTGCGAGGCAACGTGAATGCCGTGCCCGACAATTGCTCGGCGTACAAGCCATAGTTGCATTTTTGCGGGTTGTTCATCCCGGTCGGGAGGGCGCCCTTGAGTACTTCCGACGCGAAATGGTTGCCAAATCCAGGCAAGTACTCGAGGTCCGACCACGAGCTGTCGACCTGCTCGGCACGGGTGCGCTTTACTGGCGTGGTCGCTTTCCCAGGCATGTTGAGTGAGCGGTTGCGGGCGAGTTGCCGAGTGACCGCACGTCTCGTCGGCAACTCAACGTTCCGAACATAGGTCCGATGTCCAACATTCGTTCTTTATCATGTAAGGTGTAAAATAGCATTCAAAATGTGGTAGAGTATTGCTTAAATGTGGTCAATTTGTGTTGCTTCATATTTTAGACATTCTATGTTATATTTCAAGCATACATTTATGATTCGAGAGGGCTGACATTTAAGAAGATCACCTCCCTGCCATTGTAAAACGACAAGAGATTCAGACGTACTTAAACGAATTACTTCGATGGGTCACAACTTCGACGGATCGAAGTTTACAAACTTTGGTGAATTTGTAGGACACAGGCAGTTGTTGGCCGTGGTTTGTCATGCAGCTGCTGCCGTCGTTGTTGCGCTGGCGGTGTCGAGCCGGCAACGACGGGGTGTCAGGAATTGGTTGCGTGCTCGATGAAGAGAATCGTGCTCAAGGGGATGCTACGGTAGGCCAAAGTACGCTTTGCATGCGGACCACATAGCTCGATAGATTGGATCGTTGGACAATGGAGGGTGTGGGGCCGCGAGGTCGAACGGAACGGATTCGCAAAACCACTGCAAGTAGTTGAAATCCATCGGCGGCAGGTCCACAAGTGGCAAGATGTTGTCAGGCGGCTCGAGAGGTGTTTCATCATCCATTCGAGTCGGTGACGACGGGACATGTAGCCGACTGTAGACACGACCAACCAGCAGAGCTGCGTTGACCCACACAAAACACAGCTTCATGGAAGACAGAGTCAGGCGTGCCTAGACGAGGTGGAAGTGGCTCCGATTTCGTCTGTACAAAGCACCTTCCAAGTTGGTCGTCCTCGAAGAAACGCCATTCTTCATTGGATATCGCAAGCGCGACCTTTCGCCTTTTTACGCATCTAAAAAATGTCACTAAAATTAGATTGAACTTTAACAACTCGCGGCAGCAGTTGAAAAGGTGATTTGTATCCATCGGTGGCACCTCCGACGCCTTGCGCGACTCGGAAGGTAGTTTGTCGGCAGACCCAAGACGGTCTCAACATGCAGGAGTGACACACCGGGCCATCAAGGCCGAAACACAATTGCGCGTTGGTGATACCGGTTGTGGCTCGAATGGCTTAGAATGGACCTTTCTGTCCTGTTGTCCCTTGCCGACTACGCGGGTGACTTCCCAGCGGATATAGCAGGGCAACTCCACTTCCCAAAGGCGGGGTGCAAGCAGAGCATCCTGAGACGATGAATCAGGGTGCGGCTGCGCCGGCGTCGCGCCACGCCTTATCCCTCTAGTTTTTGCCAAAGCGAATGCGGTCATTCACCTCTCGTCGTCGTCGCGAGTGTGAGGGATTGCCGCACTGAATGGCGGCGCGACCATGAACATGTTGAATGCACGGATGGCCGCGACGTATCGTCGACTTGAACGTAAACATCTACTCGACTCCACGACCTTCATCGGGTCGAACGGCTGCCTCCAGCGTCGCAACGAATTAGGCGCTGGAAAGAAATCCCTGCATCATGTCATGCATCGAAGAATGGAAAGCAGCCAGGATGTGCCGAAACTTTTCTATTCGTGTGGCATTGTGAGGGGTGGAGCGAATCGACTATGCCTTCTCTCACGAAGATAATAATGCGCACGGCCCTTTCTGAAATGCTGAAAGGTCCAGGTCGGCGTGTTTTCATCGTGCAGCGATCGATGTCAAGTCGTTGACCCAACGCTTTGGATGCCGACACACTCCAACTCACTCGAGAATAGCCAAGACCGAGTGATTCGCGACGGAAACCACTTGGATTCGTCTCGTGGCGGGCGGCGGTGACGATCGTGAACGAAGCCAGTTGGGGCTGCATCGACGAGCAACTCTGTGGTAGCTAGCTACCTGCAGGCGTCACTGCCTGGCTATGCTCCGAGGAAGCTGTCTCTGTTGAAATACGATCCCTACAGTGCAACCTACGATGACTATCGCTGTTGAACGGGGCCAAAAATAACACACGCATGCCCCGACCGTCACCTGGGGCAGTGGCGCTTGCCACGTTGCTTTGGTCCTTGTCTGCCCAGAACTTGGGAAACGTAAACCGCACAGTGTCTGAAGCATGCGAGGCACTCAAGGTACGCTATGGGAGGTCGCTCGATGTGCAAGCCTAATGGATCTGACCGTCTGCGTCTCGAGCAGATTCAGCTGGACAAGCTCTGGATCGATCAAAAGCAAATGAAGGAAGGTGTTGTTGCCGGAGCAGTGACCGCGACCGATTGCAAAGAGTTGCACGACATCAACGTGATGGACTACCGAACGAACGAGCAGCAAGCCGCGCTGTGTTCGAATCCGTGCTACAACAACACGGCGTCCACGTATGCGAGCATGCTCAACTTGGACTGTTTTCAAGGCCAGGACGAGTACGAGGTCGCCAACCAGCGCCTTTTTGCCGCCAGTTTTCAGTACGGCTGCCAGCAAGACGCGGCCGAACAGTACTGCGGTAGGACTGCCACCAACGTGCCAATCCTAAGACGTTGGTTTGCGCGGTGGGCAGTACCGCTGGTAGGCTTGACCATGCAAAAAGCAGGGTCCAAGTACGACCTTTGCAGCGACATCGTCAACAAAATTGGGTGCTGCTTTGAAAGCTACAAGCGATACATGTCGTTTGGCACATCTCGGTCGGTCGAAGAAATGACGATGATGACGGCCGCTTGCGCGGACAAGGTGTCGGACATCGCGGTGCCGTGCAAATGCAACCCTGGGAATGCATACGCCAGTTCGATCAAAAACGTCTTGGTCTGCAGCTATGGTATGTTCGTAAATCCCTGTCGTGCAGGCCATGAACCTGTTTGAGTAGCGTCGGAGCGGTGGCCGTGTCACGCACAAGTGCTGTTGGTGGCGCTGGCCGCAGTTTTCACGTTCGTGTGGCTCTAACATGGCGAATCATGGCTACGATTGCTTCTTCCCTTGGACGTGGGCGACAAAGTCGTCGATCAAGACTGGCCACGCGCCGTTTTCATCGTAGTTGCTCAGGTCCGACGCGACTTGGTTGGAGAACTCGAGCAACTGCATCCAAACATCGCGAGAAATCGCATTCTTTTGATGCGCCTACAACAAGCCATTCATTGGACATTCCAGGAATGTGCCACACAATCAACCTTGACGTAGGCCAGCCACGGCTTGAGAAGACCGAAATGGGCCGGGAGAAGGATCTCCCACAACTCGAGCGCTGTATCAATCGCCATGCTGCGCTGATCGGGTTCTTTGGCAAAGCTGAATGTGTGCTGCAGAGAAAACACGTCGGGATTGCCCTGTTCAAAGGCATGACGACGTACCCCGTAGATCTTGGAAAACAACGCTCGATCACTCGTGAGGTGCTTGCGAAGAAGAGGCAGCTTTTCTTTGAGGTCGTTCACGGAGTGGCATTTCAGTGCCTTTAAGCCGTGGACGAACTCGGCCTTCGTAAACTCGCTCATTGTCATGGCGTTCATGTGGTACGCCAGAGCGAGCATGACAGGATCCTGTGCGTCAATGCCTAAATGCTCACAGAGCAGAAAGATCCCGTCGTCCGACATCACCCCGTCGTTTTCTGGGTCCGCGTACGCGCGGAACACTTGAGCCAGCTCGACACTCCACCCGTCTTCGCCTGACTTAGACGATGTTATCGCCACCTCTATATCGGACGCTTTTATCTTCTTCTGTCCATTGCCACCGTTGTCCCCATGGCACCGCTTCGACGATGTTTTTGACGATGCTGTTTGGTAATGTTTGTCAAGACGTTGCACCAGCTCGGCTTTCTTGCCGTTCACGCGAAGACCTAGTCAAATCCAATTAACTCGAACCCTGCGAGAGGACGCACGCACCCTCTCCCTTGCACAACTCCTGCAGCTCTTTCACCTTGAGACTCGACAAGTCGGACCTTTCCATCGCCCAGTTCAAGGTAGCGGGCAACGTTTTCGATGTTTGGTACCGCAGCGCTTTTGCTGTCGATTGGGCGGGAGGCGTTTAATTCATGCGATTGGACAAAATGAAGAGGAAATATTAGCTGCGGATTGGTTGATTACATCGTCCAAGCAACCACCTTCCACACACGGCAATCCGCTGGCTGGAGCTTCGTACAAGGCACGATCGTTTCCGAAGACACTATTTGAGAGCACATGCATGCAGATGACCGGCAGCTGCGGAGGCACCTAGCTGTAGCAGGTGGCACAAGCACTGATACATCCTTCGAAATTGCGCACGTGATTGGTGGAAAGCAATGTATTTTAACCAATAAAGTGCCACCATGACTTAGCCAGAAGTTTTCGTTTGAATTTGCACAACCTGCAATGCCGACGAGCGAAGTCGACGGCACATTGCCGCCAGGTGCAGCAGCAGGCGATGATGGGCAGTCACTGGATGTCACCGTGGGGTCCCAGACGACACTTCGAGACAGCTCGGACTATCCGGCAAATCGAGTTTGTATGGTCTGCTTCGATGGTGCGGAATACGCGACGAATCCCCTGCTTTGCTGTAGCGTCCCAACATGCCGGATGCGAGTTCACTTGGCATGCTACGGCTCTGGGACCGAGTTAAAGCCACTTATGCCATACAAAAGGCGCTCGACGTGGGTTTGCGACGCCTGTGCGATTGAAAAGCAGCACGGGGCAGAGCCGACACTAAACGCACAACGAACTTGTGTCGTATGCAAGCTGCCTGGAGGTGCTCTGAAGCCGACAAAAACTGACAACGCTATGTGCCATCTAGTTTGCGTGCGATGGTTGCCCGAACTAAAGCAAGTGCCATCCGAGTTGCACCCGACGGCATCTGTCGTGGACGCGGACCTGCTTTATGGCACACGCAAGTCATTGAAGTGCCACATTTGCCAGAAGCGGAACGGGTGCTTGCAGTGCATGGTAAAGCGATGCACAAAGGCATTCCATGCAGTCTGTGCCCTGCGAGCCCCGGAGACCAAAGTGTACACAGGCATCACCGAGGCAAACCACCTGGCATGCATCTGTGACGCGCACTTCGCCGAAGTACGCGCGACATTCCGGTCGATCAAAGACGAGTATTGGGATCAGCCGTATATTGGTGAAGAAATCGACGACGTTATAGATGATGGTGACGCGAGCGACACAGGACAATCCCGGCCACCAACGCCACTGAACGCACCACCCTCTAGCATGCTGACGCAACCGCCGCTACCGACGATGTTGGCGCCTGTGGCTCATTTTGTAAAGCCTCCAACCCCAAACAAAGTCGGAAGACCTCGCAAGAATCCACTGCCGTCGCAAGACCCGTCCGCTCCTAAACCCATGCTGCCGCCTCCTCCTGGAAGCACTCAAGCCCCTCTACCGTTCGTGCCACCGCCACCGCCAATGATGTCAACTGTCGGCCGCCCACGACCACTGACGCCCCAGACATATCCATCTCCACACCCTCCACACTCCATGACCGTGTCCTCTAAACCGTCCGACGTGGCTGTCTGCACTTGGTGCATGCAACCCATGCTGAGTTCAATGCTCCAGGTCCATCAACAGTCTATGTGTCAATCCCGACCGTCGCAGCGGAATTCCACGTCAAAGGATTCCAATCAACCGAAAAAGACCCGGGGGCGACCGCCTGGCCCGACCAGCAAAACCAACAAAGACCGACCGCTTCTCCAGCCGCAAGAAGCGCCAGCGAAGAAGGCGGATGGACCATCCGGCCCCAAGACCGGAATGAAGCTGCAACCATCTCCACTGATTGCGTCAGCGGGACCTTTCCCAAGACCGATGATGACCATGCAGCCTCGCCCCATGGCATCGCATCCCATGGCCACAATCCCTCGACCTCCCGATGGTCATCCCACGCCTCCACCCCAACCTGTCAAAGATATCCTCATGGAAAACGCTCTTGGGCTCCTCCGTCTGAACTCTGTCGACCCACTCTTTGCGTCTTGGCCTAGCATGCTTGGCGGCGGCCTCTTGCAGTCGCGAGACTTCTGGACACAAGTGCTTCAAGCGTTCTTCTCCAAACCAGGTCTCACGCCACCCAAGTGGAATCCCATCACACAGTGGTTGGCCGGTGTGTCATGTCAAGCATTTCTTCAACCGCTCAAGCCTCCGACCAAGTGCTCCGATGTCACCACGTTCACCCAGATATCGAGCGAGTGGCTGGCCGCGACAGACGTCCGCCACACGTGCGACGCCATGCTTCAGTCTCATGGCGTGCGCTGCGCCCAGCCATTGACACCCTTCACACACATCAAGTCGTTGACTCGAGAGAGTGAGACGTCGGGCATTCTGGAAGTTGTCCTTGCCAGCCACAACCGGCCCCTGCTCCATTGTCGATTCGCTGTCGTATGCGCTGTCCACGCACCGACCAACTCGGACGCGCCGAATGTCGTGTGGAGTCGATTTCGACCGAACAATGCGCTTGTGTCGATGCCCAACGACGCTGAGTCCACCATTCTGTCGTCCACAACCGCACCAGCGGTATCGCCACAGCAGCCTCCCCACAAAGAGCTCCCGATTTGGATCGCTCTTTTGTCGAGCGAAGAAACGACAGACGTCACCGTAAGCGACATGTACGACTCCGCGGCAGTGCACGTGACGAACGCTCCTGTCAAAGACGACATGGCGTTAGAATCCATGTTGTGTTGGGATTTGCTCCAAGAACAACTGAAAGTGAACCGCATGCGGATGCAGAGCCTGTGGCGTAAGGCGAATGCAGCGTCGGCGTCGGACGCGACCGCGGCCGCAAAGCATGTCGAGAGTCTGTACGAAGAGTATAACTGGTGGAAGTCGGTGTGCACGAGCATGATGAAAGGCACGAACGACATGCCGTTCTTGGACGACCCTGACGGCAACCTCACGGGTGACCTCCAGTCGTTTGAAGATGGCACGTGTGTGGTGTGCATGGATGGTTACTCGGAAGACTCGAATCCGATTATCTTTTGCGACAAGTGCGACGTCGCCGTTCATCAGCGCTGTTATGGCGTCGCGACGATCCCGAAGAGCGACTTTTACTGCGACAAGTGCAGTGCCAAAGGACCCGTCGTCCCGCAGTGCGCGCTGTGTCCCCATCCCCATGGCGCACTCAAACAAACGGTGGAAGGTCTCTGGGTCCATGTGTTTTGCGCCCTCTGGTGCCCGACGACCTTCCTCGTCAAGGTGCCTCGCATGCTTTTCCAACTAACGCCAGATTTGTCCAAAGTCCGATACGCTACCACTTCGATCGACGAGTTGGGCAGCACGACTGCTCTCGCTGACGTTGTCGGCCTTCCTCCACCCGTCCAACGTGGTGGACTCTGCCGCGTTTGCCGAATCGCCACAGGCTGTACGATTCAGTGCCGCAATTGTCCAGGTACTCTGTCTATTTCGTTGCATGGAGTACGGTGAACTGTCTGAGTTTTTGTCGCTCTAGCGTCGTTCCACCCGCTCTGTGCATGGTTCGCTGGATGCTACATGCATGTACAAGTTGCAGCATGTGGCTACGTCTGTGCCGGCGGTGGCCAAGGCCTCCTGTACACATTGACATGCCTGGATCACACGCCACCGGCGCTGCCATGCCAAGATCGACACCTTCAACGTTGCCAGCGCGAACAACTGTACAAGTCGACAACTCGCAATCGTTGCGCCGTGTGTTTTGAGCCCATGCCGACGATGTATCCCCAGCATCGGTTTGACGCCCTACCGTCCACACATTTCTTTTTGCGATGTACGGTCTGCCATGTCCAATGCCATGCGCATTGCGCGCATCCCATCGATGCAGTCGACTCTCGTACCCCCACCGCAACGTGGCAATGTGAAAAGTGCGTGGCGCCGGGGTCGCCGGCGGAGCAACCCGCCGCCGTGTCGTGCCTTTTGTGTGATCTGCCCCAGGGCTACATGCTTCCCGCTCACATTCCGTCGGAAGCTCGGACGGCCACTGCCGCCGGTGGCCTAGCAGTGTCCCCACCGCCCGTCCACCCGTACGTCCATTTGTACTGCGCCAGAGCGTTCCAGCAATCGATTCAAAAGACGTCGAAACAAGGGCGCGTCGTCATGATAACTGCTGCTGCCGCCCATGTGATTCCATTGCCATCCCACAAATGCGTCGTCTGCCACGCAAAATCCCCCGCGGTACTTTGGCAGTTTGTCCTTACACTGGTTACAAAACTCACCCGATTGTTTCGTTGCGCTAGACTCGCCTCGTGACTTGTTGGAAAAAACAATGCTCGGTTCTGTTTCATCCGTACTGCAGCGCCACTTCCTTGTGGTTCAGTTGGAAACCCACGCCGAAGGCAAAGACGTTGTATTGCTGCAGCGAACACCCGCCCGGCTTTGCCGCGTTTGATGCTGCCAGACAGGTCTGGGTCACTCGGGACACCCTCATGGCACTCCAGGAGATTCGTTGCTCTTTGGAACGCGTGCGGATGTTTATTAATTTGTCCAAGCAGCGGGAAAAGGCCAAAAAGCGTTTGTTTGTTCAGTCGGATAGCCGCGCGTTCGACAAAGGTTCTCCACGGTCCCTCTCGGTCTGAAATCTCTGACTCGTTTGTCTAGTGATGGAATTCCTCCATGTGAAGGCACCGACCAAGATCATGAAGGAATTTTACCACAGCGTGACCAACACACGGCTCGCGGATGTCCCCAAACGGAAACTGCCCGACGAGCTGGTCATGCCGAGCAAGGTCGCCCGCACAGAGTCGCCGACCCCCACGAAGGCAGCGCTTTTGACGGAAGCACCGAGCCGAAGCAAAATGCAAAAACGCCACCAACACGAGGCAACTCGACAACGCTACCGACGCTTCCTCGAAGACTCGCGCGACGATGCCGAGGAAGAGTCGGACGAAGAAAACGTTCAAGACTACTTGGCCAGGATGGCGACATTTTGGTCGCAGCCTGTCGAAGGGGAAGACCATCCATCGATGGACGACGTCATGGCCGCGCTGTATCCACACCACGTTGCCGCCGACGCGTTGTAGGAATACGCCACTTGGTCGCAGCGGCCGTGCCAAATCTCAAAGTCATTCAACCACACCGCATGCCACGATCCCCATGACTGTCCAAGCTTAGGCTCCACACAGTCAACACAATTTGGATACCATTCGTTTTTGCATGCTCCTGTCGCTCACGACAAAGTGTCGACAACACGCCGGAGAGCCCAAACCAGCGACTGCGAGCCGAGCAGTGTGCTGGCGTCCGTGCTGAAAGGACCAAAGTCGCCATGGATTTACTCGTCGCTTGCATCGTAGATCGGTGGGAACGACGTGCCATGGGGAAACTGGAGCCAATTCGTCGAGGGGTACTTGGTCTCGTGCGACTCGACGGCATGGATCGCGTACGCATGACGGGACGTGAGCGACTTGTTGGCGTGCGAGTAGTGCACAAATGCATGGTGGAGCAGTACGAGGTCCCCTTTCTTGGTCAGGATCGGTTTTCCATTCGATATGTCAAACGTGGCATGGCCGGACGTGGTCAGGAGAGGCTGGTCCTTGTCGGCGTTGACAGGAGTCAAGTTGCGCCCGTCGTACGGCGTCGTGCGCAGAAATCGCTGCTGGATCGGAGTTGTTTTGTGCGACCCCGGCACTCCATACAAGCATCCTACAGACGTGTTCAGGAATGGGGAATCGGAGCGACGACCGACCGTTCAACGGGGTGCAGTCTTCCAATGCCCACCAGAATCCGATGACGCTCTGCGGCTCCGTGTACAAGTACGTGCCGTCTTGATGGGGCAACACCTCGCCGCCAATGGAAGGCTGCTTGAAGATGTACATCGATTGCGGCAACACGGGGTTGATGTACCCGAGAGACTTGAGAATCCCTGCAACACAACGTTAACGGAGCTAGTCGTCTACGATTCGTCATACCCGTGACTTGTGGAGAGAAGCTCACGGCGCGGAAAGCGGGGTCCAGGGAATGGAGATTGTGACCAATCTTGTTGATCGCTTTGTTGATGGGGACGATGAGGTTGCCCTCGTCGTCGAACGCTTTCTCTTCAAAGAAGTACCGGATTTGATGGCCCGATTCGAGAAAGTACGAGTCGCTGAAGCGCGTCTGATGCGTTGAGCTGAAGATGGACTTTTGGTACGCATTCGGGTCGAATTGCGCCAGGTGGTGGAGCGAACGGAAGCGCAGCGCATCACAAACGTCGTCGGACAACGCACCGCGAATGTGGAGGAACCCGTTGGTGTCGTAAAACTTCTTTTGATCGGCAGTCAGCCCGAACGCACTCGCGTTACCGCTACCCGTGTAGTGCCTCAACCAGGGTAGCAACGAAGACGGCTTCCAGAGCTGGGCTTGCGTGCGACGTAGCATGTTGGGATGGGGTGGTAGCTTACTGTGATTTTACGTTTTTTCGGTATTCACACTATTTTTGGGCTTTTCTCTCGCTGTTGACAATTCGACTCCCAGTGCTGCGATGAACAAGCGTTGACAGGGGACTTGTCCGCGCCGCGCAAGACACGGTTCTGAACGCGTTGCGCTCGGAGGTTCCCGCGGCGTCGTGGAGATCAGGTTTGGCCTCGCTGGCAAGCTGAACTTGGTCGATTTGGCTGGATCGAAAAGCAGTCGAAACACACTCGGCGGGCGGGGGCCAGAACGGACGAAGTCAAACACGTCAACAGGAGTGTCTCAAACAACTGCATCGCGATGTTGAAGCAGCCTGGACGGAAACGCATTCTGTACAGAGACTCGACGCTCACGCAGTTATCCTCGCTTGGTGGTGTCGCGCGCTCAGTACGTTGGGTGTGCCATTCCCTGTTGAAGATGGTCCTCGCAAGTCGCAGGTCGTCCTCGCAACTATCCATGGGCTTGCCACCGACAAGACCATCCAAACGATCCAGTTTGCGGTAGCTCCAATGGTCCAGGACTTGCTGACAGGTACGAGATGTGATTGCTGACGGAGTTGCATTTCTGTTTTCCCGTTGTCTTGAAACTAGGGTGAGGACACTGAATGCTATCAGCGTGGGCATGGTTGGGACGCTCGTCTTCGCGGCGATGGCCGACGCGGTCCAAGGATTTCCCGAGGGTAGCGCTGCTCGCCTTGTGGTTCAACACGGATGGTCGATGATGCTGGTGGTGGGTGACGCTCGTGCGGACAATGGATGGTCAGGACGATGGTGGCGCTATCAATGGCCAACGCCCTATTTGTCTTTGAGGTGGTAGTGCCGACGGTGTGGCAACGAACTCTGCCCCAAACACCTTGGTCATGTCCATCGCTTGTCGTCGTGGTTGGACGCTGCTGTTTCTCAAGAAAGCAGTACACATTCAAAGCTGTCTTTGCCAACGTCGCCCTTCGCGCGGCGTGGACAACGCCAACGACATGGATGCGTTTGATGGCAGGTGTGACTGCTCTGTTCGTGTTGTGTGGATTTATGTGTGTGTTGCTGCCGTTGACGAATCCTCCGACCCGTCGAAAATCTGGATGCAGCAGGAAGTTGCTGGTAACGCCGTGTTTCAGTTCGCTTGGCTCGTCATTCGAAGCAAAAACGACTGTGGCCATCTCGTCCCATCTTGCACACGATAGTGACACTACAAACATGCGTGCGATTCTGTATCCAGAAGAGGCGCATGACATCCACATGATCTGCTTTGACGCGGTGGTCGTACTGGTGTCGTTGCCAGTCGGCGTCGTGTGGTGCATTGTCGCATATCTGGTTTGCGGAGGCCACAAATTGCCCAACGTCTCGACATGTGGCTGCCATGTACCGCCGCCACGTACCGCACTTGTCAGCGTGGAGATTTGTTCTCGGTGGACCTTGTTCGATCGATGTCGTCGCTCAGCGTTTCGATCGACACGATGGTCGAAAATTGAAAATTCAATCCCCATGACGGCCACGAGCATGTGCCACGCCTTGATTTATGGACGCATTGGCGCAATTGTTGCGTCCCTCGTACCTTGCGAACAAGATGACCTCACAAGCTCCACCACCTCTGGATATCTGTGGAAAGCGCTGCGACGTCGTTTGCTGGACGCTTGACCGTCGGTCCGGTCGTGTCGACGATTGTCCAAGTGGCTGTGGCCACTTGGACAATCGCCACCGATCCACACTACTTATCAAGGTATCATACGAGCAATCTCAACGACGAGCATGCTGTGCCGTGCACCTTTACGAGCTGAATGCTCCCCAACCGATGGCAAGTACACGAGTCTGTTGAGAAGAACGCATTCCCATGCAAATGAAAAGGTCATCGTTTTCGGCTGCAGGGATACCTGGCTTACCACAGCGTCGTAGACCAAAACAGCCACGACAAGTCGTCGCCGCGAGCGACCCGAATGCATCTGCAGTGGACGAGACGACGCTTGAATACGTTGCCGACCCCTCGCCACGATATCCCGATGTACTTGTAGCCTTGGCTTCTTGGAGACTCGTATAGTAACACGAGCTGAAAATTGTTTCCTTGCGGCCCGTGCATGACATGCGTTGGGCCCGTCGAATGTGCCGTTTCATGGCAAGCGAACAGTTTCGTCGGCAAGACCAACCAAAGTGGTCGCGGGAATCCATCGGGGTTGTTCATGCATGCTGCCACATGGACGAGCCACAATGTGCAAGCGTCGTGCCCGCATCGCCCGTCGAAACCATCCCTGACAACCCAACGACAACGCCTCCGTCGTCGGCTGATTCGGTGTCGCTCGCGTTGGAAGACGGTCGTCAAGGTGCCAACGAACGCATCCGAGTCTTCGTTCGCGTTCGCCCGCTGTCAGCATGTGAAGCCACCTTGTCCACGACTGACGTACTGTGTCGACCAGCACAATTGACATGACTAAATGACTTGTGTGCCTAGTTGGTCTCGACCACCGCCACGTCCCTCTGCTTGCCGTCGTCGTCCCAGAGTCGCGTCGAGTGTGCTTTCGACCGCATTTTCGCCGCCGACGCCACACAAGCGGATGTGTATACTTCCGTACAACCGCTTGTGTCCGACGTGCTGGAAGGGTTCAACGCAACGATATTTGCGTACGGACAAACTGGGACAGGCAAGACGCACACCATTCTTGGCATGGACGACAACACAGAGCTGTCTGCGCCCCACGCGCGAAGCACGACGCCCGACCTCTCGCTGTCCGCTCCGTCTTGGGGCATAATTCCTCGTGCTTTGATCCAACTCGTGGATGCGACCGCATCCAACCAAGACTGTTCCATTTCGTGCGCGTACCTCCAGATTTACAACGAAAAGATCTATGACTTGCTCACGGACAAACGGCGGCAGAAACCGCTCATGTTACGAGAAGCCCTAGACGGGACGACGGAAATGGTGGTGCAAGGCTTGTCGACGTACCCCATCACGTCGCTGTCGGATGTCATGACGTTTCTGAAACGTGGGTACGTCGTCTCGAACGGAATCGGCCGGTAGAACTGATGGCTGTCTCTCACGAGCACAGGCGACTTCATCGGGTCGTACGAGAGACCGACATGAACGCTCATAGCAGTCGGTCGCACGCGATATTGCAGGTCACACTCAAATGCCATTCCAAGGACGGCGTGCGCCGCGCCAAGTTGAACTTGGTCGACTTGGCTGGGTCCGAAAAGTGGAACAAGCAGGCCGTGAAACCCGGTGTCGAAATCGAAGAAATGAAAAACATCAACACGAGCTTGTCGGCACTTGGAAACTGCATCGCAGCGCTGACTGAGTCCGGTCGAAAGCACATCCCGTACCGCGACTCTTCCCTGACGCGGTTGCTGCAAGACTCGTTGGGAGGCAATACCCGGACGGTGCGCGGCGTCGATTGCAAAGCAACGATTGATGACACAGGTGTAGGTGCTTATTGCGACAATCAACCCACGCGCTTCGGACGAGACCCTGCGCACGATTCAGTTTGCCGACCGCACGCGAGCCGTCATGCAATGCGTTGTTCAAAGTCAAAACACGCCCCTGTCACCGCGGCAGATGCACCTAGGTATACAACGACTTTGGTCGTCGGATGCGCTGACTGTTTTGTAGGACTCGCCGCTGCCCGCATGCACATTGCAAAACTCAAGCAAAAGGTGCACGAACTGACCGAGCAAAAGGACAAACAAGCAGACATCGTCGCCCAAAAGTTCGAGGCGCAGGTGCGGGAAAAGGAACGTGCGATCGAGCGCCTGCATACACAGAACGAATTGTACCAGCAACAACTGCTGGACGGCGAGCGACAAATCCAATTGCTCAAGGGCCAAGTACAAGCGCTGTCCACGCCGCCGAAAACCACGTGGGCAGTTCCATCGCAGCAGCCCACGTCCAACCAAATCAGCCATCTCGACGAGCCAAGCGCTGGCTACCGTCCTGTCGGACAACCGATCCTAAAATCCCTTCCACACCTCGAAGACAAAATCAAGAGCAGTGAGCTTTACAGGACAAAGTACGGGATCAAGCAGCCTTTTCAAAGCCAGTCATTCCAACTCGTGGAAAGCGTCCATCCAACCCCAGGGTACGCAGCTCCGAGTTTCTCCAAGTCGACCCCCACGTTTACCAGATCACAACCTGTCACGTCGATTCCTGTCAACGATGATACCTCTTCCCAAGACTCGATTTGTTCGCAGCATCAGCTGAAAAACTGTGTACTGTGTGCACTGCGGCAAAAAATGAACGGATTGGCTCCCGCTGCGAACTCCCACGTCAAACCACGCCCAAGCCCACGACTGGCTATGCCCGCTTTGGTCAACGCACCATCCTATCGAAGTGCACCACCACCACTCAACGATGCAGGGTTCTGCAGCATCCATCACCTCAGTCGCTGTGTCCTGTGCAATCGCATGCCCGCCAAACAACAAACTACGACCCCTATACTGTCGACAGCTCATCCAAGTGCGGAAGACCGGACTCTCTGTGCCCCACATGGTCTCAGCAACTGCGTTCTCTGTGTCCGGTTGCAACCCCAACGAAGTGTTTCATTTCTTGCTGCGGTCGCGACGAGTGGTGCTCAGCCCCCCCAACGATGACAACTCTTGCGTATGAACTGGTCCCAGCTGATGCGTCGCCTAACTTATACTATGACACAATCGCGTTTTACATCATGACGTCAACACCGGGGCGGCATTGCTCGCAGTACATGTGCAGAGCGATACCGAGCGCGCCAGCGCCAGCAACCGCTCCTGCAATCGACCGCAGGCATGCCGTGCATTTGTGTGATGCCACGTCAATGTGCACAATCGCCGCCGTTACGACGAACCAATCAAAACGTTCGATTTTCCTCGTTGGATACAAATCGAAAGGTCGCGAGGTAGACGCGCGACGATGGAGGCGGATGCTGACACGGGGAACCAGACACCGCAGTTGCAATGGCGGAAGATTGAGTGCACGGGAGAGGCACCAAGTCGTCGCAGCGGTCACACGCTGACGATTGTCGGGTCGAACGGGTTTCTGTTTGGAGGATGCGACTACGCTGAACCTCCTGGCCCGACCAACGATCTATTTCAGCTACGCATCCACACCAACGGGTCATGCGATTGGAGTCGCGTGGCATTCCGAAAAGGGCCGTTGCCGCGATGGAAACACTCGGCAACTCTCGTGGACAACAAGATCTACCTCTTTGGCGGGTTTCACAACGCGACCACCCGATTTCAGGACGTCTGGATTTTCAATCCCATCACGATGGAGTGGAGTCAGCCTGTTCCCCAGTCAACGCCACGGTCGTCAACAACCCAAGTGAATAAGTCGGCGCTCACGTGGCCAGGGTGCCCCGCACCCCGCGGAGGCCATTCCGCTAGCCTCATCAACCGCGAAATCTACATCTTTGGAGGGTATGGCGGCCAAGGATACTCGCGCCGAGACTTTGACGACTTGTACGCGTTGAATGTGGACACGATGGCGTGGGGAAAAGTATCGACAAAAGGGAAGGGCCCCGAGCGCCGCTCTGGCCATCAAGCTTGCGCTGTCGACGCGCAACTGTTTGTATTTGGCGGATGGAACTGTACCACTCAGTTCAACGATTTGCACATCTTTGACACAGAGACTCTGTGCTGGAGCTCTGTGGAAGGGTCCCATATGAGCCATACGTCGCCAAGATGGAACCACGCGAGCTGCGCTGTCTTGGCCATTCCAAACGCAAAGATCTTTTGCTTTGGAGGGGTCCTCGGCCAAATGAACGAATATGGCGCACCTGGAATGTTCACCAACGACATAAGCGTTCTCGACACCGGCACGTTTGCTTGGACAGTACCAGAAACTCATGGTACGCCCCCGGCAGCCCGCGCTGACACCACTCTCGCGTACGACGACAAGGGGAGCCGCCTCATGATATGCGGCGGCTGGGCCAACTTATGGTTCAACGATGTGTTTTCGCTTGACGTGAGTTGCGTCGTGGGCCCACCGTATGCAATTACGGGAGTGCGCCCGTCTTTCGGCGCCATCACGGGAGGACTGTTGCTCACTGTAGAAGGCATCGACTTCACCCCCAAGCCCGTCATCGTTCGCTTCTCCTGTCGCAAGGGCACAATTGACGTCCCGGGGACGTACGTCAACGATCAAACGCTTACTGTCACGACGCCCGACTTCTCCATGTTCCCACCCGGTGACGTTCAAATTCGTGTCGCGCTGCAAGGCGACTCGTTCACGACGACGTTCCAAATGTTCAACTTCTTTGCAGTCACGAGCGCAGCCAAGACGTTGGCGTACGGGGCTGGCGTACAGTCTGGTGGTGCCGCGGCCGAGCCGATCACGTTTCTCCTTCAAGCGTGCGACGCCAACAGCCACCATCGCGTTCGAGGCGGTGACGAATTCATGGTGTCTGTGCGCTCCCTCGTCGACGACAAGGAGCTGCAAACCGTAATCCAAGACATGGACAACGGCACGTATGCAGTCACATATACTGCGCCTACTCGGGGCGAGTACGAAATCAACGTTCAATTTTGCGGCACGTTTGGCGGCGAGGTGGGCACGGTGTATGGGTTTCCGCTTGTCGTGTCGTTCGACGACGCGATGGCGCGGGACATGAATCGCATGACTGGCAAGTTAGTCATGGACGGTCTGTCCACCGATCTTCTTGCGCTCACACAACTGATCGAAGACTGCGGCAAAGGGCTTGACCTGGACGTGGGTTTGTCCGCGACCTTGGCGGACGAGACTGCCGCATTAATTCAACTCAAGGAGCACTTGTTCACCGTCGAGAAGAAGGGTGACTACACGCGGTGGTTGCTCGAAAAGACCAAGTCGCTACTGGCGTTTCTCTCAACTGCTGTCGACGTGGAAAAAGAAAAGAACCAGCTCGCAAATTTGGAAACGAGCTGGAACGACCTTGTCGTAAAGGTCCCTGTCGTGGCAGCGCGCATTGCTCCACGGCTGTCGGCGCAAAGTTCCCGCACCAAGGCCGACATTCAAGGATACCACGAAAAGCTCGTGGCATATGCTACCAAGGTCAAGCACAAGGTGGGTCACAGACTCATTTGCAGGAAATCTCGAGAATTTGCCCAACGAACTGCCGACGTAGGGCTTTTGGGAGTTTGAAACAGGCATGAAAAATGCTCTGCACATGCTGGACGAAGCGGCGCAAGAGTTTAGCAAAGAAGAAGCTGCGTTCAAGCGAATGCGTCACGTGGCAGAAATCTTTGAATGCCTACCATTGATGGACCCGAGTGAAAAGGTCGTGCAACATGTCTCAAGGACTCTCGAGCGCCTGCGCACAGTATGGACGGTCGTGGGGGACATCAGCCGCAAACTCCAGATGGCACGAGATCTGTTGTGGGTCGATTTGGACGGGTCCGTCCTCGAAGACGAGGCGAAAGCTATGATGAATGCTGTCAAGTCAGCGGGGAAAGAAAAGGAGATCAAGGACAGCAACGTGTACCAGGGGTTGGAAGCCATGGCGCACGACTTCTTGGTCAGTTGTCCATTGTACCAAGCGCTGCGTCACCCGTCCGTGCAGTCGCGCCACTGGGTCGAGCTGATGGAGGTACTGTTCTCCTGGAAGTTGACAAGGATATTTGACGTGAAGCGTCGTCGCGCTGTAGTTGGTTCATCAAACGTTTCCCAATCCGATCGATCATGTCGAGCTAAAATTTGCCGACATCATGGGGCTCGGTCTCCATCGCTTTCAAAAGGACGTTGAAGACCTCACGGAGCGGGCGCAAAAAGAATCGCGGGTGGAGCAAGCGCTGCAAGAAGTGGAGGCTAGGTGGACGGCGATATGCTTTGACATGTCCACGTACAAGGACACGGAGATTCCAATCCTTCGCGTTCGGGATGAAGACGTTGAAATCCTCGAAGCGGATCAAGTCATGCTGCAGAGCATGCTCAGCAGTCGCGTTCAATTCTTCAAAGGGCTCAGCGAGATGTGGTCTCAGCGCCTCACGTACGTGCCAACGCTACACGTCTTCACCACGGTCGTCGCTTGACCTGGAGACGGCAGGTGCATCGCGGACGTGACGATGGCACTCGGAGAATTCCAACGCACGTGGTCGTACTTGGAGCCCCTGTTCATTGGGTCTGACGAAGTGAAGAAGGAGCTGCCGGACGACGCCGCCCAGTTCGTTGCGATCGATGCGGCAGTCAAGGAAATCCTGACATCATTTGCCCAAGCTAAAGTAATTCTTACAGGTACAACACGCGATGTCACATGACCGACCAAACGTGGTCCACTTGGTTGATAACGACGAGCGCTGTAGCTTGCACGGCCCGCCTTTCCCAGCTTCAGGAGCTTGCTACGTTGTCCACGTCGTTGCAAAAGTGCCAAAACTCGCTCATCGAGTTCCTCGATGGAAAACGACGGCTCTTTCCCCGGTTCTATTTTACTTCTGAAGCCGACTTGCTCGACATCCTGTCCAACGGGGGCACCCCCGCCGCCATCACCAAGCACTTGTCCAAAGTGTTTCTCGCCACACAAGCGTTTACGTTTGAGTCGGGCACGACTGTCACCCACTTTGTCTCGAACGTCGGCAACGAAACGATTCGATTCGTGGCGCCTGTCACGTTGTCGGGCAAAGTCGAAGGGTACCTCACCGACGCGTTGAACGGGATGAAGCTCACGCTGAAGGAAAATATCAAGAGCACCATCAAACGGTACCCGCAGCTGTCCCGGACGGACTGGCTCATGTCTCGAACGAATGATGGCGCGTTGCTGGATGCCGCCCAGGTGATTGGAGCCTCCATCAATGCATCGCCTGACATCGACCTTTGTGGACCGGGGCGTAGGTGGTGCTGCTCGTGTCCAGCATGGAATACGTAAAGAGCGTCGAGGCAGCCCTGGTCGGGGTCGGTAGCGGCCATGCCAGCGCACTGTCCGAACTACTCGAGAAAATTACAATGCAGCTCAACGACTTGATCAAGTTGACGCGTGGGCCGCTCAACGACGAAGAACGCCAGCGCGTGATGTGCATGATCACCACGGATGCCCACAGTCGAGATGTTGTTCAGTCACTCATTAGCCAACACGTCACGGCACTTTCGTCGTTTGTGTGGCAAGCGCAGCTCAAACCTCGGTATGTCTGCCCTGTACTGGTCATTCATGTCATCGATTCGTGCTGTTGTGATCACACTTAGGCTATGCGTCACCGACCAGACGGCGCTGGACATTTGCGATGCCACGTTCGAGTATGGCCTCGAGTACCTCGGCAATGGCCCTCGGCTGGTCATCACGCCGCTGACGGACCGCATGTACGTAACAGCAACGCAAGCGCTGAACTTGCACCTCGGGTGTGCGCCATCGGGTCCAGCCGGGACGGGCAAAACCGAAACAACGAAAGACCTGGCGAGTGCGTTGGGGAAACCATGCTACGTCTTCAACTGCTCGCCTGAAATGGACTTCAAGAGCCTTGGCAATATTTTCAAAGGTGCGTACGGTGGACGAACATAGCAAACGAGTGCGTCGTTGACACGTGTACGTGGTGTAGGCCTGGCGTCCAGCGGGGCGTGGGGTTGCTTTGACGAGTTTAATCGGTTGATTCCCGAAGTGTTGAGTGTGTGCTGTCTCCAGTTCAAAGCCGTGTGCGACGGCATCAAGGGCGACTTGTCGTCGATCATCCTCGAAGGTTTGTAGAGCTCTGGCACGAGTGATGCTAACAGTGCGTTTGAAGGAGACTCTGTGGTCTTGGATCCGACGTGCGGAACGTTCATCACGATGAACCCGGGGTACTTGGGGCGGTCGGAGCTTCCTGAAGGGCTCAAAGCGCTCTTTCGACCCATCACGGTCATGCTACCCGACCTGTGTTTGATATGCGAAAACATGCTCATGGCGCAGGGCTTTACCGAAGCCAAGACTCTCGCGTCCAAGTTTTACCACTTGTACCATCTTTGCAAAGAACTCCTGTCACAACAGGACCACTACGATTGGGGCCTACGAGCCATCAAGTCGATTTTGCTAATCACAGGATCCCTCAAACGAAGCGAACCGACGCTGACTGAGTCCCAGCTCCTGCTGCGGGCGCTGCGTGACTTCAACGTTCCGAAGCTTGTCCTGCACGACCAGCCCATTTTCCACGGTCTCCTTCATGACTTGTTCCCAGAACAACCCCCGCCTCGGTATAACACCCCAACGACTCTGTCGCATGCCATGTTCGTTCGACCTCACCAGAGTACTCGCTATTGCCTCTAGAAAAGTCCACGCGACGTTTGAAAAGCACATTGAATCGGCATGCGAAACGCTAGGACTGTGGCCCGAAGAAACGTTTCGCCTCAAGGTCGTGCAACTGGACGAGCTTTTGGTCCTGCGTCATTGTGTGTTTGTGATGGGCCCAGCGGGCGCCGGCAAGTCCGAGTGCATCCTCGCGCTGCAAACTGCCAACGGACTGCACGGCACCAAAGTCAAGCTTGTGGACATCAACCCCAAGGTTGTGTCGACGGACGAATTGTACGGTTCCATGCACGTGACGACACGAGAATGGAAGGACGGGCTGCTTTCCAAAGTCATGCGCGATTTAGCCAACGACGAGTCGGATCAATGCAAGTGGCTTGTGCTTGATGGGTAAGACGGAATCAACCGCGGTCTGCTTCCACATTGACCCTCGTGCCATATTCGGTAGCGACCTCGACGCAAACTGGATCGAAAGCATGAACAGCGTCATGGACGACAACAAAACGCTGACGCTGGCGTCCAACGAACGCATTCCGCTGAAAAATCACATGCGATTGATCTTCGAAATCCAGGACCTGGCCTACGCGACCCCAGCGACAGTCAGCCGAGCGGGGATTCTGTATCTGTCCACGGATGAAGGTCCAGACTGTGCAAGCATGCGGCTGACTCATGTCTCCTCTACCCGTAGGCACACAATACAGGTCGTTTTTGGCCAGCTGGCTCAGCGACACGTCCCCCGAAGTCGACGTTCGTTCGCGGCTCGGGGAGTGCGTCATGCGCTATGTCGAGCCGTGTCTGGCGTACCACAAGAAACTGAAAACGATCGTACCGTTGGAAGACATTTCGGTCGTCCAGAGCTTTCTCCACTTTTTGGACGCCACACTTACCACAGCAATCGTGGACGACCCCAAGAAAATTGACATTGTGTGTGGATTTGCCTCGATATGGGCGTTCGGAGCCGCGCTGTGTGTGGCCGACGACGGCACAGACTACCGCAAGCTCTTTTCCGAGTGGTGGCGCGCCGAGTTCAAAGGAATCAAGATCCCCATCCGCGATACCGTGTTTGAGTACTATCTGAACCCCACAACGTTCCAGTTTGACTCGTGGCGCGCGAGTCCGTTCTTCACAGCCATCAAGTTTGACGGCCACGAGTCCATGCATGCCGTGACGGTTCCGACCACCGAAACAGTCAGCACGTTGCTCTGGACGAGTAAAATGATCAGCGAAGCACACGGCGTGATGTTGTGCGGGCATGCTGGAACAGGAAAGACACAAATGATCAAGGGTACGCATGCTTTGGAATGGCGGAGGTATTTGACGCATGACAGGTTTTCTCACCACGGCCGCGCAACAACATCTCTTGAATGGCCAAGGGAAAACTTACTTGTCGAGCACTCTCAACTTCAACTATTACACAAATGCCGCCGTCCTCCAAAGCGCGTGTGAGTCGAAACTCGTCAAGCGGATGGTAAGGGCACGCGCTCGCTGTGTCGTCTGCACGACACAGACTCACATGGCCTGTAGGGCTCGACGTTTGGACCCATGGTGAACGGGGCGCAGTGGATCTTCTTCTTGGACGACTTGAATTTGCCCATGGTGGATCCATACCGAACGCAGAGCGCACTGGCGCTGCTCCGCCAACTCATGGACTACAACCACTGGTACGACCGCGCCAAGTTTACAGTCAAGCAAGTCGTCGACTGTCAGTTTGTGACGTGCATGAATCCCACGGGCGGGTCCTTTTACATCAACCCACGCCTCCAACGACACTTTGCCACGTTTGCCGTGACGTTGCCGAGCGCCACAAGGTTTGTTTTCTGAACGTAGCGCATCTTCTCATCACGAGCGATGTAGCCTGTTGTCCATCTATCAAACGTTTCTGGACGGCCACTTGAACGATTTCAACGACGACATCCGCAAAGCAGCCGTGAATATTTTAAAAGGTAGTCTACTCGCTCGATAGCGGTTGCCTTATCCAACCATGCGCAGGAGCGCTGGCGTTGCACGCGCAAGTGTCAAGTACGTTTCGTAAGACGGCGGCCAACTTTCACTACGAATTCAATATTCGCCATCTCTCGAACGTCGTCCAAGGCATTCTCATGTCGAAACCGGCCTACGTCGAGGTACATGCCTTGAATCACTTGGCACGGTCGCCGACGATCGATGTCGAGTAGGACAGCGCCAAGTTTGTCCTGCTTTGGTTGCACGAGTCCGCGCGCGTGTACGGCGACCGCCTCGTGTCGCGCCAGGACTTGAACAAGTACAACGCACTGGCCCAACAGAACGCCAAGAAACTGTTTCCGTCGGTGCCGATCCAAAAGTACTTTGCGCAGGAAAATGCCGATGCGCTCGTGTTTTGCCCCCAATCCATGTCTGGAACTGCCCTGGATTTGGACTACGACCAGGTACCTGAGGCGCTTGCACGGCGCAGGTCTGAACACGTCAGCATAGGTCTTGTCTGTGGCCGACATGAAAACCCGGTTGGAAGAAGCGCTGGCAGACTACAACTTGGTCAATCCCAAAATGGACCTTGTTCTTTTCAAAGACGCGATCGAGCACGTTGCACGAATCATGCGCATCATTTCGATTGCGTCGGGTCATGCCATGCTCGTGGGGGTCGGTGGGAGCGGTCGAAAATCGCTCGCTCGACTCAGCGCCTACCTTGTGCACTATGCCGTCGTTGACATTACCATCACGCAATCCTACACGTATCCGTTCCCAATCGAATCCTCGCGGTCTCAACATTAGTGTCTGGGGTAGACTGACTGACTTCAAAACGGACTTGCAGTCCATGTTTGCACGAGCGGGTATGAAGGGAGAGAAGGTTGCGTTCGTCCTCTCCGACGCCGACATCAAGAACGAGAGAATGCTCGTGTACATCAACGATTTGCTCAGTTCTGGCTCGATCGCGGACCTGTACACGACGGAAGAGCAGGACGCCATCCTGGCCCAGTTGTCTGTGAAAGTAAAAGGCGTACGATCGATGCGTTGTCTAGACAATCTTGCCACACATGACGTATTGTGCCTGTATAGGACAAGGACGAGTGCTGGGCCTACTTCTTACATCAGCTCAAAGAGCACGTCCACTGTATACTGTGCTTTTCGCCCGCGGGGTCGACGTTTCGCGTGTGGGCTCGAAAGTTTCCGGCACTTGTCAACTGCACTATCATTGACTGGTTCCAACCGTGGCCCGTCGACGCCCTGCAAAGCGTCGCTGTCAAGTGCCTCGCGACAACCACGCTTCACGGCGACACGTTGACAGCCGTCGAGCAGTTCATGCCGCACTCATTCGAGTCGGTGAACGGGATGGCAGAGAAATTCAAAAACGAGGAAGGCCGAGTCGTGTACACCACGCCGAAAACATACCTCGAATTCCTGTCCCTGTATACCACCCTGCTCGTGTCAAAGCAACAAGAGATGTCCAAAGTACGACGGGATGTGCCATGGCCCGTTCGGTTGCTGACGTTTTTTTTCGTGCAGGCGATATTTCGCTTACAGTCGGGGCTGGACAAGTTGGAGAGCACGTCCCACGTTGTCGCCAATATCGAAGAAGATTTGACTAAAACACTCGAGGAAGCCATGAAAAAGAAGGCGATTGCCGAAGAAATGGCTGACGTTGTCGCGGCGGATAAGCTTATCGTTGAAAGGGAAACAGAAAAGGCCAACGTGGAGGCGGACAAATGTGCCGTGATCCATGCCGACATGGCTACCAAGAAGGCCGACACGGAGCGAGAGTTGGCAGCCGCGCAACCGATGGTCTGTGCGAATGGGCAAGCTGCGTGGTTGAGCATTTGCCTCACACGTTGTTGTAGGTGGACGCGGCCATGGCAGCCCTGGATACACTCAATCGAAAAGATTTGGGCAACTGCAAAACCATGTCCAAACCACCTGCGGGAGTTGGCGACATTTTTGCCAGCGTCATGCTGCTCTTTGCTGGCATCAACCCAGACGTACCTGTCCAAAAGAACGGCAAAGTCAAGGAAAAGGACCGAGCGTGGGAAGTGTGCAAGAAAATCTTGCTGGCCAACGTCAACGGACTCATCGACGAGCTCAAGAATTTCAAGCTCCTCGTCGATACGAACGCTGTGCCGGAAGCGAATTGGAAAGAGATCCGACCGCTGCTCGAGTTGCCGCATTTCAACGTCGAGATCATCGAGAAACGCAACTCGGCCGCCGCCGGGCTATGTGCGTGGGTGATCAACATTGTTCAGTACTACGATGTGCTTGTGACGATTGAACCGAAGCGCAAGGCCTTACAAGAAATCACAGACAAGTACTCAGTGGCCAACGAAAAGCTCACGGCCGTCCAGACAAAGGCAGGGATGTTGTTGGACTGCAGATGTAGTTGACAATTACCGCGATAGGTTCATGAACTTGAAGAGCGTCTGGCCAAGCTAACGGCCTCGTACGAGCAAACGATGGAAGATGTGAATGTCGCGATAGCAACCGTCGAGCGCGGCAAGATTCGCATGAACTTAGCGAAGCGACTCACGGCGGCGCTGGGCAGTGAAAACATTCGGTGGCAGCAAAACGTCGACCTGTTGAAACACGAAGCGGCTACCACAGTTGGCGATGTCTTGATAGCAGCTGCGTTCGTGTCGTACGCTGGGCCGTTCACAAAACCATATCGAGAGCTGCTGGTGAATGGTCACTGGCGGCCGTTCTTACTTGGGCTCAAAAAGCCGCTCGCACTTCAAATTGACGCAACCCCTGTGGCGATGCTGACGCCACCAACCGATGAAGCGGCTTGGATTGGGTATGCCATGGGCTCTATCCACCGAAGCTCTGACGAACTCTTCACTGCAGATTTGGCCTTCCAAGCGATCGGGTCTCGATTGAAAACGGCACAATCGTTCAGCATTGCAAACGGTGGCCACTGTTAATTGATCCGCAGCTGCAAGCGATCCACTGGCTTCGAGCAAAGGAAGCCCTAGTGGTCGTCCGGCAGCACCAGCCAAGTCTAATTTTGACGTTGGAGACTGCCATCGAGCATGGCCAGGCACTGTTGCTGGAGAATATAGAAGAAAAAATCGATCCACTTTTGTGGCCGGTCATCAGCCGGTGCACCATGAATAAAGGTACGATCACATCTACCACTGCGCACGTGATGGCAAGAGTGGTAGGGCGCAAAACGTGCCTGAAACTCGGGGACAAAGTCATCGAGTGGGCGCCGTCATTTCGTTTGTACCTTCACACGACGATGGCAAATCCGCATTACGCCCCCGAAATTCAAGCCGAGACCACCCTCGTCAACTTTTCGGTCACACCGCAGGGCTTGGAAGATCAATTGCTGGCGTTAGTCGTACGCAAGGTTGGTTATAATCTTACCCAACGATGGTTTGACATGTGGAGACAGGAATGGCCCAAAAAAGCCAAGGCCCGGACGGCGCTCATCCAGCAGCAAAATCGATTCAAAATCACCATGCAGGCCCTCGAAGACAAGATCCTGACCAGTTTGGCCGAAGCGGACGGGGATGTCACCGAAAACGTCACGTTGATTGGGGACTTGGAAACGACGAAAGCGACGGCCGACGCGCTGTTCATCCAGGCCAAGAACGCTGCCGACATCGAATTGGTACCGTTGTGAACGTTAGACGGTGTGAGATGACCAAGTGTTGCGCAGACAATCAACCAACTGAGCGCGAGGTACCAAAGTGTCGCACGGCGCGGCGCGTTGCTTTTTTTCATCCTGAATAACCTGCACAAGTTGCACGCGTACCACGTCTTTTCCTTGAATGCGTTTGTCGTAATGTTTCAACGGGGCATGGACGTTGCCAAACCGTACGACGACGAGAAGAAATCAAACAATTTGGCGTTGTCGCGGTTCAAAGCGGCGGCGAAGCGCGTGATTGTGAGCCAGCGTTTTCATTGGAATGTCGACGTGTTGCTCATGGACCGAGTCCTGGAAGAAGCGCACTTTGACATGGCTGCCATTCTGGACAGGTTCATCTTTTCCTGAGGCGTGCCTTGTGTAATTCCTGTCCCATTCCAGTGCGCAAGAAGAAGTCCCAGACGAGTCCATTATCGCGCCAAGATGTGCGAGCTTGCAAACGAGTATCACTGAAGTTGTGTTTGACTACGTTCGACGTGGTTTGTTTGAGAAGGACAAGCTGGTCGTGGCCACCCAGCTGTGCTTTGCCATCCTCAAAGACGAGAACAAGATCACTGCGCAGGAAATTACATTCGTAAGCCACAAGGAACCGCTGTCTTGTGGACTGACGAGACGTCCGTAGCTGACCACAAGTCCTGTTGCGGACGACATGACTACCTGTACGACCCAGATTGGAGTCTTAAATGAGTGGCTGCCAGATCTACTGTGGTCCAAACTGCGCAGGCTGGAAGAACTCGTGCCATTGCTCACGAACGAGTTCAAACTGGACGGGGACGAATGGAGGGAATGGTACCAATCGGACACCCCGGAAAGCGATCCGATGCCCGGCAAAGCGCGGTCGCCGTTGGTCCAACTGCTTTTGCTCCGGACGTTGCGGCCGGACCGACTGCTCGTCGCCTTGAGCGCATTTATAGCGTCTCATTTGGGGTCGTTTTTCATCCACCAACCTCCGTTTGACTTGGAGAGCATTTACCAAGAAGCAAGTGCATCGACTCCAATCTTTTTCATTCTGTTTCCAGGTGTCGACCCGACAGCAGACATCGAACAACTTGGACGGCGTTTTCAAATGACGGCGGACCGCGGCAATTTTGTCTTGATCTCGATGGGCCAAGGACAGGAAGGGCCGGCAGAGAGAACGCTAGAGCGGTTTGCAGCCGACGGGTCATGGGTTGTCCTACAAAACATCCACTTGATGCCTCGGTGGCTGCCGCATCTGACTCGAATTCTGGACCAGTGCAGCCATACGGCAGACCCAAACTTTCGGTGTTTTCTGTCCGCAGAAGCCCCTGGGTTGCCAACTCTCACCAACATCCCCGAGATGCTGCTACAGGTGTGCATCAAGGTGGCAAATGAAGCGCCGGCGGACCTGAAGAGCAATCTTCGCCGGGCGTGGGCGTCGTTTTCGCTCAAGACGATCGAAACCAGCTTGAAGCCGAGCGAGTACCAAGGGTGCTTGTTTGCTCTATGCTTTTATCATGCTGTGATCTTGGGCCGGAAGCGATTTGGATGCCAAGGATGGAGTCGACCGTACAGTTTTAACCAAGGCGATCTCACCCTGTGTGCCGACGTCCTTCGACGGTACAAGTGAACCTTTGTCGATTCCTCTTATGACAGCCCGTCGCGATAGCTACATGGACAGGACGCTTGACGAAACTCTCCCGTGGGATGACTTGCGATACATCTTTGGCGAGATTATGTACGGCGGCCACATTACCGACTTTTGGGATCGCTTGACTAACAAGACGTACTTGCAAGTGCTGTTCAAGGAGGACATGCTCAAATCCAAGGACTTGATGCCTGGCTTGGCCGCTCCAGATCCGTACGTGTTCACGTACTCCAAATACGCAAGCTTCATCGAGACGAGCTTGCCCGTCGAAACGCCAGCAATCTTTGGCTTACACCCGAACACGGAAATTCAAACCATGACGAGTGCGTGCAACGACTTGTTTCTCAACCTTCAGCGCGTCGGCAGTGCCATGCTCGGCATTGCGCCGTCGTCGTCGTACCAAATCGCAACGACGTCGCACACCAAGTCGGCCATTGTCCAGAGTTTGACGAGCCAGCTCCCATCGGACTTTGACCTGGTCACGCTGCAAGCCCAAGCCCAGCCCATGTTGGAGCAAGGACATTCGACCGCGCCGTATGTTGTCGTCGCAATGCAAGAGTGCACTCGAATGAACAGCCTGCTTCAGATCATGCGGCAGTCGCTAAACGACTTGATCAAAGGAATGAATGGCCAGCTCAACATGACCGATTCCATGGAGGAGTTGCTGGAAGCCATGTCGCTGCAGCAAGTCCCTGGTCGAAACCCCGTCCATAGTTGCTCGTGGGAAAGGTACATGACGATGACGGCGAAACGCATGTATGCCCTGAATGGATTTCGTTGTAGGTACGCTTGGGCATCGCGCAAGCCGCTGTCGGTGTGGTTTGCCGACCTGTTGGAGCGCGCCTCGTTCTTGTCGGCGTGGGTACAGGACTGGTCCTTACCCACGTCCATGTGGTTGTCTGGGTTGTTCAACCCGGCGGCGTTTCTCACCGCGGTGAAACAAGTCACTGCACGCAACTTGGACTTCCCCCTTGACAACATGACCATTGAAACGCATATCCTTCACACGATGGTAGTTCCGACCACGGCTGCCGATAAAGGCTTCTTTGTCCACGGCCTCTACCTTGAAGGGGCTCGGTGGTATTTTAGCGACGACACCGATGAACTGCACGCGCACTCGTACACAATTGACCAACTTGAGCACCCGTGCGCCGGGCATCTCAGCGACGCCGTGCCCAAAGAAGTCGTGTGCCAAATGCCCATCGTGTACATTCGAGCAGTGTCGATCCAAGCCGATTGGGAGGCGACCGCCACCGGCTACTTTCGCCATGACTCGGCTGTGTACGAGTGCCCCGTGTACGTGACATCGCAACGAGGGCCAACATTTGTCTTTCTGGCCACGTTGAGCACGAAAGCGGCCAAGTCCAAGTGGATCATCGCAGGGGTCGCGCTGCTACTTCAAAAGGAAGGCTGACAAACCACGTGCTCCATGCGCGTAGAGCGTAATAATTGATTTGCCTATATTAAAATAGCCACCTCCATGCTGTTGACCGTTCCCGGCCATTCGCGTCGGGAAGGGAAATCGGAGTGGGCGATGCGGTCCAGCGCAACTTCCTCACGACTGGACAAACGCAGCGTACTTGGTGACGATCGCAGATACGTCCTCGCTGCGGACCGAGTCGCAGTAGTCTTCGGCCAACTGCGTGGGCATGTTGATCGCGGCAAAGTACGCATGCAGAGCGCCGAGAAAGTCGTCGCGGAGCGACGAGCCATAGATGGCAACTTGCAGCTTGACAACGTCTCGCACAACAATGAGGCTTTGCGCGTCCCGGGCGTTGAACTCTTTTGTGTGCACGACTTGAAACATCAGCGGAAGGACGTCTTGGAGGACAAACACGCGGACGAGGTCGCGGTGTTCCGACAGAACGGTCGTGTTCTCCTTGAAGAGGTGCTCGACCAAGTTTTGGCAAAACGTTGCGACCGCGCGGATGATGTGCAGTTCCAAATGAAACCCGTCCAAGATCAAGCGAAACACTTGCGGCAACGACGATGCGTTCGTGGGAGACCCGAGGACGCCCGTCAGGCGGTGCTGGACAATGTTCATCAGGAAGGCGTACAGGTACTTTTGAGCTGTAGCTTTCTCCGTCGCGTTGGTCTGGTCCGACACAATGAGCTCGACCACGTGCTGCAAAAACGGCATGGCGGTCCGGTCGAGGACGCCAAAAAATTCGGGCACCGCCTTGTACTGGATGATGAGCTGGTTCATCAACTGAACGACTTCCACGACATCGTTGGCTTCGCAAAACTGCATCAAGATGGTCAAGACGTCGGCCCGCGACAAGAACACCACCGGATCGAGTAGGATTACGAGACGATGGAGTGTGACGATGACCTTGCTTCGAACCGAGTCGCTCGTGGGGTACGCGAGCAGAACGCTTGCCGTGGCCGACAGCGTGGTTGTAAAGATGTCTTGCGACTGGCGGGTCTTGAAGCCTTTGAGGACGTGGCACATGGCGTTCAGGATATTGGCAAGATGGGTGCTGATCTCGACGGACGACGGCTGGCGCAAACACTGATCGATCTGGGCCAGCTGCGGCGTCAGGACAATTTCCACGTATTGCCACTTGAGCGGACCCGTTTGGTCTGTCGGCATCGATCCAATCAAGAATCCCGTGAGTTCAAATAAATACAATTGATCGTCCAGCGTGAGGCCATTCGCCATGGCCGCGGCTGCCGACTCTTGCGTGCAAGGGACAACCAGGTGCGGCTCCAACGCCTGCAGGAGCTGCGACATATGGGGATGCACGGCAGTTCCGAGCGACTTGAGCAATCGCAAGACCAAGTAACATGACCGGGAGCGTACGGTCGGGTGGTGGTGGCTGACACCAGCCGACCCAAAGATGCATTCCAGCAATCGCAGCAGCAAGTTTGCATCCACGCGGAGGAGGGGACTGTACCGGGTCGTCAGTTCGTAGTACATGCACAGCGTCCGGTAGTGGAACGATGGCAGGTTCGGGTGCGACAGGAACGCTTTGTGAACGGCCACGACCAACTGCATGAACGGCCCCTGCGGGTCTTCGTACTGCTGGAGATCTTTTGCCCCGGTCAGACCTTCCTTGAAGAAGTAGACGAGGGCCAAACACGCTTCCAGGTCTCGATGTTCGATCGAGTTCAACGTTTGCAAGGCTTCGTCCAATAAGGTCCCAATGTATTGAAGAATCACGTCCGGGCGCATGCGTGTTACGTTGACATAAATCGCGCGAAGTTGGCGGCGGTAGTCTTCGAACTCGGCATCGTCGACTTGGTCCTCTTCGTCGGGGTACCGCATTTGCCGGTAAATGCCATGGAGCCAAGAGCTCAAGTACTGCGACGGCTGGAACGCATCTTGAGGGTTTTCGCTGCGCAAGAGGCCAGTGAGCGCGTTTACAATCTCAAACACTTCCTGCGATACATCCGTCGTGTCATGCGCAAAGAGAAACCACGTGATCGGCATGAGCGACGCCAACATCGCGCTCGCTTGCTGGTATCGCTCGCGGTCGTTGGTCTGGCGGAACGAATCGATGCACGTGATGAGTTCCAGGCCCATCGTGTTGACAACCTCGCCAATCTCTTCGCACACGTCCGCGTCCTCGTTCAAGACGGGCTGCAACGCCGTCAGCACGGGTACGATCTCCAACGACGTGTACAGCGCGAGCTTCTTATCCGGCAACATGCCTTTCGCCACCACTTGGTTGATGCAGTTGGCTGCTCGGCACCGCAACGCGTCGAAGTGCTGCAACGTGTGGTACAGAAGCGGGACAAACCGCATGACTAGGCCAATGTCGACCCATTGAATGTACTTTTGAAGGGTTTCGAGCGCGGCCAACGACAGCGCCAACAGGTGCGTGTTGCTGCGGTCGTACGCCGTCAGCACGTTGTAAATCACGTCAAACGACTGCGCGATGCAGCTGCTCGGGCCATCTCGCATGGCGTCCTTGATCTTCATGTTGTGACTCGCGTATTCCGCTCCATACCGCGTCGAGTCGAACTCGACTATTTCTTCGTACGTGGCATTCAAAATGCAAAAGTACATCTCGACCATGAACGGGCCACGTGGCAGGAGCGCGAGTAAGTCATGGAATGCCGAACCCCAAGCGTCGGGGTAGTCGTGGCGAATCTACACAAGGCATGAATGTTCTTGCATGACGCACACGCGACGAATCGAATCGGGATCAAACTTGCAGTCCGTACCAGCAAAGCAATCACAACAGCAAGCTTGGTCTTGAGGAACGACGGCAAGTGGTCTTGCACCTGCAGCCATGCCACCAGCTCTGTCCGAATGTGGAGTGACATGTTGTACGTAAGCTGTGCATGGAACGGAGACCCCTCCGTCAGGTACTCTTGCAACGCTTGCAGCGAGTAGAACTTGACTTGATCGTGCGTCGACGCTTGAAAGAGTTGCAAGAAAAACTGGTAGCTCGTTTGCTTGGCGGCAAGGCAGTACATTTCCGCCTCCGCCTTGACCTTCTGTGCATTGACATCGTTGAGACTCGCTCCTGCGTACTGGAATGCATACAAGACGGCGCGCTCCAAGTCGGCTACATTCACCTCCTGGTGCGTCGTCGCCATCCCGACGTGATGTTGCTGCTGTGAATTCCCTGGTGACCAGGAGTTGGCCAATCAGAGTCTATCTGGACAATTTATCCGGTCAAAGCACACCATCCAAATTCTTGTGAACAAAACCTTGGGATGAACCAGCAGCACCCGACTGCTACGTCCATCTGCAGCCTGCGACCAACGTAACATGAGCGCTGTCGAGCGGTCTGTAGCTATCGTTAAACAGGTACTGGTGCTCCCAGCAGCATGACAAGCTCCTTCCGGCATCTTGCAGCTATAGTCCATAGAGGCTCCAGCAGCATGCGTCCAATGTTTCTTCCAGGACATGCATGTAGCGCTGGTTTCGTTGCCAGCACTGAAACGGGACGTCGTCAGCGTTTGCTGGAGGCATCTTCGCGGCCGCGGTCTACCAAGCGAGTCGCCATTGTTTAACAGCTTGCATGTACTCAGGGTTAGTTGGCAATCCTACAGCTGTCCCCACCGCCTTTTAATTTCGTCCAGCACCAACTTGAATGGACCAAGTCGTCCGATTGTTGGGGTTCTGGTGATAAGGTCTTCAAACATAAGAGCAGCGTCTTTCGACGTTTTCTCTGGGGCGATGGCCTCGACGATGTACATGAGGTCGTCTTGGTTTTTGAGATTGGGCAGCTGTAAAGGTATCATGAGCTGTAATAGCGAAAGGAGCAAGTGCAAGTGACGGCGAATCGAGTTGAACGCTTCGACCCCCGTCTTGATAAACTCGTCCAACTCACGACCATTGCCGTCCTCGACCACGTGCGACACTTGTGTCGTCAGCCCGACCGGCTGAAGTTCTTGCGTGATGGTGCAGCGTCTGAGAAGGGTGCCGACGTCAACGAGATAACATCGGGCCGATAGAGTCACGAAAATGTTGTCGCAAGTTGTGTTTTGAAAGCCCAAGACATGCACGGCGACGCAATGGCCAGCACATGACCGGAGAAACAGGTCTTTCATCGTCGCCAGCTTTAAAGGTTTTGGATTGGATTCGTGGATCCAGAGCAGGACACGGTCGAAGTCGACCCTGCCGAGCAGACCTCTCAAGCCTCCCACTTGGCGTTGGATGGCAGCGAATGAAATGGCTTGGGGCACCACTTGTATTAACCCCATGCTTGAACCGGTGGCGACGCACCGACATGGCTCCACGCCCAAGTGCATTCCTTCTTCCTTCCAAATGACGTCCATCACGCGCATGAGCTGAAGCGCCAGCGCTTCCTGTCGAACATCGTTGCCATACTTGAAGATCACGCAAACGGACGGATGGCCAATTTCGGCATTTTCGAATTCAAGCCATAACGCAACGTGTGTGGACCGCATTACGCGGCAGTTGGCGACCACGAGTTGGCCCACCTTGACGCGCGAGTCAACAGGCAACAGGCAGGGCTGCAACGACTTGTTGACGTTGGTCAATTGGGCATGCAGCAGCGCTGACACATCCTTGTCGGACGCACCCAACTTCTGGACGCGCTTGATTTCACGACACACAGCCTCCACGCGCCCTCCCAGGCCAAACATCGCGTCTTGGAGCTCGAGGGTCGAACGTATGTTGTCAGTGCAAATGCCGATGTAGGCATTCAGAACGAGACCAAAGCGCTCACGATGCTGCGGCAAGTCCGTCTCGACTTTGAGTGCCCAATACAAGTCAACGCCAAGTGTTGTCGGGGCCTTGACTGCGCGCTCGATCAGCAACGCCGACAGCGGCGACATCTCCTGTGCATCGCTTTTGACAGCTTGCACGAGTTGTGGAAGTATCAGTCGAAATGTGTTGTCCGACAATGTGGCCAGCTGGTCCACGACGAACTGGCGCACGCGAGAATCCCCGCATTCTAGCAGCGCAATGTACAACGCCGGGTGGGAAGGTTTCGTCCACTCTGGCAGCAACTCTACCATGTCACGTGCTTGTTGCGGATCGCGCCAGTTCACGCTAGACAGGAGTCGGGGCAACGCTTCGAACGAGTCCAAGAACTCGCGCCGGTGGTGCCACAAGGCAGCTTTCTCGAAGCCACACAGTTGAAACAATGGGCTTTCGCGGATCAAATGGACAACGTAATGGAACTCGCCCAAGTCAGCGACGGTTGGCACGTTGGACTTGGCCGCATCGCGTTCGACTGGCGACGCTGCTGCTACCACCAGTTGAATCGTTTTGACCCACGCATCCCGCTCGTACCGAGTTCGGGTACCGAGCAAGATACCTGTCGAGTTGCCTGGGAAGGCCAATTGAAATACCCATGCCTGTTGCCCCGGATGAGGCGCATTTGCCAGCGCAGTCACATTGGCTCCGCTTAGAGGCAGTGCCTCATGCAGCATTGGTCCATGGGACTTGTTGATGGCAGCCATGACCATCGTGCCTGTTGAGTATGTCAATTGGCACCACTTCTTCGTCCACGATGACGACGCGTGTTGGTGGATGAGCCATCCACTCCTGTCCAACGATCGATCGAGTTCGAGGGAGCCGACGTGCTGCGGGGCCACAGTGCCATGGGAAAGATCCTGTTCTTGCTGAGGCGTCGCGTAGTCTTTCAAAGGTGCTATCATTGGACGGTTGGGATGGTAAATCGTGGCGGCAATGCGGTCCCGGTGCAGCAACGTTAGGAAAAGCGTCGCTTTGGTCGCCATGCATTCCTGGACGTGGACGTACCGATCCATCGGTGTCGTGCGATGAACCATGTAATCGTGGAACCCCGTGACTTGCAAAAAGTAGTCGGACGGGTTGTACGGGCTAGCAAGTGGCACGCTGTCGAGTTTTGCAAGATGACTCTCAAACACATGACCAACAACGTCGTCGACCGTGTCTGTTGGCAAGATGACCAAGCGTACTTCGTTCTTGCTGGACGAGTCGACTTCAGTCAGTTGTAGCAAACTAACGAGTGCGACATGCACAACATTGTAAGGCACGGATTCGCAAATGGCCCGGGCCCACGCTTCAAAGTCAAGCTCGGGCTGCAACACCCACGTGCGTTTGCTCGTCACCAGCTCTAGCTGCGTCAAGTCCGCATTTGGCCGAACGAGCGACACTTCGGTCAAATTCACAACTCCACGGGGGTATTGGTTGCCGTCGGAGAGTGCCTTGAAGTAGGAGAGCTTGCTGTCTTGCAGATCCATGTATCTCCTTTTCATCGCTTGGTTGACCCGGCCACGCTTCCACATGTAGTCGCAGTGGTGAAGTCGCTTGCTGTGCAAAGTTGACGAGTCTGCCGCGACAAGTAAATCCTTTGGAAGGCGTGCGACAGTCTTGATCGTGGTCGTTCGGGTGTACGGCGGTTGCAATGGGCTCACCTGAGTTGCCATCCAGGATGCTTCGTCGAGGCAGTATTCGGGCATGTTTGCATTCATCTCCAGTGCTTCTGTCGTCGCTCTGTCGTGACCAGCCATTTGCTGCAGTATCCCATGCGCTTTGGCTAACATTGTTGCGTGGGCATCCGTCTCGACGAGCTCGGGAACAGGGTACCATATCCTCGTCGTGTCGGTACTTGTCTTGTTGGCACGTATGGCGGATGGCGGCGTGTCCGAGAGCATTCGGACGCTTCGCAGATGCTGGTGTCAACAGAAAATGCAGGCTTTCAGCGCGTACTTGGTCTGCGCGAGCGCGGCGCGACGTGACTCCATGTGCTTGAAACGCAACGACCCTGCAGCACGCACAAAATTCCACGCAGGGAATGTCATTTTTACAAACGGGCGACACGACGACGACTTTTTTGTGTCAAGAAATATTTGCATATTGTGAAAAATTCGGTAAAAAAGAGAAAATTTGGCCAATGCAGGGCTATTTCTAGCGTGCAATTCGTCGAAAATTCTACTCGACACATGTCGAGAATGGTGGATGTGGCAGTCCCTATTGCCAGCATGTTCGAGGGTGTTGGGCTACTCAAGACTGCAGCCACGGCGAAAATCAAGACTTGGTTGCTTGCGGGAGGAGGACGCCGTGGTGCAAACCAACATCAAACCGCAGCATCGGTACAAGCGCCGGTTGGTCAGCGTGTACCTGGTAAAATTTTCAGCGCTGGAATTTCGTGTTTGTGTTGTTGTCGTCGTCAAATGTAGCAAAATATTTCGCAGTTAATTCAGGCAATTCAATGTGATTGGTCGATGACATACAATGCCCGAGATGGGGGAGGCCATCTCCGCGACTGCAGGCGAAGGACGTGGGCAACGCCAGTCGTGGATCCATGCGCAGCTCGCTCTCCAGCGCATCAAGGACCGTGTACTTCAGTCTCCAACATCGGCTGCTAACGACGTGGAAGAGTGGGCTGCTGCGGCGAAGAACGCCGTGTTATGCGTACTGCATTCAACGGCACGACCGGACCCAGTCATCCAAGCGCTGGCGTTGTTGCATGGGGAGTTGCGTGACATGCATCAGCACCTGCAGGGTCCCTCAACAATGCAAACGTCAGAGGAGAATCAAATCTGCCATCCGCGTTCGTTCTACGTGAGTGCATTTGAGATGATCATGCATGTTGCGCCCTTGTCGTCGCAAGTCGAGGAATTTGGGGTAGCTCTCGCGTATTGCTACATGCACGAATCGCTCTTTGGTGAGGCCACCGCCGTGGCAGATGCGTTGTCGTCAATGGCGTCCGTGCAACAAGACAGGTGATGCCACAGACACGGTCCTCAGTGGTCGTCGTGTGCTTCATGGTGCACATGATAGGCTGCTGACACTCATGGCGTGCATTGCGTTTCAACAAAACGACATTGGTCGAGCAATGTCGGTGCTTCGTGGCTCAGGTACATGTTGGACCTCTCGACGTCCGTCGACGTGTTCATGTTGAGGCACTAGTGCCATCAACCCCGTTATGTGCATTTTGGCTCGCGATGGCGTGGGTGCTGAGCCACAAACGGAGCAAGACAGACCCTTCACACTATCAGCCGTGCACAATAGAGTCCGCGGATGATGTTTGGGCACTTCTCCAGACCGCCATAGCTGGAGACGTTCGCACGATCGAGTGTTTGATTCTGCAGGCGTGGATACGCACCCACCACCGCACGCGCGTTCAAGAGGATATAACGGCAGGCGATTGCCTCGTGAAGGCGATTTGCCTCGACTTTGACCATCGTGGCAGCACGAATTTGCCCATGTTTAATTACGCCATGCTCCTCGGGCGTCTTGGGCAATGGGCCGATATGCAGCAAACGCTCCAGTTCTGTCTAGACGCGTACACAAACCGGACGACTTCGGACACGGCATGTATTCCCATCTTTTCAGCGACCATGCACGTCACGTTGCCGATCCTGCAAGCGTACATGGCTCGGGCTTGCATTCTATCGGGTTGGTTTGCGACCACCGACGACAGAATCCACAAAGGCAGTCATGGCATCGAGTAGGGGACTTGAACACTGCGCACGTCATGCTGCAACGACTGGGACTGGCGACAGCGGCGCTGGATGTTTCCGTTGGCCCTTTTCAGGTGTGTCCATGCTCTGTGGCAGCTCTCCCCTTGACGGATTCGACGAGCTTCTCTCACTCTGCTTTACATGGCACGCACCCTGCTTCAGACGTCTAGTTTGGTTCGAGACCGTGTGTTTGTCTTGTTGGAGGTACTGTGCCGTGCATGGCACGCATCGGTCGGACTTGAGTGGACATGGCAGGTGAACGCCCATCGCGAAGCCGTCAACGTGTGCAACGCTGCGCTACAGCGCTACCAAGGGGATCCGGCGCTACTTCTGTACAAAGCCGACGCGCTCTTCTGCCTCGAGCAAGTCCAAGAATGCGACTGGACATTGCAGCAAGTGGACACGGTCCTCGCTGGTGTCGACGAGCCCTGTCGCGACTTGTACGCGCAGTTGCTGAACAACCAGGCGCTGGTCTTGGCCTGTCGAGGCGACATTGCCGACGCCGTACAAAAATTGCACGAATGCCGGCACAAGTTTCCCTCGTGTACCCACGCCCTGTTCAATTTGACTGTCTTGCTTTGGCGGCAAAAGAAGCGAGTGGCTGCGTGCACGACATGGCTTGCGGGGCGACCGACGATCTCCGTCCCTGGGACACTCGACGTGGAAAACCCTCCGACGACCCATGTTCCAGCCGGACGACGAGGACAGCTCTGTCCCCAACAAGTGGCTGCGCTCGACCGGTTGATTGAAACGCACTGGGCCGACCACGAGCGCATGCACGCGATCAAGCAGTCTCTTCAAGTGGTGGAGCACTACCGCAGCTTTTGTGAAACGCAGCATGGAGGTGGGGAAGCGTCTGCCGCTGAGACTCGTCCATGAAGAATATATTCAGCATGAAAGATACCAAACACCGTCCTCCACCGAGAATGGCCTCGTTTGTTTACGGGCAACCTCATCAGGTTCCAGTCGGCGTGATCGAGCTGCATGTTCGTGAGCTAGTTAATCCACTTGCGATATCGACACGCTCGTTTCATTTCTACCTTGGCCGTTTCGTTGTACATCGCGCCTTCCCAGACATGGCCCCGTCCGATTCGCCTGTACCAAAGCTATCGTTGCCGAGTGCGGCGCCATCGTCCCATGTCGACGACGGTCTTGGCAAACCACCCTTGGATCGTGCGGGCCATCCACACCACCATCACCACGATGCCACGGGCATCGCACGACCGAAGGGGTACTGGGACAAATGGCAAACCCGCGCTGGCACGGTGTCGCTGCTCTTTTCCATGCTCATGCAGCTGTCGTACGTGGCATTTCCTGCGTACAACTTTTCGCTGGCGATTTGGGCGACCGTCCACCCGTTCTCGCACCGCGTCAACCCCCAGTCCACCATCCTGTTTGTGTTTGCCATGCTGGTGTCTTGCGGGACGGACGTTGTGTGGAGCAGCCTGTGGACGTCCGGCGCTGTCTTTTACGACATGCTGTGCTCGCCAGGTCAAATTGGGATCTTGCACTGCGACGGGTTGCAGAGCTATCCTGGGTGCGCCACGAATCGTTTTGTTATGGTCGTGTTTGTCGCCAACATTGCGCTCAAGCTGTGGATGGCGATTTCGATATGGAGGGTGCGCACGATCCACGATATCCCGACAACAGTTCAAGTTCTGATGGCGAGAACTGTAGGCAGTGGCGGTGGCCAAGCCAGACGCTGTGGCTGCAATGGAACCTGTGCATGCTCCGCCGCCGCCTGGAACAGTCGTCGCGGACGCCGCCGCCGCTGTTCCAGTCGAATAGGTCGTCCTCTCTATGACAAGACACACTTGGACGCTTCACCAAACGTCCAGCACAGAAGCCATGAAAGGAACGGACAACGCATCGCGCTTCGCTTGTTAAACGAAATCGAGAAGCATGTTGATTTCCTCTTGGATTTCTTCCGTATCGTCGTATGACGCGTCCAACAGCGTCGTTCGAGGGCTCGAAACTGGAATGTTCTCTTCGATGGCGTCGCTAGTCTCGTTCGTCGTGGTGTCGACCGAGTCCGTTGGTGCTTCGCCAAGCGTCAAACCCGGCGCTCCGGAGCCGCATGCCAGTGGGTTGTTTTTTAATCGCGTCGGCAACGAAGTCCGTCGACGGGGCGTCACAGTCGTCGCTGTTGATGTCGCCGCAGGTGCTGGCAGTTTGTTGTCGGGGTTTGTGCTTTGAGGGTGTTCGGAAATCGGGTCGAGCGCGTCGTGGGGCGGGATGCTGGCCTTGGACCGCTTCTTCTTGCGCTTCTGGGGGCTGTGCGACGAAGAAGATGCGGCGGCGCCAGACACAGTCAAGTCGTTGGGTTTGCCAGTGGTCATATGTGCTCCCACCTCGAAAGGATTGCATAACCTGTCGCTCGCGACCAGCGACACCAGGCCATGGTGGGTACACACGTCGACGAACGCTTGGTTTGATATTGCAAACGTCGTCTGGTTTTGGCTGTGCGTCAGCGCTTCTCGAAACATGCGCAGGAGGCGGCGGTCCGAAAAGTGCGGCTGGACACGAGGCCGCAAGATTGCACAAAACTCTGGAAACGACAGCACTCTGTCGTTGTTGACATCGCCCTAGAACATGCCCTTGAACACACGACGTGGTCCAGGCATACTTGTTACCGCGACAAACAAAGAGGTCAGCTCGTCGTCCATCTCCTTGTTACGCAGCTGAAGGACGTCCATGATAAGCTCTAGCACCTGGAACTTGCCGCTGAGCAATAGTTTCGTCGCTGGGTTGTGGTACCAGGTACACATTGACCACGACCACTGGAGCAACCCTTCGGTCGGACGACTCGGGCTCAGGATCGGACGATCCAACGACTAAAGTACCCGCCGTCAACATGGTTTGCCGCATGTGCGCTCGGATAGTGAGGCGCTGTCCCGCCGCGTCTGTGATCGCTCCACCTGCGTAAATGGCGGTATTGTACTCGAGCTAATCAGCAATCCCCGTGAGAAAAGCATCGTGATGAATCCCCGTACTTGTCGACAATACATGCGGAGTTTATCGTCGGGAAGATAGCTCAGAAAGTACTTCAAGACGTCGACGCCGTACATGAGAGGCATCCACCGCTTGATTCCGTCCACACAAATGATGTGGGAAGTGCCTTTGGTCGGGTGGTGAAGGGCGCGGTACCTACGCAGCACCTTCTTGCAAAACAATCACGTGGGCCAGGACAGTCGGGTACCGAGCATGCAAGTAGACGCGGAGGTAGTTTTGATTGAGGGTGCATCGTTTTGGCAGTCCGACGTGGGTCATTTCGAGTTTAGACAGCGTTGCTTTTTTGTCATCGTCGTCGTTGTCCAACTTGGGAGACACTTTGGTAGTGGGTTTTGCCGGGACAGTGTTCGTTGCCGCCGCGTCCGTGGACGTTGAAGGGGAGAGCGGGTGCGTGTGCAGGAACTGCATGAATCGAACAAACATGCACAGCATGGACGATCCTCGGTAGAGTGCTTTGACCGAAATCAGGAGGCGGTACATCTCGACTTCGGCCTTTTGCCGCCCTGGACAAATGTTGAGGAAGTAGCTCGTGACAAACTGGTTGAGTGGCTCGTATCCAATGCCGTCGTGCTCGTCAGTGCAGTCTGCGAGAAGCTTGGCGTCGTATATGGCTTCCACGCGATCAATCGTTGCCGGAAGCGTGTAGTACTTGAATGCCATCGCGGATCGCGGTAGGTGGGCCAAGAAGTGTTCAATCACGGTGGGAACCTCCCACTCGGATGCGACGGCCAGCTGCCATCGTTTTCGCATCAATTTGACATCCCACACCTCAGAGTACTTTGAACAACCATAAGAGTCGCGGTTCCCGAGTCTATGCGCTCGACTTACCGCTTTGTCAGTGTCCGAGGGGTGCTTGGGGCGGCCGTGGCAGCCTTTGCATCGAACGAACGCGTTGAATCGCCGCCATGACAGCCGTACCCGTGCATCCTTTGACACGCACATCGGGATTCCGTCCTGAAAGCACGATAGTATCGCATCGCATCATCGCAAGGTCCAGAGCGACAGTACTTGAATGTCCCAGAGGCCGTCGTCGTCCACTTCGGTCTGTGTGGTCGCGACGGCGGTGGTCGGTGTCTTCGCCAGAGTCGCTGATTTCATGGAGGACATGTCGGGCATGTCGCGTCGGTCATACTCGAGGAGCTCTTCGTTCTCTTTCCGAACAGCGTCCAATTGTTTTTGATACTGTTCCTTCATCATTCTAAGCAATCATGTCTCGATGGGAACAGCTAACTCGCATCGAGTGTTCACGCCGGGAGCAATTACCTCGCTTGCTCTGCCATCCGAACTTGCTCGGATTTGTGCTATTACAGGCAGCACGCCATGGTCGGCCTGAAGTCCACCGAAATGGACGTACGTGGTGCTCCAAAACCCGATTCTGCGAGTCCAGTTGGTCTTGTTTTTTCTAGCCACAACGACCCGGACAAGCATCTCCATGAGGAAGAATGCATGGTTGTGACGGCGACGTACCCACAGGTCCTCTTCGCGCTTTCGTAGTTGCGCCTCCCTCTTCTCATAGTCGAGTCGATACATCTTGAGTTCGCGAAACTCATCTTGCTACAAGACGTAAGCCTCCGTGTTAGAAGTTGCAGACCAAAAATGGCGGCAGAGGAGCATTTACCATCGCACGAAGTGTGGCATCGTCTTGTTTCAAGCTCATGTTCTACGAAAATCGTGTGGCGGGTCCACTGAGTACTTTGCTAGTGCTTGGTTTAAGAGATGGTTTGTACCTGGTACTCCAAGTCGCGAATCTGGACCCGATGCGACTTGAGCAGGATCTCCTTGGCTTCGACGTGGTGAGTGAGGACTCGAATCGTCTCCTCCAGCTCTTCAACTCTCGTGTTGAGCGTGAGGGTGCTTTTTCGGTGATGATGTCGCTCCGCTGCATGCTCTTGGCGATATTTGTAGTAGAACCGAAGCGACGCCTCGAGCACCTTTTCAAACACGGACAAGTACGTCGTCTCGAGCTTTAGGAGCACTTTCCCGAGCTCTTTCCGGTGCGCCAATACGAGCTGCGCGACTTGATGGAACTGCTTTGAGATTTCTTGAATGCTTTGCACCTACAACTCTCATCCTCGTGCTCAGTTTGTATGCGTCGAACACTGTCGTCATCATGCACGCACTGCTTGCACGAGCTCGTAGTCTGTTTGAATGTGGGCAATTTCCGCGACTTGAGTCGCTCCGTCGCCGACAACCGACGCGGGCAGGTATCGTCCCGTGACGCGGTGGAGAAGCGCGTTCGTGTACGCAAACAACTGGGGGTTCTCTGGGTGGATGTTACCCGCGGAAGGTTCGTCGTTGGGAGCAAAGGGGCATGGTTTGTCGGGTAAAGTTGGTCTTTTTGACCCTCTGTTCTCGTCCTCATGCAGCATTTTGTTCAACGCAGCATGCAGTGGCGACTCGACGGGGAATCCATTTCGGATCGGCGGCGGGAGCACCGGCGCCGACCGCGACTGATCCGCGCCGCGCTTCATGTAACTGCAGCAACCCGTCTCGAAGTTTGAACGCGTGGGCTACTAATAGTATTACTACGCAAGAGCCGTCGCCTACTACTTCTTAACTTCGTTCACAAACGGCCCGTTGGTCGCGACGGCGTCGACGTTGTCGAACGTGGTCTTGGCGATGTTGTCCAGCGCTTCCTTCGTGAAGTACGCTTGGTGGCCCGTGATGAGCACGTTCGGGAACGTCATGAGCTTGGTGAACTGCTCGTCCGCGAGGATTTCACCCGAGTGATCTTCGTAGAAGATGTCGTTTTCACCTACACCCCATCATTGTCAGCGCACCTACGTCCCCACCTCGTCTGGTCGAGTTTATACCTTCAAAGACGTCGAGGGCCAGCGATCCGATTTGGCCGCTCTTGAGACCTTGGAGAATCGCTGTCGTGTTCAAGAGGCCGCCGCGGCTCGTGTTGATGAGCATCACGCCTACACATCACATAGCTGATGTGCTCCCCTGGCCACCAAGACGGACACCCGCACCTTTCTTCATTTGGCGGATCGTGTACTCGTTGATCATGTACTTGGTCGTGGGAAAGAGCGGGCAATGAAGCGAAATGATGTCCGACGTCTCGAGGAGCTGATCGAGCGACACGTACTTCATCCCGAGCGCCTTGGCTTCGTCGTTCTCGTACACGTCGTACGCAATCACGTTGCATCCAAATCCGAGGCAGATTTTGCCGAACAAGACGCCGATCTTGCCCGTCCCAATGACACCCACAGTCTTGCCGTGCAGGTCGAAACCCAGCAGCCCTACAACGTATTGCATGTCACGGCTAGGCAGCTTGGATGCGATCGATGAAGAGTTGAAGCACCTTGGAGGTTGAAATTGAATTCACGCGTGCGATTGTACGCGCGATGGTACTTGCGGTTTAAAGTCATCATCAGGCCCGCGGCGTGTTCGGCGACCGCGTACGGGGAATACGCCGGCACGCGAAGCACGGGGAGACCAACTTCCTTTGCGGCCGCGAGGTCCACCATGTCGAAGCCAGCGCATCGCAGCAGCAGGGCTTTTACCTTGAGTGACACCAACTAATCCATGCACATCAAGTTTTGAACGTTGTCCATGGTCCAGCATGTCGTTACCTTTCGGATCACAACTTCGTTGGCCGTATCGTTGACGAAGATCACGACGATGTCACTCCCGTCCGCGAGCAACGCCGTCTCTGGCTTCAAGCGATGGGAAAAGAATCTACCCAAGAAGTAGAGTAAGCATCGCCATCATCGTGATGAGAGAGCTCTCGTTGGACGTACTGCAATTCATGGTTGAGGCCGAGGGTTTCGTGCACTTGGATGATCGACTCCTTGTCATACTTGCGGACCGAAAAGAACGAGATCTTCATGGCGGTATCGAGGTCAGTTGCTGCGTTCGTGGGGATCCAGGAAAGTTTGATAATGGCATCGTTGCGACGGATGCACCCGACTCGTCAATCCATCCGTGGAGATCACGCCGGCCGCATCTATATCCCCTTAAGTACTTTCCGTCGGGGTGGGAAAATACCCGTGACATGACAGGATACGTCGGTTTTATGCCCATCTCGTCGCTGCGAAGACGACAAAATGTATTCTTTTTTCTACATATTTCGATTATTTCGTACTTTGGATATGTATACGACCTACAAAAAATAAATGCAAAACGGAGCAGTACAAACTCAGGTTTGGGCAATGTGACAAGGATTATCACCCGTAACGGACGGCACCTGCACCGATCCGAACGCGTTCGAAACGCGGTCGTTTCGCATACGATTGTTGGCGCGTTTTTTCGCACAAGTACTACAACTAATACTTTAGAATTACTAGTAGTACCGATGACCTTCGAAGTGTGAGTAGTAGTCGACCGTAGTACAGGGTACTAGTACTATCCGGATATCACATTCGTTGTTGAATTTGCTGGGGCATCCAGCAACCGGAATGGCCTTGCGCGGCGGAGGTGTGTTGCAGCTGTACCAAAGCCTGGTGAAGCGCCAAGCCCTGCGGCCAGACACACCACAGCAAGTGGTTGCTGCTCATCTGGACAAGCTCCAGCGCCGCCTTTTGAACTATGACTTGCCAAAGAATGTAGGTTGAATGCTTATCGACCTGCCAAATCCACACTTCGGCGGTGCTGTGTGCGTAGATGAAAGGCCCGACAAAAATCCCTCGGGGTCTGTACATCTACGGCCAAGTTGGGACAGGAAAGTCCATGCTCATGGACTTGTTCTACTCCAAATTGGACAACAAGAAGCGACGCGTGCACTTTCACGCATTTCTGCTGGAGGTCCACCGCCGCATCCATCAGCGCAAGCAGGAGCATCTCGAAACGTACGGCCGGTCTATGCACATTGAACTCCAGCCTGAGCGCGACATCATCGGCACGATCGCCAAGGAGATCGCCGCAGAAAGCCCTGTGCTGTGCTTTGACGAATTCCAGGTCCAACACATTCGCTGCGTCGCTGCAATGGGACGAATGGGAGTCGTGAATAGGTCATCGACATAGCTGATGCCATGATTATGCGCAAGTTCTTCAGCGTCCTCTTCCAGCAAGGCACAGTCATGGTCGCGACATCCAACACGCATCCCCAGGTTTGCCACTCCCCTTCAAGCTGCTCGCATCACCTTGTCTGAGCTAGAACTTGTATCCCGACGGCGTGAACCGCGAATACTTTCTTCCGTTCTTGGACCTCCTGCAGCAACACACGAAAGTGTTGTCGATCGACTCGACGATAGACCACCGCCGCCACGATGCGGTAGGTGCCATTTGCATGAACTGGCGGCCAACTCATGGCGGGTTGAATGCATGTAGCCCATGGAGGACTCGTACTTTACACCGGTGACGCCTGAGGTGCAGAAGCAAGTACAAGCAATTGTCGATGCACTGCTGGAAGGCCGACCTCCGCTCCAACTCGAAACGATTCCAGTCATGATGGGACGTACGCTGCAAGTGAAAGGCCAAGGAGACATTTGCGTCGTCGACTTTGCTACGCTGTGCAATACAGAGAAGGGCGCCGCCGACTACAAAGCCTTGAGCGAGCGGTTCCGCGTCGTCGTGCTGACTGACATTCCTCAGATGACGCTGGCCATGCACAACCAGGTGACCTCTTACTCTGTGCAATGCGTCTTATTTCCATGTCGTGCACCTCATGGAGGGCATTTCGCTCAGGCGCGGCGATTTATCACACTCTTGGATGAGCTGTATGAGCACAAAGTGCGCCTCATTTGCACGGCGGACGTCGAGCCAGATGAGTTGTTCAACTTCGACATCGACACCGCCAAGGTGCCTCTCCCAGTGTCTCTCGCTATGAAACAAACCGAGCTGCGCAACTTGCAAGCAAATCACATCAAGCCATTTACATCGTGGGACGGCCCGGTCGCCCACGACCCTGCGACGTCATCCAGCGACGACCGTGTCAAGAACATGAGCTCCATGACCGATCTTCTGTACGCATGCAAGCGCGCGGTGTCGCGGCTGCATGAAATGCGCACGTCCAAGTACCAATTGCATTTCCCGAACGCAGACACATAGACAACACCAACAAGAGTCTTCATGCACGACTCGATTCTTAGGGACAAAATGTGACGAGAAAGACTTCGTCGTCGGGGCAATCCTTCATCTTCCAGTCGTCGAACGGGTACAAATACGCGTCCGGACACGCGGGCTGGGTGCACGTGACCTGGTGGCAGTTGCCTTTGCGTGGGTTTCCGTCGTACTTGGTCGGGAAGACAGACACGGGGACGTTGTACCCGATGGCCCCACCAGAATTCCGGACGCATTCAGCATAGCTCATGCCGTTGCCGCACCCCGGTGGGATCGCACTGATGTCGTACCAAAGCTTGCGGTCGGCGAACGTGACTTCAACAAGCGTCGCGTCGGCGGCTTTCGTGTGACGGTACATCGTGTGCTCGCGGTCGATGAGGGTGTCGCCGCACTGGCCATTCGGCTGCAGCGTGCAGAGCAATCGATCGACCTTGAACACGCTGATGGGGTACGTGCATCGGTTGACAAAGTTGAGCATTTGGTCCAGGGAGGCAGGTGGGACTGTCGTCGTAGTTGTTGTGGTTGGTGCACGGGTCGTTGTCGGGGCAACCGTCGTCGTCATGGGCGCGGCTGTTGCTGTCGAGGGCGTCGGATCGACATTGGCGAAAGGTTCGCCGGTAGTGGGCGCGTGGTTGATGGGGGTGGTTGGGTCATTTGGATTTGAATCGGACGTGGGGGCGTCGGTGCGCCGGCGGTCAGGCGAGGTGTCGGTGATGGCGTTAGCCAGTGGCTGCTGTCCGTCGGTTCCAGACGACGTGGACGCGTCGCCAACGTTTCCACCTGTGAGCCCTATCGAAAGCCCAATGGTGACAGCGACCACGGCGACGGCGAGGAACCCCATGAGGAAGAGTCGTCGGCGGACAGTCTTGGCTTGAAGGGCCCATTCTTGGGCCTTTGACTCTTCGTTCGTGGCAGGCGTGATCATCAAGACCATCCCATCCCAGATCGACGTGCGCTTCGGACCAGCTTTCACCCGCACGAGGGACGCTGCACCGCCAGTTTCAAGATCTTTGGACGGCGTGTCGAGTGGCGGTTCGATGTCCGGGTTGGGTTGGTGGGGTGTGTCCGCGATGACGCCGGACGCTGGCGCAGGAATCGCCACGTCGGACACGACGGTAAGAGAGGTCATTGGCAATGGATTCTGCAGTGCCATCACAGGCACGCACTCCGATCAAAATGGCGGACGGGCCATGGTTGGGTCAGCATGGACAGCTAAGAATAGATAGCAGACTTGAGAGAAGCATGTTGTCGAGATGTGTCACGTTGGGCCGATTACGCACAGCTGCGAGCCTCCCACCGTTGCGGTGCTGGAACGCCACCCTGCTGCTGAAGTGCTCAACGTCACCCTGTCAGCGACGCCGAGAGTGGTGGCCAACTCGACGCACTGGCGGCAGTCAGCAGCTTCCATGTCGACAGTTAGATTTAGGCGCATGTGCGACGGTAGAACTCGCATCAGCGCTTGGACACCACGAGCTTCCAACGGGTTGTGCGCCAACGACAAGAACTTGACATGGGCACATTGCGGCAGCACCGTAACGAGTTGGACGGCGCCTACGAATGTAGTCCAGTTTTCGCTCAGGTTGACGAACTCGAGACTTTGGCACATCGGAAGAGCAGATACGATCGCGACGACTCCGTCGTCGGTGAGGGCCAGTCTGTGGACATCCAGATGGGAGAGGTGACGGCAACGCGGAAGAACCGCCGCCAAAGTCAGGCCGACGGAATCTCCCATGGCATTGCGACCGACAGAGAGACTCGTCAGGTAGGTAAGTGGCAAGACTGACGCCAAGTCTGCGCCTCCGTCGGCCCCAATGCCAGCATTCGCAAGACCGAGCACTTTGAGCGGGATGTCGCCGGTGCGTGAGGATGCCAACAGAGCCTTTACGAGCCGCCTCACGCCTCGATCGCGTACAGGGTTCCCGTCAAGATGTAGCTCGACCAAATGTGAAAGCCACATAATTTTGTGCATCATGGACGTTGGAGTCAAGTGCGTGTTGAGCAAGACAAGCGTGTGCAATCGATGAGGCAGGTGGGCCGCCGAGCTTAGAGCGCGTCCAAGGTTACCCCTGACGATGCGTAAGTGTTTGAGGGTTGGAGAAGATGCGATAGCAAACACAACATTTGCGCAGTCGTGCCGATGGACACTGCAGGCATCCAGGGATAGCTCCGTCGCTCGGTTCGAATGCAGCAACCAGTGGCCAAGCCTAGCGGCACAGGACGGAGGTAGTTCCCACGGCGATTGCTTGAAGTGTAGGGATTCAATGGGGCACGATGACAACGATGCAAAGAGCAGGTCTAGCTCGAACTCGGTCAAAGCCGTCGTGCACTTGAGCTCGAGACGTCGGAGATTGGAAAATCGCTCGAGTGTCAGGAGAAAGCTGCCCGGGACATCTATTCCGCCGTAGAAATCATCCATGATCAAGGATGTGACGTGAAACGTTGATAGTGTGTGGAACCATTCAATGGGTCGTGGGTTCGTCGCCTCGGGCACGCAATGGATGGGTGTCGTCGGCGATAGGCATTGGGAGAGAACGTCGAGATCCCAGGCACCTCGAACGACCACATATGGATACAACTCGGACGAGTGCCGAAGGAGACGGAGATAATTGGCGTCGACAGCAGCCATGGGTTTTAGTACGAATCGCGGCCACAGATTCTCGTGGTTGCACGGGGATTGAAGCAGGGTCAAGAGGCTCTGGAGTGGCAAACCTAGAGCATCGCGGGGGAGAGCTTCAAGGAACGAGGAGACCGCGGTGGGGGAAGGGATATACTGGACGATGGACTCGATACATTCTCGCCTCCAGATGCCGCCGTCGTGGCTCACTTGTCGCTGCCGCTTCACCATCTCGAAGTTGCTCGACTCCTGATCAAGTGCGGTTCCCGTCCAAAGTACGCCATCAAGCAACCCCCTCACCACTCCATAAATGCGGCACCATGAAGTTGAATCGTTATTCTATTGCAATTCTTCACCGTCATATTGAAAATTGTATTGATCTAGCAAGTTTTTTAATGGATTTGTGATACAGATAACTTGTCGGATTTCGTCAAAATAGTGTCGGTTTCACAATCGTCCAACACCAGTGCCTTTTCAGCCCAACGTTGTCGCCACAGGTCATGGTGTGCACCACCTCGGCTGCCATAGGTATGTCTGCCCATGGAAATGCAATTCGACAGTCGGAATGGAGCATCATGGCTTTATCAATGATGCACGTAGCATGCGTGGCGTCCACGCTGGCGTCCCTCTCTCATGTGATCTCCCAGGATTTGCCGCTGTGGGCCGTGTACGACTCGGCTTCACGCCGAAGCGGGCGACTGCACTGAGTGGGCCGACCACGCTCGTCCACGTTGGCCTTTTCACGATGTGTCTTGAAACCCAGAGTAACCACTCTGTCGCCGACCCGCGGCACCCGAACGCAGTGTACACGTGTGCGGAGCTGTCGTCGGCAACAGTGTACCAGCTCAACTGCACGACAACCAAACGCAGTGGATTTCCTTCGCACTGTTCTGCGATTGAGACGATTGATTCCGTCCAGCCGCTCTGTGCGAACGTGACTAGGGACAACGGGGTCCACTACTCGTTCAACTGGCACGCGCTGACTGTGAATCAACAATTGGACCGGACGTCCGTGGCCGCCGTGCAACTCAGTCGATTCCTAAATTCTGCGTGCGGCGTCACGGGTCAAGTTGTTCAGTCCATGGGGACCGCCATGATGATTTCGTCTTGTGCGTTCACAGCCTGTTTGATATTTGAATCGCTATGTCTCCCGTTTGCCATCATGCGGCATGTGCTCCACGTCGCGATGGGTATGGGATGGTTGACCGTGCTCAGCAGCGTCGTACTGTTTATTTCATGGGGATTTGAAGCCAGTCATTTGGGAAGTTTTAAGTTTTCTGAAGTCACGTACGTTGCTTTTGGCGGGGTCGTGCTCAGCATGGTCGCCCTGGCGTCCACACACGTGCACGCCACGGCAGTGTACAGTCGACGGCGGCGGCACACGTCTGTGGGCCGAGGCAATGTGTACGTCGATCCAAAGACCCGTTTGCACGTCCTCGTGGACTCGAACGAAGCTACAATGTTGGAAGTCGACGATGCCGACGAACAACCAAATGACGACCTGTCGTGTCTGCCGATCACACCGTGAACGGCGGTCAATGCAGTGTGATGATGGGTCAACTTGATCGCCGTCGAGTACGACCGTAACCATCACTGACCGCTCCATCCCGTGCAAGGACTTGTCAGCCGCCGTCTTGGAGTCTTAACTTGTTGAAACTCCTCATGTCTCTGTGCGTTCGAAGTGGTTCTGGCGTCCTTCACAACGCCAATGCGATCGCCGTCGAATTCACCTCCGTAGTCGTAATCCAGACCTTGCTCATTGCCAGGAAACGCGGACAAACCAACTGCAAGGACATGCAATGCGTGTGGTCTCATCGAGACAAAGGAAGCCAAAGGCATCAATGAACCGACGGCCATGCAAAGCAGTTGGATGCATGCCGTCACCAGTGGCCACGTGGCTGGGCTTGGGAAGCTCCTTGACCATCAATTTGATAACTGTCTGCCTAACTACACAAATCTGCATAGCTACGTCATGCTGGCTCCATCCTGCGTCATTCATGCAACAAGTTATGGGCACAAGTAGATTATGGCAAGTTCGTTGGGCTGTGGCGCTTACACCTTTTCGTTGTTGGTCGTGCCTTTCTTGACCCGTTTGCCGCGATTGAGGACGAGACCGACGAGTTTCTTTCGCATGGTTCGGTCGATGATCGGGTCGTCCTCGGCAGCGACAGTGGACGAGGCCATGGCGGGTGCCATTGCGTCGTCTTCGTCCCGGGACACCTTGTCCTTGGTCGGCGAGATCGAGAGCGAGTCGCGTTGGGAATTGTGGCGAAGAATCTTGGCGACTTTTGACCCCTTGGGCTGGCTCTTGGGGCGCACTCGGATGTTGCCCTGCGAATTATCGGCCGTCGACACACGCAGGATAAAGTGCTCCTCTGTCTCGCTCGGCGACGGTTGAGCGAGGCTATTGTTGCGTTTGTCGTCGCCGCCAGCCATCCCGGTATGGCTTGCATTCATCGCTTCCGAACGATGCAGCTCATGCTCGGCCTTTTCGCGGTTGATCACGTCCAGGATACGGCCAAGCTTTTGCTCCACCTGTCGCCGTCAAGGCGTCAACGTTGTTCGACCTGCCGAGCAGTCCCACAATCGCGTGGCACCTTACCAAGTGCACGAGCTCCGTCGTGGATGTTTCGTTGGCTCTGTGAAAGTCGACATCGGCGTCGATCTCGAGGGATCCGCGGACGGTGCTGAGTTTGGCCATGCACTTTATCATGCAACTTCGGAACGCGTCCAGCTACAGGACGAACGTCGTCGAGTTGGGACGCCACGGCGGTCGCGGCGCCAACGTACCAACACATTCGCCCGGTTGCACCGCTCTTGCAGCGCCGACGCGTTCTTTTCAATGTCCTTGAGTTTCTCGGCCGTATCGTCCATCTCCTGGTAAATGCCGCGCGTGTTCATGGTCGCCCCGCGCAGCGTCGCTAGTTGTTCCTGAAGTTGTTTGTAGTTGTCCCGAAGCTTGCGCATCTTCGCGTCTGTGATTGCGTGCTCCTCTTTGAGGTTGCGCAACGTTTCTTCGCGCGACAAGTACTTGGCAATGATCTTGTCGATATCGTTCGTGCCAGCAGCCTCACTCAGGCGTCGCAGGTCCGCCTACAAGCCACCCCCACTCCATAGGCACGCTCTCAGCCACACGACGTCGAGTACGCACCTCCAACGTAAGAAGCTTGGCATCGGTCGTCATGAGCTCGTTCTGAATTTGCGTAAACTGGATCGCTTGCGTCTGGCTTTCTTGACGAAGCCGCTTCATCTCGCGCGCCGATTGCTCACCCGTCACGTTCTGGGCAATCTTGCGCCGGCTGCTCTCGCGCTGCTCGTGGAGCTCGTACTTTTTTCGCGTCGTGTCGATCGCCACATGTAGATCTTCCAGTGCCCGCGCGTTTTCTTCCCGCGTGTCCATGAGCGTTTTGGCAAGCTTCTTGTGCAGCGCTTCCGCCGCACATTTCTCTTGCTAACGGCATGATCACGAACCTCGCATGGCACTCGGTCAAGCGAGGTCGTGCAGCGTACCCGGGCAGCTTGCAGCGTCGCGTTTCCGGCCGTAAGGTCAATTTCCAGACTCTGTAGTTCCTTTTCTTTGTGGGAGCTCTGCTTCTTCCCAGCTTGCACCTAGAATGGCGCAGACCGCGGCGTGAGGACCGCGGCGACAACGACAGTGCCACGTACTTCGACCGTTAGTCGTTGAATCATGTGCATGTACACGCCTTTGTCGGCAGTTTCTTCCTCGAGTTTATTCTCGATAGACTACATGTCATGCACGCATGGCGTTCTTGTCGTGGCATGAGAGACGATGCCGGATTGACGTACCGACGATCGATTCTCGAGGTTCATGGCTTTCGATTGAATCGTCACGCCGTCCACTTTGCGGCTCGACAGCAGCGAGGTAACTTCCTGTAGCGATTCTTGCAGTTTCTAAGCGGAGCACACATGTGTCGGTCGGGACGAGTCGGTTGCGTTTGAGCGAAATCTACCTTGACTTCGAGCTCCTTTTTCATGTTGTTGCTGCGAATGGTGTCGTACTCCTATACGTGCGAGCCGTTGAACGTCGCCACACACGAACAAATATCGAGACATTGGCGCGTACTCGGCGATATGCAGCGACTTCGTTGGCTTCCTTGTCAACCATCTGCAACTCTTCCCCGAGCCCAATGCCCAGCGACCCGAGGAAAGACTGCACGGACGGGGCTGTGACTTTGCTACGCATGGCATCAAACGTCGTCAATATCGGTGTACAACGGCACAGACACCGATGGATGATGCACCTCTTGGATGTGCTTTTCTTGGGGGAACTCACAGAACTGCAGTCGATGTTGGAGCTCCCGGAGAGGAGCCACCGCTGCCGCCCGCCAAACGTCCCTCGTGTTCGTTCTGTTTGCGACCCGTCCATGACAGACTCTGACGCCCTCGCTTCACCCTCGTCGCGCCGGTCCATCGTCTGCTTGTACGCAGCGGTGACGCCTCGCCTGAGTCGTTTCACCAGACTGGCGCGAAACCACCACTTCCATGCGTCGTTTCATATCCGGATATTGTATCCGAAAACTGGGCGATAATACGGACGAAAGTTTTCAATTCAATTGATGGATCTGTTTATCGTGATGGTCCGTGCGTCCGTTCACAATCACTTTGTACTGAGCCCGACAAAGATACTGCGGAATCGCGTATAACAAAAACGATCCAACTTGTCGGCGCTCCATAGATGTTTGGTGCAAGGAATCTGGGAGGATGCGGTCATAGAATGTGAAAATCAAGGTGGCAGTAATTCGGGTTTTCCTTGACTGCATCGGAACGCCTGGAATTTACATGGGGTTTCCTTACTAAGACGATCAAATCTGCGAAAAAATGCAGATGGGGAATATAAATATCGAATGTATACTTCACATTTGTAGGAACCTGAATTAAAATACGTCCAAAGCCCAGTGCAACGCTGCAGAGAGGCGGACGATGCAGGACAAACCAGACGGGGGTATAGCTGGTCAAATTCACGCACCAAGGACACCATATTTTCGTGCTCCTTTGACGAAATACACGCACACGTTTTTGCTATTACAGAAATTGGGGTTGTGATTGCGTGCGTATTTATCGTATATCGTGCGGATCTGGCTCGACAATGTGGGGATAAACCCGACGTTTTGCCCACGTGTCCCACGTTTGTTGTGTCAAGCGGCGACATCCGCGCCGGTAGAGGATGTTCGCGTCGGCACATGCCGGCCGCGCGCCATTTACTAGGTTTGCGCGGCACCCAAAGCCTGCCGATCCATGACAGGAAGTGCACGAGTGGCTCTGTCCATCGCGGTGATAGCGCTGGTCGTGACCACTAGTTGCGACGCCAGACACCCCAACCTTCTCAAAGCAAGCAATGCGCTCCCCCGGCCTTGGCCGTTCCCCATAGGCACCACCATCACAACGATCGCCCCACCCACTTTAAATCCGCCGAATGGTGAAACGACAGCGCAGCCGACGTTGGAACCTACCGTTGTGCCTACCCCTGCACCGCAGCCGACAACGTCGGTCCCCACCACGACGCTTCCAACGCCACCACCAGTGACGCCGACTCCCCCGACCACTGAGACCCCAACAACCATAGCGCCAACGACGGCCGCACCAGTTACAACCACCCTGGTACCGACGCCATCACCCACCGCCGATCCTACAACAACGTTGGCGCCGACGACATGGCCACCGACCGCCGAACCAACAACTACGGTGCAGCCGACACCAACACCGGCAGAAACAGAGGCACCGTCGACGCCTACTGTTTCAACGATAACCCCTGAGCCAACTACGCCAGAGACACCGCCTCCAAGTCTAGACGACCAACCGCTCCCTCCAGCTGACCCCATTCCCCCCACTCGACCAACCATTGCGGTCACCACCTCTGTCCCTCCGGCAGACGACCAGAACAAGGCCAAGAACGAGACGTCCGGAAATGCCAAAGACGAAACTGGGATGTCAAACATGCAGTTGCTTGCGATAGGCGGCGGCGCACTCTGCGCCATGGTGCTGGTCATGATCTTCGTCGTCGCCAGGCAGCGACGCAAGGATGCCGACTCGAAGGAGGACGACCTGAATCAGTGGACCGACAGTGCCTTCCACACTTCGAGGCACAATCCTCTTCTCAACCAGAGGGCACCTTCAACCATATCCCAGCACCCCCGCGCGCTCGACACCCTCGAGATGCTCCACACTTTGAACACGGAGAAGCGCGGCAAGTCGGTGCGGTTCATGTCGGAAAGCAACCACCACTACAGGTTGAACTCGATGGATTCCAACATCCTGGGCGATCATGAAGAAGGAAATGAAGAGCGCTTGTCCGAATCGCCGCGTTTTTCGAGTAGCTGGTCCATTGGCACGACCGATCTGTCCACTTCTCGCGAGGAGGACGAAGCGAGCTTCGCATCGGGTGGTCTTTGGACTGCCACCGACCAGCCTCTTGAAGACATCGAAGAGGCCTCCGTGGACGACGACATGTCGTCGGCCGGTTCATCTACCGCGGTGTCGCTCACGTTTTCGCCGTCATCCCGAGGCACGTCCGAGTCATGGGGGACGAATTCGAACCCGAGCTTCGTCTCGATGGAGCACCCTTCCCACGAATTTGTTAGCACATCCAGCAGCTTGGAATCGAACGACATGATCGAGTCGTCGCGATACCTCGACATGATTCACACCAACGTGCATGTGGCCGCGGACGTGTAGAAGTTGTGCCTCCGGTAACTCGAACGGTGCGAAATATCTGCCCTCTTGCGTCCTCGTCGCCGTCGACTGGCTGTGTGCCCCGTGTAAACGTCGCCCAACAACGTAATGTGTGAACGCGTAATTCGTGATTCTGTGGCAAAGTCTCGGAAGTGCTAACGGCACGAACAGGGCAGAAGGGCCGACTACACTCTCGTAGGAAGCAGGCCACAATTTGGTCATGAAGGCAATAATGCCATGCTCAACTTCGATGTTGAGCACATACGCTACAGAATGGACATTACGGAAGGATGCATGCTCCATCTTCCTGAACAGGTCGCATCCACCTGCCAACCACAGTACAACGGAGGCTATAAGAACACAAAGCTCCTCTCCGTGGTGGTGAGCTGCGCTGCCTTCCTCTACGGTCGAGCGTCCTTAGCAGATATTCAAGCAGCCCGGGCTGCCACCTCTCCTTGGACGCCTGTCTGTCCATGCCGACAACCTGGTCTGGACGCGCGCCGTCATTTCCGTCGAACCATGTGCGGCTGGCTCTGCGTTGAATTTCCGTCTTCAAGTACTATCGACGCGATAAATTGTGGAATTTCCACGACGATCTCGAAGTGAAATATAAATATTAAGGAAATAACCCCATTGCGCTAGCTTTTTGCTGTAACGATGGCTCGATTCCACGAGCACTTGCGCTGTCAACACAGCTAACGAAAGGAGGACCGACCGAGAGTGCGCCCCCTCCGCCTGCCGGTGGTGCTCCTGGTTTGACAAGCTTGCCCGTTCATGCGTAGCAGCGTCGTCGCACCTCAACTGTGGAAACATGGGCTGATAGTCGGCTTACTCCACGCCACTGGGGCGTCCGCTATTACGACGTCGGTGACCATCACGAGGCTAAACCTCCAGGAATTCATGGCATGGATCATGCCTGTGGCGAAGTACGTCCAGCCCACGACTACTCCAGTCCCAACCACCACGCGTGCCCCCGTCATTCCATTCCTTCCTCGTACAACTCGTCTGCCTGTGGCATTCAACGACGAATCGGCCTTTACAACCTCCGTCATCATCGGGGTCTCATCTTGCATGTTCGCCGTGCTGTTGGTATGCTTGGCTGTCTTGTACCGAAGCCGCCGCCGTCAGCGATTGAAGGATTCAATTCCGCCAACAGGACGATTCACCCCATCACTGAACCGACGCCATGACCAGCGCTTCCTCACTCCTGCGGCCAACATAGTTGACACTTTCAACCGAGAGTCGCATCTGTTGCGAATCTACCCGTCTACTGGATCGACGTCGCGTGTAAACATGTCGACTCTCGCGTCGAGCTTCGTCTCGCCTGATATAGATGCCAATGACGGGTACACAACGAATCCATCGTGGTCTAGCCAGGAGCATGCACCAGCTCTACCCGTCCGGACGATTCCCTCGGCATCTGTCAAGCCCCTGCGTGAAAGTTCCGAGGACTTGCTGCGCCAGCATGCTTTGTCGTCTTCGTCGTCGTCAACCATCACATCGTGGCATCCAAGTCGAACAACGTTCGCAGAACACTCGACTGTCCGTGATTCCGCCGAGGTATGGTCGCGAAGTCCATGGAACAGTGACACTTATGTCCAGCGCCACCCTGCCGCAAGTTAAAACTTGTTAATGTGAATGTCGTCATGAAGTTCTGTCGTCGTCTTCCGTCACCCGCTTCGCATGGGATGGTCGCGTCCCCATCCGGCTTGTCGACGCATCGCGCGGAAACGCACGACCATGTCCGGATAAAGTATCTTTATCCGGTTCGAAGGCGGCCGACGTGGGACGGCCATTTTGGGTGGAGATATCGCAATGTGGCGTCAACCCTCGGCCACGAGCAGCGCTCGCCAGGCCCTTCGCCGCCATGTGAGCTCCAATAACGGTCCGAGCAAGCCGATCGGCCACTCCCCGGTCATGGCCAAGCCGCCTGCTGCTCCTTTGCCACCACCGGCAGCGACTGGCAAGCCAGGTGCTGTTGCCCCAAAGCCCGAGTGGTCTAAGCCATTGACTTCCAAGGCCGCACCTCCGAAGAGCAGCGGTGGAGGCATTGTGTACGCAGTCCTCCTCGCGTCCATGGGTGCGACTGGTGGGCTGGGGTACTATATCCATGAGAACCCGAACTTTAACCCCACCTTCCTGAAAGACAACGAAGTGTTTGTCAAGTTTCGCGAGTTTGTGCTGTCGTCATTTCCGTCGTCGAAGGCGAGTCTATCTTCCACGGTCATCGTGGTTCCTGAGTCGCCGACGAGGAAGCAGCAGGTTGACAAAGTCGAGGTGACGAAGAAGAAGACGACCGATATCAAGAAAGCTGCCGCATCGAAGCAGGCAGTCGATGCCAAGAAGGCGGAGCTGACGAAGGAAGAGGTACCTAAAACGGCCGACCCTCCCGCCGACGTAGTAAAAGACGAGTCGAAGGACGCTGTCACCGTGACGGAGGTCGTGCAAACGAAAGCCGTCGATACGGCGGCGGACGAAAAGGTCACGGCCAAGAAAGACGACACCCCGCATACAATCGCGGAAGTAGCGGCGTCCATTGTCAAGCAAGCGGAGCACGTGGTCGAGGTGGCGGAGGCGGCTGTCCACGAAGAACTCGTCAAAGCCGAGCACATCCTGCTCACGGAAGCGCAGAAAGCGACGACGGCGCTACAAAAGAAGCTCGACGATGCGTCGGCGAAGGAGCAAGCAGCCATTGACGAATTGAACAAGGAGCTCGTGGCGTTCGAAGACAAGGCGAAGGAAGTATCAGCTGCCACCAAGGTGCGACGCCCTACGACAATGTGCGCGACTGTAGCGAATGAAACATGGCCTCTTTTTAGAACAAAGTAGTCAAGAAGGCCCGCGCCGAGGCGGAAGCGCTTGTCGAAGAATTGGACCACACCATACTTGCCGACATCAAGGTACTGCGGCACAAACGACGACTGCAGTGTTTGAAACGTTGGGGTGGTTGGCAGGAATTGGATGCGGAGAGTCTGCGCTTGCGCGTTGCCCAGCTCGCGACCGAGATGAAGAACCGATCCAAATGGGAAGCCGTGCGCTTGATGGAGTCGCTGCGCCGCATGGAAGAAGAAGTCCATGCCCAGGTAGAACGATGTGATTGTTGTGGAGGAGTATGCGCTCGCATGAGAGGGCTCACACGAATATGCTTGGTAGCACGCTGAATTGCTGCGCCAGCAAGACGTGCTGCACAAAGATCTGTTGGCCCGTGAATTGCGCCTTCAAGAAGAGGTATGAGCGCGTCGAGTCGTCAGCGGTTTGAAGCATGGATGGCCAGTTGATCACCCGCAACGCCCGGCATGAGCTGGAAGGGCTGCGCGCCCAACACGAAGCGGAGTTGAAGGCTCTCGTGGACGCTGAAAAGACCGTCGTCCAAGCTGCATTCGACCAGAAGTTGGCGGCACTCCAGGCCGAAGCGGACAAGAAGTTGCATGACACGATCGTGGAAAAGACGCAAGCAATCCAAGCGGCCGCCGAGCATGAACAAGCTGATCGCATTCACGTACGACGTTTTGTTGTGGAAAAGGGTGAAGGGTTGGACCAGCTCACGACCGATGGACCATAGGCGCTGGAAGACATCCGCGTGCAGGTCAAGGCCGTCAATGAACTCCTCGGCGCCACTTCCAACTACGAAGCATTCAGCCACAAGGTGCACAAAGTGTCGGTGGCGGCGTTGGCGCTGACCAACCGCATCGAAGCAGCGGCGCCACTCCACAGCGAGGTACACCCTCGATCCTGTTAACCTGTGCATGGTCCTGACACCCTTGCTGGGTAGATCAACGCGTTGCGAGCGGCCGGCAAGGGCGACGAGCTCATCGAAGCGACCGTGAAGACGTTGGCCAAGTTTGGAGATGGCGCGCCGTCGGTGGCCCAGCTCCAAGATCGTTTTAAAGTTGTCCAAAAGGCGGCGCGGAAAGCGGCGTTGGTACCAGAGTCGTCGCAAGGCGGCATGGTCGGCCATCTCTTTGCCAGTACGTTTTTTTCATGTGCATATCGATGGGATGGTCCTGTATGGCTGTGGTGTGTTAGATGCGCTATACTTTCTCCTGATTCCGCCCGGCGGACCCATTCAAGGCAACGACGCTGAAGCGATAATTTCCCGGGCGGAGTATGCCCTCCGAGCCGGCGACATTGAAGCAGCAGTCGTCGAAGTCGACAAGCTGTCCGGTCTCCCGCGCGAAGTCGTATCGGACTGGGTCGCTGCCGCAAAGTCGCGCCTGGCAGTCGAGCAGACCGCCAAGGTCGTCAAGGCGCACATTTCGCTCCTCGCCGCGAGTTTGTCGTAGGCAAACAATCCATTTGGTGAAGTAGCATATTGGGCTCGTCAATGGTGTCGACGGCGGTCCAACGTAACTCAAATATGGGTCGATTCAATCGATTTTGTGCATATACCTTCCGATGGTACCCGATCCCCTCCTCAATCGACGACGGTTCCTTCGACGTTGTATTGAATTCAAGAATTTGTGGGTGAATTGGCTCACGTCAACACGAAATCTCATTGTCGTCCTGGTGGCGCGGCGACTCGGCGAAAGTCGCCTCGTTGTGTGTCGTCAATGGAGTCGACGCGCAGCCGTCGTCATCGTTTCGATGATTTTTGGAGCGACGCGAGTCCGACTCGCGGCGCATGCGGACGTCGGCCGCCGTGAAGGAGAATCGATGGAAGAGGGTGCCGTGGTCTAGGTGGTGGCTGTCGTCGACGGTCACTTGCATCTTCGTAAAGCTCTCGGCAAAACAGCTCGTGTCGAGGTTTGAGTTGTCGGTGGCCAGCGACGGCTTGACTGGAGGCGTCAATCTGCGCTGGGCCAAGAGGCCCCAGTCGATGGACTACATGCCACTGGCATCACAATCGGCACGTCCATCCAGCTGGACAGGGACGTACCTTAAAGAACGGGTGCTGCTTGATGGCGGCAACCCCCTTGACTTTGAACATTGTCGACTTGCCCGACCCCAGGCGTTTGTCCACGTTGCGTTCGAGGAGTTGTTTCAATATCGAGTGGGTGTCGGCGTGAAGGAACTTTGGAAGCGAGAGCTACACACGAGGTGATCGCCGCGGTGAACGAGTGTCGTCAAATGCGATGGAGCACACGACACCTTTTCGTTGCAGATTTTCTCCAGGAGTTTCTTGCGGTTGTTATGCCGGAATGGCGGATACCCCGTGACCATTTCGTAGATGAGCGCGCCGAGGGCCCACCAGTCGACTGCATGCGAGTACGGTTTATTTCGAATCATCTCAGGAGCCATGTACTCTGTTGATCCAGTCAACCACGACCAGTTTGCTCGAAGAATGGTACCATTGGTGCCGCACACGGTCTTGGCTTCGTCGTCCTGGTGTGCCACGACATGACAACGTGCTTCTCATGAGAATTCAACTCACTTGTGGCAATTCCTTGCTGAGGCCAAAGTCGGTCAGGCACACGTGGCCGTCCGCATCGAGAAGGATGTTTTCAGGTTTGAGATCACTACGCAATTATCAAGCCTTGAGTATTCAGTATATGGTTTGTGTCCATCGAACGGCGTGCATGTAATCATGGAACGAGCCTGTCCTACCGATGGATGATTCCTTGGCCATGCAAATACTCCAACGCGAGGACCATTTCAGCTGCATAAAAGCACGCTGTATGCTGGGTAGGACGTCCCTCAGACTGCACAGTAAAGAACCAAAGGGTTACCTCGAGGAGTAGACCTTGCTTATGTAGGGTGTGGAAGAGCTCGCCTCCAGGAATGTACGGCATGACCAGGTACACGTTTGCAGGCGACTGGAAAGCATACTTGAGCTTGACGAGAAAAGGATGGTCGACTTTGGTCATGATATCGCGCTCGGTTTGCATGTTGCCGATGTAGTTTTTCTTGACCAGGTACTCTTTGCTAACAATCTACTCGAGGGGGATGACAAAATCGCAGGCATCAGGAATGCGCACCTTCATGGCGTAGATTTCGCCCGATGGTTTGTGTCGCACTTGAATGACCTACAAACCAAAGGTCCAGCATTGTTGCGTGTTTCATGGACGCCGACATGAACGTACCTTCCCAAAGGCACCTTGGCCCACGACGACAAGCAGTTCAAAGTCGGTGGGCGTCGCACTCGCGTCCGTTGACGACTTTTTTCCACGGTCGACCGCACACTGCTCCTTGCTGCCACGTCGGACAGGTTTGTTGGAGATGGTCGCCGCCGTCGACGTCTCAAACGCGGCCGATTCTTTTTCGATCAGCGGCGTCAATGTATCCACTCTACCAAGATCATGTTCGCTGTTCACGGTAGCCACGCATGGCAGCATCACGCGTGACTGTACCGCGGTGTGGACGGCTCCACGCTTGCTCCTTCCTCGGCCATGGAGAGTCGTGGTGCCGCGCGCACAGTGTCGACTCCCACTGACAATCGAATCTCGGGTCATACACTTTCACAGGTAATGCATCCATTTTCATAGGTCTCTTATGTTTCAATCATCCATTGTCAACAGGTCCTCTATCCACGGATATCCAACATATTATTTGCAAGAGGTTTATCCCGGCCGCGGTTTTGGTTGGTGGCGAGGAAACACGCGATTCTGATTGGCTGTTGCTGTTTACTGGTGAGGAGCTACCAAAATGCCCAAGGTGGGGCCCATTCAGTTCTTTTTTCTCCTGACCTCGACTGAAAAAGATGGCCAAGCGTAAGTGCCGATGATGCGAATGGGTTCATGTGACTGCAGATGGGATGTGCATGGTTTGTGACAGGCGATCGACCGGCGTACAGGTGTGCTGACATGGCCTCGTGATGGGACTTGTGTGTAGACAAGCCCGCTGGTATTCGTTGCGCTCGCAAGTTGCGCGTCCACCGCCGTTCGCAACGATGGCATCAAAAGTCGTACAACAAGTCGCACTCCGTGACTGCCATGAAGGCCAACCCGTTGGGTGGTTCGTCCATGGCCAAGGGGATCGTCTTGGAAAAGATTGGGATTGAAGCCAAGCAGCCTAACTCTGCCATTCGTAAGTCGTGCCGTGTGCAATTGATTAAGAACGGCAAGAAGATCGCTGCCTTCGTCCCCCGCGATGGTTGCTTGAACTACGTCGATGAAAACGACGAAGTTTTGATTGCTGGGTTCGGTCGTCGTGGGCATGCCGTCGGTGATATTCCCGGTGTCCGTTTCAAGGTTGTCAAGGTGTCCGGTGTGTCTCTGTTGGCCTTGTACAAGGAAAAGAAGGAAAAGCCCCGCTCTTAAATGCAGCATGTTGGTGGCTTGTGTGCCGCCATGCTGTCGACCTTTGTGCCGATGTAGCCCGGTAGAGACGCCGACGATATATCGCATGCAATTGTGCCTCTTGGGAGAATAATACAAGGAACAATACCAGTCCTTTTCGTTCTTGTGTTTTCCATGTAATGATTACCAAGAACAATGACTTTCCCGAGTCCAAGCGACCAACGCGGCTGAGGCGGTTGAACACTCCATGAGGCATCTATGTCATCTCGCCTACTCGTAGGATGGGAATGCTAGCGGCCCTCGCCATCCACAATCATGAAGTGAATGACATCCGTTGACGCCGACTAAGCTCTTTGAGAGCCTCCCACCGACCCCAGTCACAGACTTCCCCATGCGCGTCGCGACCATAATCCGTGCACACTCGTCGGACATGTGAATTGACACCGCGTTCAGGACTTCGCCTTCCGACCTTGCTAAGGTGCCCAGTCGTCTAAACATTCTCGCCATGCTGCAGGCATAGCGAATGAGCTGACGCGACGAAGAGACACTCACACGGCCCAGTGTCCGCATCTTGTCACGATCGAACGGATTCAAGTTGATATACGTCCTAGTAGTACATACAATTCGTAGTATACTCATTGAATTGAAATCGCATATTCCGCATCTCTATTTCGCCAATACAACCCTTCGCAAGTACTACTAATAGTACCTACTAAATCGTGTATCACAGCGACAATCCTGCCGCCGAAATCGGGCCTACTCCAGCTTGGGCAGCGCGGCCACCAGGCCTTGATGCAACGACAGTCGCACAAAGGGCCGTTAGGATAACATGCATGCATTTACCAAAGGGCTATCCTGTGGATAGAGACATGGAGGCATACTTTACGACAGTGGTTGCTCGAAGACCAAACGTTGCGAGCACAGCTGCCCCAAGATGGGTGCGTTTGAAAGGACATTTGCACCTGTCGTGCGTGTTGGACATGTAGAGGCCAAGCACCGCAGTGTTTTAATGACCAAAGCAAGGCATGATGTGGCTTGGTTGCTTGCCATACCGATAGGCCAGTGTTTCCCGCTCGTCAAAGGTCTTTGCAACGAACACGAGAGCTGGGCTCGGAGGAGCGAGCGACGACTCTGCGCCACGCATGAACTGGTCGGGCGTCAAAACGACAATCAAATTGGGCAGCGGCGGCCACTACACATGCTGTAATCACTGTCGAAAGCATTGTATGACGTTGAACCCTATATATTACGTCATGCAGCCATCCGTCCCAGTCGTTCTAGCGACGGCAGTAGGAATGCCGTGTCCCACATCATTTTGGCACTCGTTACTACTCCGCCACTGCGGACAAGGTAACGTTTCCCTGAAGCCAGCCTAATCAGCTCTGTTGCGTTCAATGGCAGCAACGAAGCGTTCGACTCGCCATCCCGGTCGTACACCATATCCAATGAAGCCCACCACAGCCGCCACATTGCGAGGTGGACGGAGCGAGGCAGACAGGCAGCCGCGCGCAACCCGCAATCCTCAGGCACCCCTCCCCGACTATTACGACAAAATGAGCAGGTGAGTATTGAAACTTTAAAAAATACCATCGTTTCATACAAACCAAAAGTCACCTGTTAAAAATACAATGGGAATTAAAATAATCGTCTTCGAAATTTGAATTCATACAAATGGCAAGAACGGGTTCGAAGTTCGAAGGAAAGTTCAGCAGCGCTGCGTGGGCGAAACGTTCCTCAGTCGACAACGAACCTTCCTGTCGACGCTCGAGGCGCCGCCGCGACACATGAGCTGTTGGGACTGCTGCATTCGCTTACTGAAGCGATGTCTCCCGCGGAACGACATCGTCGTCGAGCTCGCGCCATACTTGAACACCGCAAACGGAGGGTACGCGAACAATGCACAGACAAACACAGGCGGACGTGGCCAGACCAATACCACCAACACCCACACAAGCCTCGCGTCCAGATTTACCAATTCCCAAGGAGAATTGCAGCATGGTGCTACCGGTGGTGGTGGTGCACACCACGCGGGGGAACAATCGCGATCTGGCCGCCGAAGGGATCGCCATGCGGCCGCCGCTGATATTCAATCGGGAGGTGCCGACCCATCTCTCGGCAACGGTCGGGGAAAAGGTTCCATCTTGAATCCTGCGTTACTATCCTCGTCGACGACAAAGTTTTACAGCCACAATGTCCACAGCACTGACGACATGCATGACAACGACGACCTCGGCTCCACAAGTCCTATGAACGGTCGCGGTGACCCGTATATCGCCTCCACAGGTGGACTAAGCCATGTTCTGCACAAGTATGCTGTCAGTCGGCATCAAGCTGATCCGCGCTGTCGAGAAGTGTACCATCCCCTTCCTCACACAGCGTCAGGTCACACCTTGCTCCCCGTGGACGTGGTTATGGGCCACGACGTCATCATGCAGGGTGGCGGCATGGGTGGTCAAAACACACCGATGCTTCGCGCGTGCGACTCAACCTCGTCCATCGACATCAACGTCGACGATTTCGACAGCTCGACAGTGTTTGTGTATGTGAGTGTGGCCGCCTTTCAGCGACTGGCGCGACAATTCCAGGAACTCATGGAGGAAGCGACGTCATTGTACGTCCACATGATCCGGTCGCGCCTCAACGAGTACGGCGGCGTCGAGCTCCGATTCAACGAAGGGTACTTTGTCGTGGGATTTCAGACCGAATTCAACGCGGCGCGGTGGTGCCTCGCAATGCAACTCGGACTGATGTATGCGGCATGGAACCCGCGTTTTCTCCGCGCGCCGGAAGCGCAGGAGGAGATGTCCCGGCATCGCCCGATGCCAGTGTTCCGTGGACTTCGCGTGCGCATGGCAATCCATTCGGCGTGTCCGAACTCCGAATCTGACGACGACGACGTCGACGCGGATAGCTTGCTCGAGTTTACGGAGGCTAACCCGCCCGAGCAAGACCCGCGGGAACTTGTCCGTCTCATCGGTGAATGCGTCCACGGCGGTCAAATTGCATTGAGCGACGGCGTGTGGGAGAAAATGAAGGAGCAACTTGTGCAACTGGGCAACCCTGTCGTGGAAGATCTAGGCAAGCATGTTGTTGGCGGCCACGCGCTGCAGTTGTTTCAGCTCTTGCCAAAGCATCTCGAGGACCGCCACTTTTTGCCACTCATGTCGATCAAGCAACTGGCTCCTGCGATGCGAGACGCCCCGACCGCCGCAGGCGAAGTCACGATGGTTTTTACCTTCATCGAAGGCGCCCGATCGCTTATGCTGAACGACGCACATGCACTCGTATCTCGAGTCAAGACGATTTGCACGTTGTCGAGGAAGCTGCTGCGGACCCACCGTGGGTACGAGTGCCAGGAGCTCCAAGGGGTACGTGTATCATGTGTCCGATGGAATGTTAGTTGCTCATGGAATGACATTCTAGGACTTCATGTTGGCGTTCTTCCGACCGGCGGACGCAATTGCCTGGTGCGGTGAAGTCCAGAAGAAGGTCCACGCGCTGTTTAGCCAAGACCCGAGCGGAATTCAATTTCGCATCTCGATGGGCATCGAAACGGGAGTCCCGGTGTCGGTGAGCCCACACAAGTCGAGCGGCCGCGCCGATTACTTTGGCAACATTGTCAACCAGACGGCCCGCATCGCCAAGGCGGCCCACGGCGGCCAGATCATGCTCGGCGGCGATGCCTGGAAAGCGTTCATGCATGACTCGGCCTCGCACTCGGACAGACCGCTTGCTGGCAGCCTCCCGTTTTACTTCAAGGACCACGGATACTTTCAGTTCAAAGGCATCGCATCGGGCACGCTCCTCGTGGAGGTCGTTCCGTTTGGCCTCGAAACCATTGTCCATGCCGCCACGACCGCCAAGGTGTACAAGAAACCAGTCCCGCCGTCGACGGTGCCGCTGCCGGATCGCAACCGCCTCGTGTACGTGTGGAGCCAGACCGGCGAGGGCGAGTCGGACGTCGGGTACAGCATCCGTGACACGGAGGTGTTCGATGACAAGTCCCTTTACGGCACGCTGAGCGAGTGGACCCCACAAGACCTGCGCACGTGGTTCAACGAAGACTCGAAGCGCGGCGTCTTCGACATGCCTCATGCGGTGTGTGAACTGCGCGATGAGTAAACGCCTCCCCCTCGCCGTCGTGTGAATCGTTGTCATTTAACTTATAACATATTGCTGAAAACTCTCTTCTACCATTGCGGGTGCCAACTGCATGCAGCGACTCGCTTGGCGGCGGTGGAGCGTCATCCTTGTGCTCGAGTTTCGTGTCCTTCAAAACATCGGTAGTTGGAGGGATTTCAACCGAATGACCGAATAAATGAAAATGTTTAGAATACATGAACACGTCGAGGTGATTTGATGAAGAGAATTAAATAATCAACTATTCCATGTGAATTGCACCACTTCAAGTAAACACTTGTCGACGACAGACACACCGGCTGCTGCTGCTCCACCATCATGTTCTCATTCGTGACGGCGCAATACCAATGGTACAAGCTTGAGTTTGGATTGACACTGCTGTCTCCATGGGAAGTCTTCACCTTCAGTACGTGCATATCCCCTCATGTTCGTGGTTTGTGCACGCTCCTCCTTGACTCGGTCGTCCTAGACGCGATCGTGCTCTTCGTCCTCAGCGCGACAGCCTACTTCTCGCTCCACGCAATCGACTATTTGGTGTAGAGGACAATCTGCACGCGCCATGTAACCACGCAAATATCAGTCCACTTCACGCGATGGTTGGTTATCCATGCAGGCTAGTGTGCCATTGCACTCGCCTACGATGTACTCGTTCGCCCATGTACACCTCCGCGCTACATGCCCCTTGCCGATGGTGCCGCACTGTGGCAAGCATGCATCGCGCACGTCCACCACACGTTTTCGTCGTTGGTTTCACTCGGGTGAAACCGACCGCGACTCCAAATACTTCATCGCGTGAGGAGCGAGTTTCGTCTTGTTGTCCGCCCCCACATCGCCGGCGCATCGACTCGAGATGGCGGACGACTTGGATGTTGACTGCGACGACTTTGAAAGTACGATCAATGTCCCTGTCCCGTTGCATCGTGCTCGCGCATGCGTCTGTCGTCGTCTTGATTTTCCAAACACGTTGTAGAAACCCTCAAGGTGTGCGTGGTCGGGAATGGCAACGTCGGCAAGACGAGCCTCACAACTCGGTACGCGAAAGGACGGTTCACGGACAACTACAAGAAGACGATCGGCGTCGACTTCATGGAGCGCGTCTTGTCGATCGATGGCGACGACATTCACTTGATGATCTGGGACACGGCCGGCCAGGAAGAGTTTGACACACTCACAAGCCGGTACTACCGCGGCGCCGGCGCGGTCGTGTATGTGTTTTCGACAGTCGACCGAGAGTCGTTCGACGCGCTGCCGTCGTGGCAGCAAAAGGTTCTGGACGCGTGCGGGTCGTCGATTTGCCAGGTGCTTGTGCAAAACAAGGTCGACTTGATTGACGACGCCGTCATAACCAAGTACGTGGCTGTGTCGTTCGCAAGCATTGAGACGTGACCGCGAGGACAGAGACGAAGTGAACGACATGAAGGACGACATGCGAGTAAAGCTCTACCGGACGTCCGTCCAAGAAAACAAAAACGTCGAGGAAGGTTTGTTGTGTCGTGGCCGTTTTTGCATGTGGCTCTCACATGGTCCGATGTCGATTGCAGTGTTTGAGTACTTGTGCCGGCGGTATCTCAAGAAAAAAGTCCCCGAGAATGCGGCGGTCGCGGACATTGGCGGCGCCGCATCGCCCCCCACGCGGAAGTCCAAGCAAAAAGCGACATCGAGTCGCCACACGTCCCAGCATGACAATGACGACGACAACTTTGTCCGCCGTCCAGTAGCGAAAGCTGTGGCAACACCCAAGTCGGATCGATTCAAGAACGACAACGACGACGGTCTGTCGTTCGATGACATCCGCGTCGCGCTGCCTGCCAACGAAGACGCAATCCAGCGCATGGACGAGGTCGACGAGAAAGACGACCAACCGACCGAGCATACCGCGTCCCCACACCGCCCGAAGGACGAACATGGCTATAATCGGGACCCGCGGTGGTCAGATATCCCTGCCGCCGCTTCCCCAGCCATGGGAGGCCCCATTGAACCAAGCAAACGCCGCACGAACGGGAAGAAGAAAACCGGGTGTACCGTTTCCTAAGAAACAGTCGTGGTTTTAAATTTAGTCGTTGGCTTGGCGTCGGCGGCAGGACCATGTTTACGTACAACCACATCACGGGGGCAAAGCTGAGCTACATGCATGTGCCCGTGGAAGTCGATTCGTTGGTGGTTCGGGGAAAACTGCAGCAGGACCGTCGCGAAGCCAACGAGGCGCGGCACATGGCATGGGAAGACTTTTTTGCAACACAGTGGGGCAAGGCCGAGCGCGACGCCGCCGCCAAGACGCAACAGCGTCTCCAGCACCAAATCGAGCAGTTGTCCAAGGTACAACAGACTTGCATATGGATCGGTACGGCCCTTGATCCGTCGGGGATGCCTAGATCACTGTGACGTCGCGCCACTTTGAGTTGTGGAATTTGGCAATCGACCGACACTACTACGAGTACATTTCGTACTCGCTGCAAGATCCGACGCTGCGCGACACGTTGCTATCCAATGTGCACAACGGTCTCACGCCCCTCGCCAGAGCGTGTACGACCAAAGACTACGCGCTTGTTCGAATCCTTCTAGCCCACGGCGCCGACGTGACCGCGAAATCCCCGTCCAGTCCAAACGCTTACATGCGATCCATCTTCTGCGCGGCAGTCGCCGACTTTCGCGTGTTCGAGCTGCTCGTGGAGCATCTTCCCACAGCACGCGAGCTGCGGGGGCTCGACAAGGACGGATTGTCCCTGGTGCACTTGGCGGCTCAAGGGGGCTACGTCACCGCCTTGGAAGCGCTATTGAAAATGCCCATAACCAGCGACCTCGTCGATACCACGACGTCCAAGCTTGGATACACAGCGCTGCATTACGCGGTTGTCGGCGGGCACGCCGATTGTGTGGCTGTGCTGCTGCGATACATGTCGCCATCGGTCGCCGCCGCCATGACAAGCGATGGATGCAATGCGCTCCACCTGGCCTTACGCGTCGATGGGACGCACTTTCACCTCGAACAGCTCGTCGAGAACTTCATCAACGCCAAGTAGGTGTCTCCTAACTCGTTGGGTTTGACTTTGACCGTTGCTGGTAATCCGTCAGTTGCGACTCGAGTCTGTTCGAGGCAGTGGACGCAAATGGCGCGACGGCCCTCCACTTGTCGATTGCGCAAAACCTCGAACGAATAGCGCTGCGGCTCATGGACGTCGGAAAGACCCCCATGAACGTCTGCACGAAAGGCGGCATCGCAGCGCTGCACTTGGCAGTGACAGTGGAAAATTTGAATTTGGTGCGGGCCCTGCAGCACCACAACGCGATGATTGACATCATGGACGACAACGGGCAAACGCCGCTGCTCACGGCGGCCCTGTTGAACCACACGGTACGAGGATGGCAGGTATGTGCGATTGGTGTGAATGGAGCTAGGAGTGCATTCGGTTCCTCCTGGACTGTGGCGCCGACGCAGGATGCCAAAACAAGGAAGGCCATGCCCCGCTGCACTACTTGGCATCGTACTGCACCGACCCCGACACTTTCCAACTCTTTTTCGACAAAGACGTGGACGTCAACGTGAAAAGCGCCAAGGGCAATGTGCCGCTGCACTTTGCCGCCATGAAAGGCAACGAGGTACATGCGTGTGACAGGAAATTTCCATGTCATCCAGTTCTTACGGGCAGGTGGCCGCGAAAGCTCTTCTGCACCACGGCGCAGACGTGTCGCTGTTGAACGAAGACAAACGCAGTGTCGTCTTCCTTGCAAGGCAGTGGGGGTGCGGCGTCGTCGTATTCGTAGCTGCGTTTGTATCACAAAGTTGTGGGGTAGCCATCTTGACCTGGAAGAGTACTTTAAGCTTGTGCTCAAAGACGCGACCGAAGTGCCCGTGCCATCATTAGACCACACCGATCCAACGACGACAGAACTCGACAGCGGCGGTGGACACGTTCGCAAAACCAAACCAGCGACCCATGGTGGCACGAGAGACTCGCTCAAATCAAAAAAAGTGGGTGTGGTGCTGCCCAGCGTTCGGCCAGTCACGGCTGTGGACCCTGCCGCGCGATGGGAAAACGACAGCGACGTGGCGTCGGCAGTCCTGGATCATCCATCGACGACCACACCACTAGGTCGGCATGTGTGCATGACTCCTTACGTGAAGCGTCAGCTCTTTGGGCGTGTACGAGCGCCAAACCAACCCGTGAAACTCACGTCCGAAATGGATGAATTGCTTCGCTACAACCAGTCGTCAAAGCCTGCACCGGAGCACCCCCAGGCCAAGAACATGGTAAGTTGTCAATTTGTCATGGAGGGAGCTAACCCATTGCAGGTGCGGCGGTGCAAAGCCGGGGTCAACATACCATGGGAAGCCACGATGCCGCTAGGCAGCGACACCTTGGAACGGCGGCTAAAACCCTCGACACAGCACCAACTCAATGCAGCCAACCACGTCAAGAGCATGCCCGAACTGCGCGCCGAGTTTCAGTTTGTCAGGACGCTCGTGTGGCAAGAAAGCGCAGGAACCCGGCGGTCCCGACACTCCCTAAGGAGTCGACCCCACCAACATGCCTGACAAGGTCGAGGAGCCGAAACATGTTGGGTCATTCCATTGTATTTATTCATCGGCTTCGTCTTTCGCGACGAGGACGACGCGACCGCGCTGGGCTGTCGCCGCCACCTCGTTCAACTTGTCTTGCTGGGTTTTGTCCCACTGCAGCGTACATCGAGGGTCACCGCGAGTTGTTCGAAGCTTGTGCATCGCTTTGAGGTCTTGGACACTGGGACAACACACAACGAGCAGCAACGACTTCGACGGGAGGTCCGTCGCAACGTCTCGAACGAGTTCGGCGACTTGGTCAGGACACGATGCTTGGCCCCACGTAAAGGTCGGCGGGAATCCAGTGGTCAATTGGTGGCGGATGTGGTGGAACACTAGGTCTGGCGAGGTGCAGGGGATGGCAGCGGCCGCGCTGCCGGCGAGGGACCGACATGCGGCGGCGGTGTCCACAATGAGCGCAGACTTCTTTCGATGACACAATTCTGTGATGAGTTTGCGGGGATGGCTGTCTTGGGCTATAATGGACGGAAACAGCGGCCCGTATTGAATCTTGAGCTACGGCAGCAGACTCTGAAATTCATTGCTCTCGTATGGCATTCGAAAGCACCTGGAGTAGCTTCATGGCGCATGCGGCATCTTCGACGCTGCAATGGCCATCGTCCCCGGTTTGGATTTGGATTTTCAGGTAGGTGCTCGCTAGGTATCGCAACGCCGAGCTACGAGGGTGGGCATACGTGATGATGGAGGACTCGTAGGGAAGTCGCACCGAAAAGGTGGCCCCTTGGGATGCGGATAAAGCAGCACGGTATCGATGACGCGGCGGTGGATCAATCGAAGCGCCTGAAGGTCGTTTTCCAACGAATGGCCAACAAGAATCGTCTCGGCCGATATCAGGTCCACCAGTCGTGCTTGGATCTGCGGACAATCCACAATCACATCACGGACAATAAGGTGCAGCGTACCGAGGCCAGGGTGTTGGTGCATCCCTCCAAGATCTCGCGCGTGATGCCAGAGAATTGTGTACAGTAGTCCACGACTGGATTGGACGGTAGCACGAACTCATCCAGTACGACCTAAAACCACCATACGTGGAATCGATCGAGCCACACGGCGACGTTTACCTTATGCTGATCGTCCACGATGGACACCCGCGCGAGCTCGACGCCTTTGGTAGTTTTGCACATTTCGCAGTCGATGGCTAAGAGCGCGTGGACGAGTTGCTGGCCTTCCGCCAAAGGCCTTGTCTCGACAAACGTCGTTGCAAGTTCGTTCGACGGTATCGGCACGATCTTGACCAGGTCGGCATCCTCAGCAAGGTAAAACTCCGGGCCCTTGACATCGTGATGTGCCTTTTTGAACTTTTTGATCTTGTTTTTCACGGCCTTCTTCAATTGTTTTTTCGCGGCGTCTTTTTCAGCCTTCGACACAGGAGCATACAGCAACGTGGCCTCGCACTTGGGAATAGCATCGCCTTCCGCCAGTCGTACAGCAGGCAGTAGGTCGGTTTTCGTATCCGACGGCAGTCCGTCGACGGCAACGGCCAAAGCATCCACCGGAGCGTCTTGCAGAACTAGGACGACCACATGGTTTGGCCCAGCCGTGCAATCGTCTCCCAGCAGTTTGTCCATCAGCACGTCTCGAACCTCTGAGAGAAGCGGCGTGTGCCCATTCGTCGTCAGCGCATCAAACGAAGCCAGGAGCTGGGCAGACCACCTCCCGCCATCGTCGGAAGTGGCTCGGCGCTTCGTTCCCATGTGTACTTTTTTCAAATTACGAAATTCTGCACTATGATTGGCCATTATTGATTCGAAACTCCTTGGATTTTAACCAATAGTGCATGTGGAATTTACAATGATGAGCAGAAACAGAATCGTTTTCTCCATCTAGTCTGGGGGGTCTGAGGGAGGCATCGCGCTACTGAGCAGCACCCAGCAGGTCAAACGAATCAAATCCAGGGCTTCCTGCTGTGGGCGTGTGTACAGCTGCATGGAGTGGCGCAGTTTGGGACGCCGGAGCAGGTGGTGGAGGTGCAAATGGGTTGAAACCCCCTGCTAACGGGGAATCGACGCCGTGGGTGGTGGCATGTCCTTGCAAATCCGACATAGTAAAGTCCATGAAGACGTTGCCGCCTCCAAACGGATTGTTTGAGGTCGCCTCGAGAGGGGGGCTGGCAAAGTCGAGCACATTCACGATGCGATTGCTGCTGTTCGCACGTAGTTCCAGCCCAACGTGCCCGCTGGCCGTTCGAGACTGCGGCTGTTGTGGTGGCGCCGACACGAACGCTCCACCATGCATGGATTTGTTGGACCCAAACGAGGTTACAGCAGGCGGAGGCACTGGCGACGATGCAGCAGACGGGGGAGAGTCTCCGAAGTCTCCCCACGACTCCATCGTTGCACGTGCTGGAGGGGACGGACTCGTCGAGTCTGTCGACGGCCCAACGAAGTCGCTAAAGCTCAGCTTGTTGACTTGGATGTCGGAGGTTGCAATGTGCGAGGCTGTGCCACTGACACGTGGAGCAGGCTTGTCGGTTGCGGCGGCGGCATGTCCATTGGTCGCAAATGACTCGAGGGTGGCCAGGTGTTCGTCGTAGCTCGTGATGGCCAGTAGAGGCTCCATTTTCTTGGTAGCGGCCACCATTGCCGACGTGTAGTGGATGCGGAACTCAATCACCTAGTGATGCGACATGCAACGCTCGGAGATGAGTACAAAACACAACACGAACCGACTCCTCCACGAGGAAGGGTCTCACGGAGCGTACTCGCTGGACAAGAGGCAGCAAGGTTGAGTCGCGGTGGCGCAAGAAGTCCCGTAAGTGGTGAATTGTGGTTTCCGCTGCTTGGTTGTACTCGTTCGTGATCGTGACGAGCTTTTGTTCGTTCTACGCCGCCCGATACCATCCCAAGTCATTCCCGATCAACCCGACGACGGCATTACCCGGACGAGTTTGTCCACTTCCTTGCCCTTTTCGTGCTTGCCGGCCCCGACTCGCTTGTTGTGAGCTTCTCGCAGTGCCAGCACCTTCTTGTTGTAGTGATCGTACGTGATGTGGGTCTCGTTGAAGTCAGCGCATTCCTTGTGGAGCAAGTTGACTTGATGCGTCCAGCCCTGGGCCGGTGTTTGGACTCGAGTTTCAAATGCCTTGGCCTGCGACGGGATCAAAAGTGGCATGAAGAATGCGTGCAACATCCAATGATGGAGGCTGCAGTTGTCGCACCAGTTCCGTGACGTGGGTGATGTCGATGTTGAGCGAACACGCTTTGAAAACGTCGATGAACTGCTTGACTTCGGGCGACTCGGACGGAATGTCTACGACCACTAGTTAGTCATGCAGCCCATCGACAGCGCCCCCACCCCTGAAGCAGATCGCTCTCGACAACGTACCTGTGCATTTGAAGTTGGACACGTCTTCGATGGCCCTGTTCAATATGGTGGACGCGGTATGGAACCCTACCGGTCCGTTCCATCACGACTTTATGGACGGTGGAGGGATCGATCACCTCGAAGCGCGGCAATGTATCCCTTGACGGCGTTGTCCAGATTGACAATGCCCGATTGCAATTGCTCAAACCCCGAGAAGGCCTGGTCAAACTGGACGTTCTTGCTAGGTTTGGTCGCTCCGATCTTTGTGAGCAGCTTGTTGGTTGCACGCACTCGAATCGACGACATGGCGGTCTCGGCCTTCCTGCGAATATGTGGCTGCGTGCTGGCCACTCTCTTGCTATTTATAGCGTGGATTCGCGTGAAAAATCATCCCACGGGAAACCCCCGCGGCGGTTCAACCGCTCCCACCGGCGGTGGGGAAGAACTTTGAGGGGGGTTTTTGTCGAGACAGTGAACAGTCCATTATCGTCGAGACTGGGGGTATCAAATTGGGGCTTAGTTGGACCTTTCGTCACGGTGGTCGAGAGGCGACTGGCGCCACACGAACTCTTCGACGAGGTCGACAGTGTCGTGGCGGCCCTGGCTGCAGCTATTGGGACACGTGTACACGACGAGCGTTCCCCAATCGAGCTCGCGCTTGGCGTTCGTCGTAGCCGCGAGGGACTCGATCGAGTCATCGCCAGCCAGCTTCAAGTGATAGAGTAGTTGCGGCATGACCTGGAATTCAAACAAACGGGGTGCGCCACAGGACGAACACGCCGGAATTTCGGCCGGTCGGTCGTTCGAGTGAACCCACAGAACAGCATCTTGTTCGTTCCATCGGCAGTATCGAAGAACTTGGTCCTTGGCGAGCGCCACGCGCGTCAAAAAGGCCAGGTACGTCTTGTCGACTGCCGGAGACGACCCCAACAGTGCCGACAGATCCTTTTGCGAAATATCAATCGCCGAGTCGTCCGTAAACACGTCCTCGTTTTGGTCCGAGGCGACCCGTCGGGAAGATTGGGCTGCATGACACACTGCAGTTGAGCCAAGTCCTGATTTGTACTCGCCATACCTCGTTCAAAAGCCTCCATCATCTTGGCTTCCGTTCTAAATCGATTGACTTGAGTCCAAGTGTTGCTCATGAGCCAGACGTACGTGTTCTGAGCGACGGAGGAGGCTGGCTCGGGGTCGATGTGAATCGCGTATTCAGGAAAGAGGTACTTGGACCCGTTATCCTCGAGTGTCGTGGCGTGTTCAACGTCTTCGAAAAGCTCTTGCAACGCCAGGCTATCGAATGCTTCGTAAGTGCTAGCGAGACGAACGGCTGGCTTACCATTGGGGGCAGTCCTGCTTGTGGCCATGTTTCCAATGGTCCTTTTGGTGCTCCTTGGAACAATAGTGAGCCACATGACATGCACTGCACGAAAACATGGCCTTGAGGCCGCACAAAGCGCATCGCTTTAGCGACCGGTCTACATGGTCAAGCGGTCGGTAGTTGACGTCTTCATGGTTGGCGTAAAACAGGTTGTCCTGGGGCAGTTGGCAGCGAAACACGCGTGCACTGCATCAGACACGCAAACCGTGTTAGAGTCTTCACGACCGATGGCGAGACGTACTGGCCAAGGCGAGCACAGTCGCTGGTGCGGCAGCAAAACAAGTACAGCGAGCGATGGAACGCTTGGTCGGGGTGGTCCAGCGGACAGTAGATTTGCAGCAGGAAACTCATGCTCTTGTCACAACCATTGCACTTGACGTCCACGTGGGTGTTGGGATGCAGCCATACGGGACTTCCGCCGACTTTGCCGCCATCCCAGTCGCCGTATGGCCCATGCAAGTGCACTTCCTTCTCACCAAGAAAACCCAACTCAACCTCCATGTCTCCGCCTTCAAGCTCTACATCCTCATCATCTTCATCTTCGTAGTTGGTGGCTTCGAATGCAGCACCCTCGTTGACGCCGCCGTCCTCAAGCACGACGGTCTCACCGCAGTCGGCACTTGGGACGGTCATGATGTTGAATACTGGTTGATGGAAGTCGTTCAAGCTGCTTTGATTGGTCGTCCTATGCTACATAATTTCAGCCAATCAAACTTCGTGACTCTGCCGGAGTGCTTAATCGAATTGTACAGTGTGGGTTACTTTCACGGGAGGATTTTAAAATTCGACCCATTATTTTAAATATGGCACTTTAACATGATGAGGCAGCACAATCTTTAAAAAGCCAATAAAATAATCGATGATTAATTAAATTCGATGAGAGACTCCTAATTTCATCGAGTCCAGCTCTGCGTGCATTTTCCATGTAGTGTATCGAAAAATATTTGTACTTTAGCGAGTTGGTGAAGTGTCGCTCGGAAGGACGACTTGAGCGAGATGATGCAAGCATCGGTGGCAAGCCACCGCATGGAAATCGACGACGTTCAAGACCGCGAAGACATGGAGATAGAAATGGCAGAACTGGGGCTCTCTGGAAGCCCCAACCTTCACAGCAGCGGTGCCAAGGTCGATGTCGAGCTGCGGCGGAAGCTGGAACGAGAAACCATCATGAAGCATGATTCGACACAACTCAAGTTTAAGGAAGCGTGGTTCTTCATTGAGACGTCGTGGATGGACATGTGGATGAACTTTGTCCTGCACGACGGTCCGCTGCCAGGTCCGCTGTCGAATCAATCGTTCTACACCCGCGACAACACACTCCGCAAGGACCTTCAAGTCACCAAGCACTACCGGTGCGTGAATCCTCGGGTGTATGCCATCTACGCCGAGATCTACGGCACTGGTGGCGCGTTTCCGATCGCTCGTTACACGTTGGACATCTACGCAACGCCTATTCTGCGTGACGACGTCCTCGAGATACTCAAGCTGCCAGAGTTGAGTGCGTGCGTCGCGGTGACGGAAATGCGCGAACAGTACGAGGAATGGCCAGAAGACCCGGAGCCAGTGATGGGGTGGTGCAGCTGGATGTACCAGTGCTGCTGTCTGTGCGACCGACTGCCCACCGTGCTCGGTCGCATCTTTGGCGGTCCAACCTATGCTGCCGTGGCCACGGACAAAACCAAACGACGCAAATCCAAGTCGTCGAAGAAGAAAAAGCGCCGGCACCACGACGAAGAGAGCGACGAGAGTGACAGCGATGCAGACACAGAGGAAACGAGTTCACTTCTGTCGGACGATCGAGATTAACAGCATGGTACCCCTACAAGTTCTTTTCTAGTCGACCGCATGCGGTCCGTTTTCGACTCGCACGGACAACAGTTTGGCGATGATTGCAAAGCTGAAGCAGCCTTGGGGATCGGTAAACCCCCATCGAAACGTGACCTCGTCGACCGACTTGGGTGCACATACCACGACAACTAGATTCAGACTACCAAGACGAATGGGATCGAGCAGTGGAAACTTGGCGTAGTGGCGAATTTTGGAGTTTTGTCTCGGGGGTCGTGTGAAATGGCATGCCCGGTTGTCACGGGGTGGGGGCTCGATTGTGAGCGATCGCTGGCTGTGGCTCGACCACAGGAGATAGTACTGCTTCACTGGTCCTTCGTTCGGTTTACTATCTACGCCGTCGAGTCGTCCGAATGATACGGCCGTGGCAACGTCTGGACCACCCGGACAAAGACGAGCGAGGCAAAGATGAGGCCGAGGAGAGTGCCCATCGTAACGTCGACGGTGTGATGCTTGAAGTCTGTCACGCGGGTGACGGACACGCCAAGGGCAAAGAGGAACGGTGCTAAGGCAGGCAGGAATAGTGCTTGGCGGCAGATGGATGTCGTGCGGGTGGTCAGGCTCGATGGGCGATGGAAAATCGTCCACAACGCGTAGATCTAGGCATTCGAGACCATCCGTCCAGAGCGTTCAGAAGGAAGGACGTACTGTGGCGTACCACCCGGCGGCCGTGCCAGTGGAAGCGTGCCCAGACGGAAACGACACCATCGACTTTTCAAACTTGTTGGAATCCACAGAGCATTGGTACGTGGCATTGACCAAGCGCGGTTGGCACACGGATGCAAAGTTGGGACGCAAGTACCCCACGCTAAACTTGATGAGTTCGGTCGTCGCAATCGTAAGCAGCACTGCCTCGACCGCGCCAAGCAGCACATTCACGAGCGTAACGTAAAACTGCCGCCGCGATACCGCATGCTGGAACGTAAACTCGAGGACGACGGGCACGACGACACTAATGGCACCGCTGAGCCCTACGAGAAGCGGGTACGAAACAGTATCGTCATGGAATGGATGCGTGGTTGCCTCGCCTACAGCCACGAGTTAGACAATTCGCCGCGTGAATGGCACAGACGCCATCGCCGACGCACTGATGGTGGGATTGTACGTGTTGTAGTACCGCGGGTTCGGAGACGTTTGCACCGCCCACCCTGCAATCGACGCCCACACGATCATGGACACCAGCGGGGAGATCCACTGGACGTCCTGCCACAGCGGCGCTGGCTTGGGAGCTTGCTCTTCTTCCCGTCGTACGAAGTTCATGTGGAGCTGGCGAAAGTGAAGTCAGAGCTTTCCTATATCTAGTTTGACCAATCAAAATTCAGGGACGAGAGGCCAAGCGCCAAGCCGCGACACAAGTCACCCGAACTTCGCGACGACGTTGTCCGTCTTCGCCTGTAGTCCCTGGTGACTGGCGTCGGGTAAGCGGCACCAGGTTGAGAAGCGAAAGGCCTCGTCAACGAGTGGTGTCGGCTCCAAACGGCTGTGGCTATCTGCCACCGATCGTTGCATGCGTTTGATGTTTGGCCATCCCGAGGTAGACCAAACGTGTAGGTCTGGACGACTCGAGTTCATGGCCACAAGTGGCTGTACTTGCGTCGAAGGGGGGACTGTGGGCCATTCACGGACAAAGCTCTGGCACGTAAGAACTCGTACACGTGCCGCAATATAGATATAGCTTTCAATGGGGACACTTGACGTCGGGCTGTGGTAGCCACGATTCTCGTCGATTCAGAATACGACGATCCGCAGCAAACACAAACATCTACAAGACCCTCGTCGGCATGCACAATCATAGGACGGGATCGCACACTAGCTGAATCCTGTTATGCAGACACGCAGGCGACCAGCACCCTCTCTCTGTCCTTCCCTAGACAGTGCGCTGAAATAGTTGCGTGGACGACGCGAGTTGCACAACGAAAATCGGTGACCGCGAGGTGTTTCGGAGCCGTTACCGAGAGCGGTTTCATGCGAAACCCCCGACCAACCCCAATGAAAGGCACCTCCGCTCAAAACGTGGAGCTCTCGAAAGGTGAAGGCGACCCGACGGACTCTCACGAAACAAACAACACAATGACGACGGGGCATTTGGCACGGCGGGCCAGCCATATCGTGCCGACGACAATACCTGGTTCCCACAGCCGCAAGAACAGCACGACCAGCCCGACTCCGCGATTGAAAAAGCGCACATCTATCATACCGAACGATGACTTGACAACACTGCCACTGTTGGAGCTTCCTCCATCGTCGAGTCGGTCCGCTGCGTCGTCGCCACCAAGTGGTGGCGCCCGGTCGACGTGGATCACTCCTCGGCTCCATGACGAGCTCATGAACAACGATGGTACCTCGAACAAATCGTCTGGAACGTTGGGCCTCGAAAAAAGCTTGGAGCTGCTCGAAAAGATTCTCACCGAAGGCATATCGCCAACCAAGGACCATGCTCCACGATACGCGACACCTCCTGTCATGGCTAGCGCCCCCAAATCGCCACCCCTCCGGCTCGGCGACACCGAACGCAAACCTTCCATTCAATCGCTAGCATCGCCTCGGCGCATCGAAGAGCTCTACGACACCATTACAATCTTGCGCCAAGAGCTCGACATGGAGAAGGCGCAAAATCGAGCCCACGAGAGCGGCACCGCCGGGTACGGTCGGCAACATGGCACCTGCACATGGACACATGGGTGTCACCGTTCGGACGTAGGTCTACAGCATACTCGATGGACGGTGGCAGCGACAACTACTACTCTGCGCTCGGCCGAAACGCAGAGCTCCACATTCGAGCGCGCAAGTTTGAGTCCGCCGCCAACTCGATGCGCGAGGACTTGGAAGCGTCGAAACTCGACCAGAAAAAGACGCTGGACCAGGTCAACTCGCGCGAAGAAAAGTTGCGCAATGTGATCAAGAAGAACAAGTGCCTCATGGCGGAATACGAAGTCCTCAAAGACCAATACGTGGAAGAAAAGGTCAAGAGCGTCGAGGTGTATCGAACGATGGCTCTGGAGAAGAAGCGCCATGATACGGCGCGCGAAGAGGTTCGAGCGAGCTGTTTGCACTCGATCATCGTCGTGTGTGAATCGACCTCTCCGTAGATGGAAGCTGCGAACAACCAATTGCGCAAGCAGCACGATGAACTCAAGTCGCAGCTGCAAGCGCTGACGGTAGCCCATGCGACCGAAGTAAAGGGACTGCAAGCCACCCTCGAGACAACGCAAGCAGAACGGGATCGGTTGGTGTTGTGCGTGGCCGAGACACGCCATCGATTCAAAGCGTATAAAGACCGCGAAGCCAAGGCTGCTGTCGCCGCGCGAGACCAAGTGACTGAATCGATGCAACTCGAACATGCGATTCGAATTGAGAAGTTTCAGAACGAGATTCGGCAGCTGCGCGACAAAGTAACCCAACTCGAACAGTCCAACCAACTCCTGAAACGGGAGCCGCACCTGTCGCCGCTCGAGCTCACGCAACGACGGCACCAACTCTTGAACACGATCACGACTCAAGAAGCGGATCTCATTGCCATGTCCACGAGGGTGCAAGAGCTCGAAACGATGCTGGCATTTGCAAAATCCCAGCAGGAACAGCAAGCGGGCATGCTCCGAACAGCGCAGGAAGCAATGGCCAACATGCTCCACGATCGCGAAGTACAAGCATTTGAGCACTTGAGTTGGCATGCGCCCCCACGGACTCCCTCGACGCCCCCCTTGATTCCAAGCAGCCAGGTTGCAACACAGAATTCGGTGTTTCCGATGAAATCGCCCGCCTCTCCTTCGCCCCAGCTGACTCCCCGAGCTCCGGCGTCCGCCCCATCTCCGCGCGTCCAGCAAACAAAGCGAAAAGGTCAGTTCCGAAAAGCCGACGCGCCACAGTCACTGACTCCCGCACCTCCTCCAACTACGTCACCCGCTCCATCCACACCAACCTCCCCGAACGACCAAAACCTGACAGTGTCGAGCTGGAAACAAGAAGTTCGGGGGCTTACCGAGAAAGTCGAAGAATACAAAGCCATGATCGTGTCCCTGTCGAGCGAAATCGACAAACTCAAGACGGAGCGCAAGAAAGTGACTGTCCAGAAGCAGACCGAGATGCACGACAAGCACCAGGCCGAAATCGAAGCGATCCAGCGGCAACTTGTTGAAGCCAAGCTAAACGAGAAGCATTTGGCCGAGGCCCTGGAAACGTACCGCAACCAAGAAGCCAACAAAGCTGCTCAACTCATCCAAATCAAAACGCGGGGAGCCGTCGCGCGGTACAAGCTCAAAGCAAAGCTGAAAGCCACGCGGATCTTGCAAGCTCAATTGCGAGGGTTCGCCGCGCGGAAACGCACCAACTTACGGCGGCCCTCCGTCGTGTCCGTTCGGGATGAGCGGCGTATGCAGTCGGCGCCCGTCAAAGTCACCGACACCACGGACGTGTATGTCGAGTTCTTGGCCGTCCCTCCATGTGTGAAACTCGAGCTATGGATTCATAACCAACTCTTGACCAAGTACATCCCGAACCGAAGCATTCCGTTGTATGTTGCAAACGGCGCCAAGCTGCTCGACAAGGGTCGCAACGAGCTGCAAGTTGCGCTAGCCGACCTGGTCACGTACGACGCTTCGTCGCACTTGCTGACATTGCCGTTTTTGCCGCCAGAAGATCTCGTCGCGAAAGCGCAAGCGAAGGCCGCCGAGAAGATTCAAGCCCGTGCCAAGGGATTCATGGTACGACGGTCGTTGTTCGAAGACAACAAACGCCGGCAAGGTGCCGCCGCAGTCATCCAGAGCCACACCAAGGGCTATTTCGCTCGAAAAACGTACAGCAGGAAGTCGAAAGCGGTGGTACAGATTCAAGCGCAAGCCAAAGGATTCATTGTCCGTCGGCGCTACCAGCATCAAAAGGAAGCGCTGGAGAAGATCCAAGCCACAGCCAAAGGCAGCTTGGAGCGCAGAGCGTACGAACACAAACGCGCTTCGATTGCAAAGATCCAAGCGCAATCAAAGGGCTACCTCGCACGCAAAACGTACGAGGCGAAACGGGAGGCGGCGGTCCGAATCCAGGCAACGGCCAAAGGGCGCATCCGCCGCCTGTCGTACGTCGACTACCAGGAAAAATCCAGAGCCGCCAAGTCGATTCAAGCCCGGGCCAAGGGGTACTTGACGCGGAGAGACATGATCGACATGCAAGAGTCTGCGATCAAGATTCAGTCGCATTTCAAGGGCCACTTCACACGGCAAACCCGACGCCGGCAGGCGGAGAGCGCCACCCGCATCCAAAGCGCTCGCCGAGCATACATGGAAAAGCAAGCGTTCCAATTCAAGCGGCAAGCGATCTGCAAAATCCAAGCTGGGATCAAAGGTTTCTACGATCGTCAGCGCATCTGCCTCAAGCCTCGTCGCCAACGACTCAACGAGATGGACGAGAGGCGCGCGGACCACCGTTTTCGACGCCATGTCGAGTCAAACTTGGTCGAGTTTCGCATTCATTGCCTCGACAGCCCCCCGTGCGTAAAGATCGAAGCGTTATTTCACAAGCATGTCTACAGCACGTTCGTCAAGTACCAGGACATCAATTTCTTTGTCGGGTTCGGCATGCAATTATACCACGAGAATCCCGAAACGCTGGCGAAAACGTTTGAGCCGCTGCTGTCGCTAGTCCCTGACGATGGCCCGCACGGGTATCGCGTCGTGATTAAGAAGAACTGGGACATGATGGACCCGGTAAAGAAAGTCAGCCCGTCGTGCGACCAAGCGGAGCACTTGAGCGTAGTTGCGCGCGCCCAGACCATTGCAAACAAGATGGCCGATATCGAATTGCTCTCGGCACAGCTGCGTCAAGACATTGACGTACCGGAAGTGGCTGGTTTGGAAACGACGACAGACCAACTTGTGAACGATCCTATCGAATCAAAAGCACACATCGAGTTGTCAGAGGAACGGCATGGCCAAGAGATTGCATCCATCAAGATCGAGCAAAGCGATGGGAACGAAGACTGCGCCAAGGAGTCGTCTGACTCGGAGACGGACGAGGTCGACGCAAGTACCCCCATCGAGATCCCGATGTGGCTCGTCAGTTTAGACATGGAAGAAGAGAACGACTTCAAGACCGTTTTGTGCGCTGTCGAGGAGGACAACGAGCACCTTTCCCCGAATTCGTCGCTCGCCAACCTTCGATTCTCCATCACGCACGGGTATGCTATGGTTGAGTCTGTCAACGCCCTGCCTGTCATCTATGGGACGTGCTCGCACGACTTGTTTGACCAAACCATCTTGCAAGACGCGTGCAGCGATCACAATTTGCGCAAATCGTTTGCAGAATCATGGACAACAAACTTATTGAAAGAGGCCGCAGAGGTCTGGAGAGCGCGGCACCCAACGCGTCCACGACGGCAGTCCACCAACTTGGACGAGCGTCTCCTTGATCTGAATGCATTGACATGCCCAAACCAATCTACCAAAGGCAAATGTAACGACGGAGAAATTGTGCTCCGAGTGGAGCACCATGTTCGTACTGAAGCTGCGGACAAATTTACGCATCAACCGCGTTTGGACCCGTCGAATGAAGGCCGTTGTTCGAACGATGATGCCGAAGGGGCTCCGATATCGAACGAAGAACATGACGACAACGATTCGACCCTCGCTACCGGCCATGCTCCATTCCACGAAGGTACACTGGTGGAACCGCCCCACAGCCCCGAGAAAGTGCTTGCTTCGATTGCCATCCGAAATGTTATCGACAACACCTTGCGGAAATTGTCCGTGCCGTGCGGTGCTCTCGCCACTACAAATTGGAAAGAATATATCGAGGACAATAATGGATGCGACTGGAGAAAAGAAGCCACCTCAACGTCGCCCATCCAACGGTTTGTCGCCCAAACACTTCGTACCGGCATGGACAACGTGGCAAATTTCAATTCACCGCGCAGAGGTTCATTCAGTCTCGACGTATATCTCCTCGACTACACAACTACTGAATGCGTTATGGCGCAAGCCAAGCTCATCACAGACATCGAGCAAGAACTCGATGAAGACAATCGACTCGAAATGTCACGGATCGTCGACAAAACATCCATTCAAACAACAACAAAACTTGATGCGACGTCAGTAGCCAACCTTATCAACAATAAATCAGCCACAGTGGA